TTTAAAAAAATTTTACTTTTTAAAGTTTAAGATTTTTATTTTTCAATTTGATTTTTCTTTTAATGTTTCACATCATTTTTTCCAATTTATTCATACTTAATAGATCAATAGTACATATATATTACTACTACCACTACATACTTACTACTACTCATACTATACTTATACTTAATATACTTACTCACTACTATACTACTTACAATATACACATACTACTACTATATACATAGTATATATATATGCTATTAATCTATTGAGTATGAAAAAATTGTTAATAATGATGCAAAACATTCACATAAAAATCAAAATGAAAAATAAAAATTTTAATACTATAACTTAAAAGATAAAAATTTTGAAATAAAAAAATTTAAAAAATAAAGTTTTTAAACTGTAAAGAATATAAAATTTTTTCTTAAACCGGATTTTCCCCCTCTTCAGAAGCTCTTTTTCTTTACTTTTCTTTCTCATTTGTACGTTTCTCCTCTAAATTGACAAGAGATGCGGTTACATAAGAAGCAATTTTTAGCATTTTGATCACACGGAAAATTGATTGACTGCGTTTTTATTTTTCTCTCGAGTATCAAACTAGTTTTACTCTCTGTGTTAAGGTGATTCGACGGTTGCAATTTTTTTGTGTCAGAGCGACGTGCGATACATCGCATCAATTCGTTCCATAATTTAAGCTACTTTTAATTTTTTTCGACTTTTGGGATCGCACTTCTGTTTTCATGGGACTAAAGAATTCATGTTCCAAATTTGACGAAGAATTTCAACGTAATAAAGGCAGGGTTTTTTCAGAGGAAAAATATCGCATTCGATCCTGATATCGAAACGACACTCGAATGCGATATTTTTCCTCTGAAAAACCCCTGCCTTTAATACGTTGAATTTCTGAGTCAAATTTGGTACATGAATTCTTTAGTCCCGTGACAACAGAAGTGCGATCCCAAAATTCGAAAAAAATCAAAAGTAGGTAATTGAAATTATGGAACGAATTGGTGCGATATTTCGCACGTCGCTCTGACGCAAAAATGTTTGACATCTTATTTTTTTCAGATTAGTATGAGACTAACATAGTAAAATCTGGTCCATCTTGTTTTATTGAGTGTTTCTTTTTGTATACCTCCAACTATTTTCCCTCTTTTTGCTTGGTTTCAGACTGGTAAGAAATGAACACTTTGAAAACTGTTCAACTCATATAGTTCCATTTTGCGTTTTATATTCCAAAGACCTCAAACTAATTTTTGTTTCTTGTACTTAATTCTTCTGTTTATCTTTCTAATCTTTTCTTTCTAATCTAATCTTATCTTTTCTTTTCTAATTTTGTACTTAATTCTTTTGTTTTTTTGTTTTTTTTCAGATCGGCAAAAAACGAGCACCGTGAAAGCTGTGTCACCTACTTCATTCCATTTTGTTATTTTAGTGTCATTTTAGACACTTGCTTTATACTATTTTTTTCTCTCTCTCTTCAGCTAGTCCTCCGTTCATCTTTGATTAACATTCCCTTCCACTCAATTTGCAGTTGCATTGCATTTAAGGTGATTCGATGGACGCCATATTTTGTGTCAGAACGGCATGCGATATATCGCATCAATTGGTACCATTTTTTCAGCTACTCGTCATTTTTCTTCAATTTTGAGATCGCAACTCTGTTGTCAGGAGACTAAAGCACTCACTTACCAATTTTAACAAAGAAATTCAACGTAGTAAAGGCGTGGTTTTTTTAGAGAGAAAACATCGCATTCGATACTGATATCGAAACTGCACTCGAATGCGATATTTTCTCTCAAAAAAAACCACGCCTTTATTACGTTGAATTTCTTGTTAAAATTGGTTAATGAGTGCTTTAGTCTCCTGACAACAAAATTGAGATCTCAAAATTAGAGAAAAATGACGGGTAGCTGAAAAAATGGAACCAATTGATGCGATATATCGCATGCCGTTCTGACACAAAATATAGCGCCCATCGTATCACTTTCATATTGAAAACTACTATTCTGACTCAACGACAAAAGCACCTATTTGCATAGGGAAACATGAGACATACGTTATTTCTAAAATGCAACAGAACGTTCCTTACCCATTGAAAAATGTAGTCCAAACAGAACTATGTGCATTATGATGTGAGCCCTGTTATGCACGTATTCTTATGGATCTCAGGGCTCACGTCTTAATGCAAATAGTTCCGTTTGGCAGAAGTAAGTACGTCCAATTGCAAGAATCAAAAAGTCGCATTTTGATTATTAAATTGCAAATTAATTATTTTTAGTGTTGTAAAAATTAACATTGATGTTGGCATACAGTTACCAGGAAATACCAAGACATTTTGTTCACTCTGCAATTTAAAATCATTTTAAATGACTAATTAGTCGCTCACGGAACAAAATATGGCGAAAGAAAAGAAAAAAGTGAAAATTAGCTACATTACATTCCAAATAAGTAATTAATTTTGCATCAGAATAATTGAGGGGGGGAGGGGGGGTTATCAAATGATTTTACCTACATGAACAAAACTACTTTTCCACTAAACTTTTTATTTTCAAGTTAGGTTAAGCTCCAACTAATCATTCTTTTTTTATTCTTAGTTTGTTTCAGGTCTGCAAAAAACGAAGAAAATGCTCTGCATGATGAGCCATTGAAGACGAAAGTAGTGCCCTCCAAATGTGTACCTATTTGTTCTTTCGTATCCTTAACTTAAAAGCCCTCAGTTGTGGAAAGAGATTTGAAAAGTATTTGCAACTCCTTTTAGTTCTGGGGTGATATTCGAACAATACTGCATTCAACTAAAAGTAGCTGAACTGAATCATGTAGAAAGGAATTAGCTTTTTCGGTTCACTGTAGAAGAGACATAAATGCCACACATTTTCCTAAACGAGCCAGAAAAATTAGTTTTTTTTCGCATAATACAGTTCAGTCACTCTGCAGCTGAATGCAAACATGCAATTAACGAGACAAACAAAACCACAAAGAAACAAACGGGACCCGGACAGTACGTAACAAGGTGGTAAAATACCTATATTGCTGCGTCCACACAATTTTGCGGGGAAAACGAGGGCAAAAAGTTAAATGAATCAAAAGTTCTTTTTGACCTTGTTTTCCCCGCAAAATAGTGCGGACTCAGGACTATTGTGCAACCCTTTATAATTAAAGCTGCGTGATATAGTCCAAAAGCAAGGCGGAACTGCAATTAAAATTTGAAAAAATAATACCTAAAATTTAGATAAATTTTGGCATGGTGCCTTGATTAAAATTTTGACAAGAGATAAATGGACGTATGCACGTTAAAAGGAAGTATGTTCCATGCAGATGCCGTGCAAATAGTTTCTTTTAGCATGCATAAGTCCAGCTTAGTAATGGATGATAATGGAACACAACTTTCGACCAAGCGGATGAGGCATTAATTAGAAATACAGAAGCCAGTTTTGTCACCTGTTGCTAATCATACTAATAATTCTTGATCTTCCTTGTTTGTTTCAGATGCGGCTGAAGAAACGGGCTTGGGGGAGGGTTCGCTGAGGGGGAGGCTCCCAGGGAAGGGGGGTTCGCGGGGTTGGGAAGTTTCGCGGAGTGAGGGTTCCCAAGGGGGAGAGTCCCGGGGAAAGGGGGGTCCGTGGGGTTGGGTGCGGGATTGCGGAGTAGGGTTTCCCAAGGGGGTTCCCGGGGAGAGGGGGGATGTCCGTGGGGTTTATGTAGGATCGCGGAGTAGGGTTTCCTAGGGGGGAGGGGCCGCGGAGTAGAATCACGGGGGGAGGAGTAGGATTTTTTTTTTTTTTTTTTTTTTTTTTTTTTTTTTTTTTTTTTTTTTTTTTTTTTTTTTTTTTTNCCCCGGAGGATCTCAGCAAGCCACGAACGGTAGGAAAAAAAAAAAAGGGAGGAGGTGGGAAAGGAACCAGGACGCCGGAAGCCGGGGTTGGGGCAGGCCGCCGCCAACGTACCAGGATCGTCGCCAACGTACCAGGATCATCGCCAACGTACCAGGATCGTCGCCAACGTACCGGGATCGTCGATTTTTTTCTTTTTTTTTTTTTTCTTCTGTTTCAGGTGCTGCTGCTGTTCCCGCAACCGAAGGTAAGATATTGTTTTATTTCTCCTCGTTGCTAAACAAGGGTTGTAATCGTTAATCAGTTTTAGAGGGCATTACTTCCGTCTTCTCAGGGCAGAGCTACTTTTTAGCAGGATCAAACACGGAGCAGAGGAAGCTGGAGCTGCGTCAACGTTGGTAAGTTTTTTATTTGGTTTTCTCTACCTCTCCCCCCCTCCCCCGTGGATTAGGGCTCATGGCGATACCACGTTAAAAAAAACGCGCCGAGAGCTCTACCTCCGGGAGCAGTGCCGTCTCTTTTACCTGATCGGACTCTCCTAAGGTGGTGTGGAAACGAGCTTTTTTTTGTTTCCCCATTCCTTTTTCGAGCTGTGGATTATCGCACTATAGAGTGATATTGAAACTTACTTTTAGTGGACGCTAGATCAATAAAAACCACAAACTGGGTAAAATCGAAAATTAAACGTGAAAAAATTGAATAAAAATAAGTAAGTACCCATGTATTCAAGCAAGCATCAGTGTGTTGTTTGGTGCAACGTGACTAGATCAAATATAAAGCTGATGGACATAATTTATATTTCATAGAGGATTTTTATGAAGTGATGTTCGCGTGTGTCGATGAAGTGTTTGTCGGCGTATTTGAATTCTCCGCCACGTATCGAGATCCAAGTTGCCACCCTTAGCAGCTTTTCACAGTTTTTAACCTTCTTTGACCAACAACTTTACTGGGAAAAGCTTTGCATAATTTCAATGAATATTGTCATAATTTGCTTGAATTTGATTTATTTCTCCTTAAAAAATGGTATTAAACAATTTAATATGATTGATCGTTAAAAAACGTCTGATCGTTTTGAAAAGTTTCTGGTACTCAGGTTGGTGATGCTGGAAAAAAAGTAATGATGTGGTGGAAAATCAAATGGACCAATCAGAGTTAGCCACACAACCTTAGAATGTATTTTGTTTGGATTTTGACATATGGATCGAACGTGTTGAGGTTATCACATGTAGAGCCCTAGAATTTTTAACGCAAATATGCCGGTGTCGCTGAAATATCAACCAGTTTAACATGATTGTGTTACAATAATGAGTTGCAAATCCTCAAACCGCTACCTAATTAGTTCCATGCTGAAATTTTACTTCCGTACGTGACCATTGGTTCCATCTGAAAAGCAATCCAACTCACAGGTTAATTTCTTATCAATTTCTAAATTCTGCACTTGCTCCACTTTAGATTTTTCTAGAATAAGCCGTGACACGCGAAATCTCAATCCATGATGCAGTAACCACATCAACACTGGTTTTCATTTTGGATCTGATTTCCTTGTTGAGAAGTAGCAAACTGCGAACACAGGTTATGTGCATCAGCGCCGGATGGCTTGATGAAACTCTGCTTCCGTGTTCCTTGGGTTTGGTTTAGAGTATCCTTTCTCTTATCACAGTAGCATACTTTTACCTATCAATCATTTTTGTCATATTAAGCTAAAAAGCAATGATAATGACTATTATTCAAACAAACTTGGGAATTTTGAAAAACCTGTTCTAAATTATCACGCGAATTGCCTCTGGAACTATGAAAAATGTCGTTATAATTATTTATACGTTTGTGATTTGCTTCCAATCATTGTCTGCCATGTTATTTTCTATTCACCATTAAATGATTGCAGTACATTTAAATGTTATATCATTCAGGTATTCAGAAACTAAAATCTGTCAGACAGGAGAACTGTTCCGAAATTTCTATTCAGACAGCCACCTCGTTCTTTTGCGTCCACCAATATTTTTGGCATGCAAGTCTGTTGTCTCATGGTAAATTTTACTGATTCTTATTTCAGACTGTCACTTGAAGAAGATACTTAGATAAACCAAGACAAAATGGATTGGCGGAAATACCTTCTTGCCATTTTGTTATCGGTAGCTTTCGTAGCAGTGCATGTCAGCGGATTAGCTGTCATGAGTATTGACCTTGGCTCGGAATGGATGAAAGTTGCCATTGTTTCGGTAAGTTTTTTTTTATTTCATTCTGCACTTCAGATAAGATTATCAATTTTGTTCCAGATCACTTCATTTAAATTCTAAAGGGCTGTCCCATTAATCAGAATTTCCCTTAAAATTAGATGTTCCCAAAGGAAATTATCGTGAGAAACTCATTTTCTGACCTTTTCATGCTCAAAACGTTAGTGAAAAAGAGATTTTAACTTGAAGTCGAAGTTATAAAAAGAACGTTTCTCATACTTAAGTCATCGCCCTTTTTTTTAAAGCCATGCAATATGAGGCGACAACCTATGGTTGCAACTACCTGGAATCCAATGCCAAATGACTGCTGTACAATTCAAATCTTGAGCAAACTGTCATGTTATTTTTTTAAAAAAAAAAATATTTTCAAACCTCCAAACAGGAATGACATAGCATGGTCGGAATACGTAGCCTCTTGTTACGATTATGATCAGTAATTCCTTAAATGACGTGGTGGAGTGATATTTTTTCATCTTAAATGGTATTTGATTTTTGATAATCTTGGAAATCTCTCTCAGAAAAGAATGGATTCCATGAAAAATTTAGCTCTTCTCATTTTTTATTTTCTTTTTAAAAATAAATTATGAAAACAACTCCAAACCACTCACTTGAACCGTTAAAATTAGCGACAATTCTGGAAGGCTTTCTGTCTTGCCTACTTATCAATTTACCTTATTCTATACCCTGCAATTTGAAGTGAGATTCATTCAAGCAGTTTGTGATAGCAATCAATTGGCTTTATAAAAGTATCCATTGAAAACAAGGCCTGATGTGGTGGACGATCTCTTGTGGAGACATTGAACTGCATTTAGCAAAAAGGAACCAGGGCGATTACAGTGTTTTCAAAATCGTGCAATTTATTATTTTTTTTTAAAAATACTCAATATATGTGCAGTATCTAAATTTACACACTTAATTTCCATTAACATTAACAATTTTTTTGGTTGGAAGCCAAATCATTTGCTTTTCTGAGAGATTTTTTAGATCATTATGAAGAAGCAACATTTTTACAACACTGTAATGGGGCTGGTTCCCTTTTGCTAAATGCAATCCAAATGGCAAGTCATCCATAACTCGTAATTTTGTAATTTACAATGCAGAAAAAATTTAATTTTGTACTTAATCAATTAAAATTTTTCCTTCACAGCCTGGTGTGCCAATGGAAGTTGCTTTGAATAAAGAATCGAAAAGAAAAACTCCTGCTGCAATATCATTTAGAAATGAAGAAAGGACATTCGGAGATGATGCCTTAAACGTCGCTGTGCGGTTTCCTGATCTTAGTTACCATTATTTGCTAGATCTCCTCGGAAAATCTATCGATAATCCTGTAGTGCAGCTTTACAAGAAAAGATTTCCTTTCTACAACTTAGAGGCAGATCCCAATAGAAGCACAGTTCTCTTTAAGCATCCCTCGTAAGTTTTCTTTTTTATTCTCAGGTACTTGCTTTGTTTAATTGCACAATATTTAATAGAAGCGACAATCGAAAACACAGGAAAATACGGAAACAAGGCTAAAATACAAAATACACAGGCAGGACGTTTCAGTACCTTACAGCACCATTATCAACTGCTAAAGTAGAATTAAAAATAAAAATAAATTGTAATAAAAATAAAAATCCAACAAACAGCGTTACATGTTGAAATTAGTATTGGAATGAGACTCATTCCAATGAGAACCATGGACGTTTTTTGGGTCTCATTCCAATACCAATTTCACCATGTAACGCTGTTTATTGGATTTTTATTTTTATTACAATTTCATTTTATTTTTAATTCTGTTTTAGCAGTTGATAATGGTGCTGTAAGGTACCAAAACGTCCTGCCTGTGTATTTTGTATTACAGCCTTGTTTCCGCATTTTCCTGTGTTTTCGATTGTCGTTTCCGTTTCAGGCTGCCTCTACATCTCTTTGTTTCCACTTTAATAGAAGCTTGATACAACTTGGCGTTATTTTCATCATCTTCTTTTTCATTTACTCAGTTACAATTGTAATTCATGAAAAGCCAATCTGACTAGCAACTGACTCCTGGACAAATACTTCCTCAAGGGTGCAGAATGTGCTCGGTCAGCCGACTGCATGAGAATTGGAAGGCACCTAAAAAAGGAAACAAATATTAAGGCAGAAGGCATTTTTTTTGGATAAAACCATTAAAAGCGTTATTATTTTAGAAGGAATCTACTAGCATGTTACCCCTCATGAAGGAAACTGACTAATGCTTGCTTTTAGACGGAAAAAATAATGAAGTGTGCAATCTTATGTGGACAGCAATAGGAAGGCTGAAAAATTTTTGCACACAAAATTTTAAGTCTATATGTATCACAAGGCGAACACTAATATCAGCAAAAAACAGGAAGAATTTAAATGTGAAATTTTCCAATTTACCCTCCTCACCTGGCAACGTTAATGGAGAACGTTACAATAACTTTGCTACTACGTCACTTTTGGCCAAGGCGTTGAGACAACGTTTTTGCAACCATTTCCTTGATGGGCCATATCTACTCAGTTCAAGTCGTAAAATTTTGAGTTTCAAATTTTACATTTTGAATTTCGCTACTAACCCTACAAATTGACCTAACCAGATGATCGATTATTATTTTCAGCGGCAAATCTTACAGCCCAGAAGAACTTGTAGGACAGCTCTTATACAAAGCGCAGGAATATGCACAAAACTCTGCTAATCAAGTTGTCACAGAGGTTGTCTTAACTGTTCCTGGTTTTTTCAATGATTTTGAGCGTCGATCTCTCATCACGGCCGCTGAACTGGCAGGTCTCAAAGTTCTTCAGCTTATCAATGATTACTCAGCAGGTAATATTTCTTCCATATACTGTAAAAAGCTGTTCTAAGAATACAAGGCAATACACCTTTTAGTCTACTTCCACAGGGTCCTCATTCCTTTATGCAGACAAAAATATTTTTCCTTTAAATTTCAATACAAGGGTATCTGAGATTAATGTTTAATTCTTTATGCTTAAACTCTTTCGACTGAAATGAGGCTTTTTGTAGGTACAAAAAACTTTTTTTCCAAACTCGACTCCTCTTGGAGCTATGGCCTTCCTCATTTTTGAAAATACTTGCTTTATCTACACATATGCTAATAATTTGACTTTATGTCTTATATGTAGTCGGAAGTCTATTTTATGTATTTTTTTCTCTTCAGGGATTAAAATTAAGATCCTAACTGAACCTAAAACTCTAGTAAGGGGTTCTGAAGAGTCCTCATTGATTATTGGGCACTTTCTTGAGGTTTCTTGACCAAAAATTACAATTAAGTACAGCTCAAAGGCCGGAGGAAATATACACCCAAAACACCTTGGCAGGCAACAAGTTGGAACAAAGTAATTTGATTTTCAAATATATGAGGACATGGAGTAAAATAAGTTAAAGTTTTTTTCATTTCTTATGAAATAGCTAAACTGATATTTTACTATTCTTTTTTGTGGCATAGTGGCTCTGAATTATGGAATTTTCCGTCGGAAAGAATTTGCTGATTCGGCTCAATATGTAATGTTCTTTGACATGGGTGCATCAAGTACTACTGCAACCATTGTTCAGTACCAAACAGTGAAAGTCAAGGACAGAGGCATCGTCGAAACTCTCCCTCAAGCATCAGTCATAGGTGTTGGGTAAGTTCTTGAAAATTTGAATAGGTACATCAATTTTTTTTAAATAAATGGAAATAAATAAAAAGATTTTTAGAACTATATCTCCCCGCTGCAAATTGATTCTCTTGTTGGTTTGAAAAAACAAGGGTCTACAAACATTGGAGTATTGTTGTATGCTGTGCCTGTGTGTATGAGTTATTGATATGAAGTGCAACGCGGCATTTTGTCAAAGTATTTGACATACAAACGGTGGAAACTCCCAAACCACATATCTCAGTTTGTGACATTGCAGACTTCCTGTCATACTTTAGTTTTTCAATGGAAAACTACTCAACGTCAATTCCTTTAAACTTCTGCAAGTTTTCTTTTTTTGCGAAGCAAATTCTGAAAAAACTGCAAAGAATGATGTTGTTTAGATTTCCTTTGGAAAAAATAGAATAGGAACGGTGATTTTTAAACACTTCATACGAATTACATTGTTTGGAAGTTTCACTGTCAATATGTAATAATACTCCCAGCAATAAACTCTTCTAACAAGAACTGGGGTTTGTACCAATTGCAAACTGTGGTCAAATTTTAAAAGACTTTATGAAGGACACAAGGGCGAGACTTTTTTTTATGTAGGTATCTAATTTTCTACCCTTGAATATGTTTATGGCAATTTCCTCAATATAATGTCCTCGATTTCTAATTTTTTAATTATTTACTTATTCTGCCAAAAAATATATATTTCCGTGATAAATCATATTTGCTCATTTATTTTACCACATATCAAACTCATCGTCTTCTCGTCGAAACCTTGTAAGTAACAAGTTACAATCAGTTATTTTATTTACATAATTGTTTGCATTATTTACCTTGTGTTCAGGTTTGACAGAACACTAGGTGGTCTTGAAATGACCCTTCGTCTCCGAGATTACCTTGCCCAAAAATTCAATGAAATGAAGAAGACGGACATAGATGTCACGCAAAACCCAAGAGCAATGGCCAAGTTGTTTAAAGAAGCAGGAAGGGTGAAAACAGTGTTGAGTGCAAATGCTGACCACTTTGCGCAGGTACGAAGGAATATCCATCATGATCAAAAAATACCACATTTTCTAATGAAAAAAGGTTTCTGAAACTTTAGGAAATGAGAAATTTAAGAATGATAGAATGCTCCTTGATAGGAGATCATAAAAATCATTTCCTGACAAACTTTGTATCATAGGTTTTTACAAACGGATGTAGAAAAATGTTATTCTTTGAACTTAGCAAGGACTGATCACAAGTGAAGCTTCTCTAATGTTTCAAAATTTCCTAAGAATCGCAAAGTAACAAAATCTATCAAAGAGGAACATCAATAAAGCCCTGATATGTTTCTGCCGGATACAGAAAGTAATCATTGGACAAAACGCAGTAAAAAAATTCTAACCCATAACCCAGACCACAATTTTCAACTATGGTGTTCAATATGCATCAACCCGATAAGTGTCTTCAAGCATTTCCAATTTCTATTTTTGCTAGTTTTAGGTAAAGCGAATAGTACTCACAAATTTTGGAAACAGCCAATCCCATGTTCCTGCCATGACCAAGCATTATACCTCAAATAACCTTGCAGGCTTTGCATCTCTCAAAGCTATTTTTGCTTGGTTAAACCCATCAAGAGCAAAATTTGACTTAAAAAAGTGTAAATTAAGATTAATTTGATCAGAATTTTTTCATTTTTTTCTCCCTTTTTTCCAGATTGAAGGTCTCTTAGAAGGTATCGATTTCCGGCTGAAAGTCACCAGAGAAGAATTTGAAAAACTTTGTGCTGACCTATTCGATCGTGTGAAAGCTCCAGTGGAAAAAGCTTTGAAGATGTCTGGATTAACGACTGACATATTGAATGCGGTAAGATTAATAAATCAATTTCTCTTCTTCTCCAATTGGGTCACTGCGTCTTTATTGTAAGTCCTGCCAATTGATTATTCTTCACAGTTTCAATTGAAGGTAGCGCAGTAAGTAAAACCTTTTAGGATTTTAAAATCTTAGTGAAATCAAATTGTATATTTGATTATTCCTCGATGAAAACGAATTTTTTAGGACTAAAGTAGTCTGTAAATTTCTGTGTAATTTGGTAAAATTGGCAATTTAAAGTTTTTAATAAAAAAGAAAGAAATTTACAAGTCATTCAATTACATGTGAATAATCTTACAGTGAGTTAGTGAGCCATTCGATTTTGACAGAAACCTACATACCTTGATTTAACCTAATGGATCATTAGATAGGATACAAAGTTGAACCTGACAATGTACACATCTGTCTGAAAATATTCCGTAGATTATGATGGACACATCTGAACTTTTCAAATTTAACTCATAAGTGAAATATAACGGCTCTTGTCTAAATTAATTCATACTTCCTGCTCATATTAAAATCAGAGTCTGCTCGAGTTAAATCAAGCACTGAACTATTTCCAGTTTATGACAGAAGAATTTTCCTGTACTTCAACTCTTTTCTGACAAGACTGGTATCTTGTACCCGGAGTGTGAGAAGCTGAGCTCTAATTATTGGCCTAATGTATAGGTCGATTGCAATGTCTAATTTGGTGTACATTGATCGAGTTTTTTTTGCGAACAGGAAGTTTGAATTTACTGTTAATAATGCGAATTCTAAACGTTTATTTCTTATTCAGTAGTTAATTTTGAAAGTTTCGGATATGTTCAATGTGTTCTGCGTGGATTATTGAAGAGAAAGCAAGTGCGATTGTTCCTAATTTCTCACCCTGTCCAGTGGTCAATTGTACCAAATAATTATAACAAAGCATGAAGATTCTCTATTGTATGTTATAATGTATCTCCTCCAACTTGTCAATATCCTTTTACAGGTCGTTTTAGTTGGTGCGGGCACTCGTGTCCCAGCCGTCCAAGACAGGCTGAGTGCTGCAGTGAAGCGTGATCTGGCAAGAAATCTGAACACTGACGAAGCAGCTGTTATGGGGGCTGTTTACAGAGCTGCAGATTTGAGTACCGGTTTTAAAGTCCAGAAATTCCTCGTCAAGGATGCTGTCATATATCCAATTCAGGTTTGTCAAGGAAATTTGTGAAATATTTCATGAAACGCGCGGCTCTGAAGAGCCTAATGTTGGCCTCTATTGTATGGCTTTAATTAAACGAGAGCGAGAGATTTGAACTTTTGCTGTTTTTATGAAAAATATCAGTCCAGTCTCATTTAATCAATCACCAGCCAACGGTGCCAGCCATTAATATTTGGCTATCCTTTCATGACTGCCAGAATGCAGCAAGCGTATAGAGGTATTCCGCTAGCTTTCTAAAGTAATTTTAAAGTTACTTCTTAAACTATAATCAGTGTCATATTTTGTGGCTTTCACTGAATGGCATCTCTTCAGCGGTAGTGTATTCTGAGGAAACAAGATGCCTGAACGTATCACTATTTTCTCATGATTCTTCATAAGAACGTGGAGTATAGGGAAGAAATGGACCTCGTTTAGCAGAAAGGAACCAAGCCACATGAGCTATTGTCAAATTTAACCAGGCAGTTTAATTTTTTAAAAGAGAACTTTGTGAAAATTTCTTTGAAAAATTTGCTTCATACTATGCAGAAAATGCACTGAAATTCGCCTAAAATTGACACAACATTTTTCTCTCTTCACAGGTTCATTTTGACAGAGATGGAGATGCAAGCTCAAAACAAGTGCGCCGAACATTGTTTGGTGCTATGAACCCATACCCGCAGAAAAAAGTGCTCACACTTTACAAGCATACTGAAGACTTCTCTTTCCATGTCAACTATGCTGATCTTGACCATCTTGATCCTTTCGCAGTCGAGTAAGTCTTCACCTTTTTACATCTAAAACTATAAATTTGTGATTATCATGGATTAAGGGTGACTAATCAAGAACTACCATGTATGTTTCCCTTATCTCCTCAATCTATTGTTTTTCCAAAGATGTACAAAGTTCTCAAACTTTTCATCATTCAGTGGCCGTCTTTCTCATATTGATAACTCCTCATTCCCTGAATTTTCCAATTTTCAAAGCGTTGAATTTCTTTTCTATCTTTCTCCTTTTCCTTACTTCTTTTGCAGAATTGTCCGCAATTCTGCAGTCATTGTGTAATTTTTACGCTTATGAACTGGCCCTCTCATGTAAAAAATTCTTCCTCACAGCCCTCCTTTTTTGGGGCACAACCTGCCGGTTGCCTGGTCATATGACATACAGTGCAAGTCAATGTTGTTCTCTTCATTTTTATTTGAACGCGGATTTGAATATTTATTTCCATATTGTATTCTTTTCATAAAGCAACAACTAACAGTGAGGCATCAAAAATAAAAACATCAATTAGAATCAGGATCAATTTAAACATATTTAAACGCAAAACACGTCTAAATTAAAATTAATACAGTGCATTTCATGCCTTCAGAACTTCCACTTAGTTTTTCTTTGAAAAAGTTGCACTGTAGTTGAATACCATTGACTATTTTTCGACAATCGACGCCTTCAGATGAATTCCTAGAATACCTGGACCTTGCTGATCAAATCGCATTGATTTAAATTTTTTTTCCAGAGCTTTGGGTTCCCTAAACCTGACTAAAGTCAATCTGAAAGGTGTACCGGAGGCCTTAGCGAAATTCTCAACCGAGGGCCATGAACTGAAAGGCATCAAGGCTCACTTCCATATGGACGATAGCGGTATCCTCTCCCTCCCGAACGTGGAACTTGTTGCCGAAAAGACGATCAGTGCAGAAGAGGAATCACCACTCTCAAAACTCGGATCGACCATAAGTAAACTATTTAGTGGTATGCATTTTAATAGTTAGGGTAACACGCTTGATTGCTTGCACTATCTCGGGAACTTTGGTCTTCATTTCTGCTCAATAAGGTTCTATTTTCTCTTTTTCTTCCTCTCTCTCTTTGAAAGTTTAGACATATTGCAGGCATTCAGTCAAATCGGGCATTTTATCAAATGCCTGAGGCAGATAGTAAAACTTTGGAAGGTCATAAAACTTTGTAAATTTAAGACGGAAGCTCACCAGTTTTCAACATTTTTGAAAAAAACGACTCATCAAATCTACGAACTCTCCTTGCATCTTCCTCTTCAAATGCTTCTCATACGTTTTAATGTTAAAATTTTTAAAATTCTTTGTTCTATGACATGCTGTGAATTTTCAGATAAATGTTCATTCAGGAGCTAAAAACTGGTTAAAATACCTACTATTGATGCTCATTTTTGCACAGAATCCTTTTTCTCGTTATGGAAGAATTATTTTGTATAAAATTAGTAAAAAATCAGGATTTCATTCTAAATAAACATATTTGGCTTCTTGCCCAGGCATTTGAGAAAGTGCCCGATTTCACTATTTGCCTACAATAGATATAGCCCCTCTAGCAGGCTTTCCTGGTCGCTATATCAGTTTCTTTTTCTCTTCTAACTCTCCCTTCTTCTTTGGCTCTGTTTTAGCCTAAGTTTGACTCAAAATTTTCAGTAAAGAATTTTTCCCAAGTATTGACCCTCTTTCCGTTTTAGTCAGCTCGCAGAAGCAGTAGAACATTTTTAGAATATGCATCTTAAAATTTACAGTGATTTTCTGCTGTGCCATTAATAACGCTATACTGAATTTTCCCTGCATGATTAGTGAACGACTCCCTCGGTTTTCTGCCCTCTCTTCATTTAAGTCAAGATTGGAGGTTAGGAATGATTTTACCACTTAGAAATTGGAATCGTTGCTCTCTCTGCCAATCAATTGGACCACGTTAAGCAGAAAGGAACGGAGCCACATTGGCAATCGCCAAATTTAATTGGGCAATTCAATTTTTTACATGAAAACGGTTGTGCGGCTTTTGGTGCAAATTTCAGTGAATTTTCTGCACAGTAAGGAGCATATTCCTTAGAATTTTCAAAGGAATCACCACAAACGCTCTCATGTCAAAAATTAAATTGCCCAGTTAAATTTGGCAGTAGCTAAATTGGCTTGTTTCCTTTCTGCTGAACACGGTCTAATTCTTTTGCATAACTTGGATTGTATTTAGCAGAGGGGAACCACTCCGATCACAGTGTTTTAAAGATCGTGCATCTTCATCTTTATTTAAAAAATTGCCCAAAACAGCAAATAGTTTTTGTTCTCTCACCATAAATTGTCAATTGTACATAAAGGAAATAAATTGTGTAATAAATTGCAATACTGCACATACATTCAGAAATTTTTAAAGGAAAGAAGAAGTCATGATTTTGAAATCACTGTAATCACACTAGTTCCTTTTAGAGTACCTGTATAGGGAGAGTAGCGACAGATCTGAAACTCCAAAAGTCCATCAGGCCTTCACCGATGCCTCCGCGAATAAAGTTAGGGCCCAAAAGGGCAGCCAACCTATGAATTTCGAATGTCCAGAGCGATTTACAAATACAATTGTTACGAACCGTCGTTTAGAAAGCATGTATTTGGCTTACTTTTTGCATAAATTTACTTACTTTTGCGAAAGAACGCTCATTTATGTACATTCTTAGCCATCTTGGTTAGAATTGAAATCTGTAGGCTGGCAGTGAAATTTTGTGTGTTAGAAGTTGCTCAGAAGGATGGCTGCACTTTTGGGCCCTAAGCCCTCCATGAACCGATCTGTCGCTACTCTCCCTATACAGGTACTCTAGTTCCTTTCTGGTCAATCCGATCCATTTTATCAACTCCTTTTTAGCGCATAAGTCAAAAACAAAACTCTGCGCTTCCTAAGTCCATTGCAATTTCATAAATCAACATCACAGGATCAAACAAAAGAAAATTATCGTTTAGTAATCAATTATAGCGGAAAAATTTAAAAAAAAAAACTCTCCTTCTTGAAAATGACACCGTAATCTTTCCTTACTAGTTCTTTGTTGTGAAAAATGACGAGTGTAGGATATTCTCCTTCCAGGTATTTCGATTGAATCATTATCTAATTTGTTGCACAGTGGCATACTGCTTTCATGTTTCACCTGTTTTTGTCTTTCATTTTCTTTGATTTTATACTTTTTTCGATTAATGGTACACAATTTTTGTACTTTAATTGTTTTTGTGCCCTCTGCGGCTGTTCATACTTTTTCATAAGGAAAATATTTTGATAAGTAAAACATTTGAAGGATGACTAGTAAGAATTTATGATTATTTCCTCTGGAGAACTACATTAACCCATAAAATATTTTACTTAAAGCTTCTTTGAACTAAATTTCCAATATGAAACTACCCAATTCTGACTCATTTTAGAAACAATGCATATGCTGATAGTTTTTCTATGGAGATAGGTGCTTTTGTGAGTGAGCCAAAAATAGTTGCTCCCAATTACAGAATGCACATTTAAGCTATTCCGTTCTCTGTGCTTGAAAAAGAATCTCATAGTCATAAATTTTCCAAATTTATGAACGTAACAAGTACTTTTTTCTTGATTTTCTTGTTGCCATCTTGTATCCGTATTGCATCAAATACTTCCTGCTTGGCATGTTAGGTTGCAAATACACCAATAGGTCAATAAAAAATGTAGTCTGTTCCTTAACATAACTTAGGTGGATTAGAATATTTTATTAATTTAATTTTATTTTCTTTCTTTTTCCTGCATGTACAGTTAATCTTTCATATTTTCGAATAACCTCTTTAACTGAAAAGATAGGGTGCATGAAATAAATCCAAGTTTAATTAACCTTTAAAATCACCTACCCACATCATATATTTAGTCTTGAGTGTACACAAGTAGATGCATGGTTCAAGTTCCCACATTACTTACAATTTGCAAATCAGCAGCAAAAAAATCCATGTTCAATCTGAGCGCACCAGATCCGGTTTTTTCTCAAATCGGAATATATTTAGCCTTGATGTATAATTATTTAATGTGTAATTTTAATCACAGCCGAGCTCATAAGGAGTTTTTAATATTAAATTTCCTATTTTTTCAACTCAATGGAAGTGATTACAAGTCTAGAAACAGTTAGGAATTTTGATTGTTAGTCAAAAAGTTTTGAAAAATTCTGAATATGTTACTTTGGATCCATAAGTAATTAAATAATCATCTTTTTTATTTTGCATTTGAGAGTGAGGTCTCAATTGTTTACCTCAGAGTTAGATCATGAGTCATCTAGCAATCGTTTTTAAAGTCATCACAATTTTTTCGGAAGATTAGTGTTGGAAAAAAAATTATATTTCTCATCTCTAATTAAATGATGAAAATAAATTTACCTAGTTTGGATTATTCACTCTCCCTCAATCTACATCTTATCATGTTTCTGTGTAACAGGGTCTGAAAACTCAAAAGATAATCCAGATGTACGACCAGTAACGGAGGAAGCAGAGGAAAACGAGAAAGAAAACAAAACAGAACAAGCTAAGGAGAAACCTGAGTCCAAGGAGCCTCCCCCAGCGGACGGTGCCAAGAAGAACGACACAGAGAAAGAAAAGAAAGATGCAAAGGATGAGACTCCAAAGAAACCAAAAATCGTCACGTTGAAAGAGCCGATTAAATCAGAAATCGAAGATCTAGGGATCCCTGTACTTTCTGGAGATGCCTACAAGGCGACTTCTGAGTTGTAAGTCTACTGTTTCATTCCTGTAATCGTATACCAAAATTGTTTAGTGATCGATTTAACTTGAATAGACTCTAGATTTCCTTTGAGAGGGAAGTGGAAATTAACCTTGACAAAAATCGCTATTTTCCAATGTATGCATTAAATTTAGAAAGTTTGAATGCGTCTATCATATTCTGCTTACAATTTTTATGAAGAAGCATACAATTTTGAACCTTATCCAGTGATTTATTCTAGACAAGACTCAGTTCAGTACATTCCATCTGCACTTGCTCAAACGAAATCATTGTTATCTCATCATGAGTTATGACCAACAGCCAATAAAATAGTTTTTAACGTGAAATCTGCTGTAAATGTGACCCAGTCACTCAGAGATCATAAGCATGCAGTTCTGATCAAATTTTTAGCTATCTACTTCCCTCGCTCTTTGTTAAAAAGTTAAAATGCTGTGTTAGAAAAAGGTTAAAAAATTACACTAGGCTCAATTATTTCCAACTAACGCAAAACCCTATCTGTCCTAATTTTGAATTTTTTTCATAACAGGATCGAGGCCTACAATAAAGCTGAACTTGAAAAAGCTCACCAAGAAAAAGCGTTGAATTTACTTGAGAGTGCTGTTATCAGTTACAAGCAAAAGTTGCAAGATGATGAGTTTGTTAGCTTTGCAAATACTGATGAAGTTGATAAAATCAAGGCTCGCAGTAATGAGGTAAGTTCTCAAAAGTAGAGTAGGTTGGTATTATTTTTTTTTTAAAATAGAACTTGCAAGCTGATGGTATACTTTTTTCAGCTATTTTGGCAAGTTGAAACAAAGAAGTAAATAGTTGTAGCAGATGACTGTGTGAATCATTGATGTAAGTTGTATTGACTAGCTGAGCCGAGCAAATACCAACGGTTACACTTCCAAACTACATATCTTGTCAGCGGTGTTTAAAAATATCGTTCTTTTTTTATTTTTTCAAAGGAGAACGACTCAACTTGATTCCTTGAATTTTTCACAGAATATTCATCACACTGTGAAGAAAAGTCACCAAAGGAACTACACAAAATTGCAAATCGTGATACGTGATTAAGGAGTCTCACCATAGACATGGCTCATATTTATGAAGAATAGAAATCTATGATGGTCCTGCTGCTTAGCTTTGACACTGTCTCACTGAAGCTCCCCTCAAATGGCCCTGCAACTTTTTTTATTATCTTAAGTTTTGATGCATATTAATCTCATTTTTTTGCTACTCTTTTCCTAAAGTTCTGCAATCTTCAAGCTTTTTAGATGAGCCACTAATGATTTTGATTCTCTGAGTTTACAAATTTTATTTGCCCATTTGAATGGCATATCTGATGAAATCATTGTCTTTGTGGAAGTATCAAAAGGAATCCATAAAGAGCAATGAAAAAGTTTTTGATCCGTCAAAATTTTTCTCAAAAAATCCGTCCTCTTTTGTCTCCCTATTAGTTGAGCGAGTGGTTGGATGAAGAAGGCTACAGTGCAGATACGAAAACGCTCACAAAGAAATTGGATGAGTTTGACACGCTTGTGAAGCCAGTCCTAGAGAAGAAGAAAAATCACGAGACTACACCAGAGGCATTGGAGAAACTTGAAAACGCTATCAACAAGACTAACACCTTCACGACAGCCATACGGAACATGACGGCAACTGCAGAAGGTGACCTCCCACCATTCTACAGTGAAACCGAGATGGATGGAATTGATAAGCTTATCACTGATATTCAGGTAAAGCAAATATGGTCAATGTATGCCCCACCGAAGTGTTTTTGCATATGTTCTAGGCCAGGCCGAAGAAATGCGTGAATAAGCAGTAAAATTCAATGGCTGTAAAGTATGTACTAATAATAGGAATCACAAATGCAGTCTCTCAGTTTTGTCCTTAACAACCTTTACACAATTGATTTCATGGTAAACCTGCAGATAGCATTCTTACCGCTTGAAACCCTGCTAAGGATCTAACTGCTCAGCCATGGCTGTGCTGACCCAAAAATATCAACAAAAAACTAACTGGTTAGGCCAATGTAAATGTATTCTACCAAGACTTAATGAGAAAGAATGATAATCAAATTTTTTGCCTCTCTCAATGAATACTTAGGTTATCCAGCTTATTACTATGTGAGTCGGTGGTAAAATTGATAGATAAAATGAAATTGTATTTGCTTAAAATGATAACAATCCAATTCTTTAATGTTCTCAGCGAAGCTAGAGAAATCTTTTTCCAAAGGGATGTAAGTAAATTAAGGCAGTATTATTATCAGTTGTCCCATATCATCTCAAAATAGGCAAATTAAAACTCTTAATTTTTACTCCAAATTAAAGTTACAGTAGCATTTCAATCAATAATTCTGAAAGAATTTTCAAGAATTAGATTCATTTCATTTCCTTGGAAAAATTTTTACAAGAATACACAAGTTGTAAAACTTCAAGGTTATCATAATAATTCATTCTCCTTTTTAGCTTGATCAATAGATTCAGTAATTTAATGAGTCATGAGTAGAAAATTGGTCACTTTTCGGTGATCGCTAGATCTATGTACTACTTATCGGTAAATTTTGTATTTTTCCAGAAATGGAGAGACGACACGGTGGAACAACAATCTAAGCTAGCTCGCTCTGATCCCCCTGTCCTAGTCACCAGGACAATATTCGAAAAAATCCAGCTAATTGAAACTGAAACCAGGATTCTCATCAATAAAGTGAAATTATGGGATCAGGCAATGAAAGCAAAATCTGCTCAAGACGCGACCAAAAATGACACAAAGAAAGACAAAGCAGGTATGTTGCGTCAGATGACGAACACCTCCTACGTGGCCAATAAGTAAAGTATGGTTTCAGGATGAATTAATGTAGAATAAGACAAAAGTATGGAATAAAAGTATAATACTTCACACCTGTTATACTTGATGTGTGTTAGGATCAAGCTCCTATAAATTTGTAGCTTTCCACAAGTTAAGTAAATAGCATCAATAGTTACCATAACAGAAAGGAAGACCATCCCTGAATTTACTAGGAAAATTGGAAATATTTTTGGTCAAATTCGTTCAATTGTGTTCGCAATTTAATCTAAAATATCTGAAAATCTCTAGACAAGAAGTGCCCAACTTTTCTCAGAAATACAGGTTTTAACCAGGGAAATTTGGAAATTCTCGAATTTTCATCGGGCTGTCTTCCATAACACAGCAGCATAGCTTGCTGTTGAACCAAATTGAGAAGCCGGTAATACTCTTGCATCAGTGGCGTGGCGTGCTTTGCGATATATCGATTGTTATGCCATTTAAACCTATAACAAAGGATCAATAAACAGGGTGTTTGCAGCGAACACCTTAATAATCAATTCTTTACCATAGGTATAAATGGCAGAACAATCGATACATCGCAATTCACGCCATGCCACTGTCTTGCATGCCTAGCAGAAGGTCTATTAGGGTTTAAAGAATCTTTATCATATCTGAAAAATTGGAGTTTTGACCATTTGAAATAAAAATTTTGATTGAAATATCAAATAGTAAAGATTTAACAAAAAACTCTCAATCAGTCTACTCGTGAGAGGAGCCGCACCCAACTCTTGAAGGTGATGTCTGGTAAGCTTCCACAGAATTTAATCTATTCACGTTTGAAAACAATTCTGTTTTGTCCTTTAAAATTAATCATTAAAATTTTTCCTCTCACAGGCAAAAAGCGATCTAAGAGCAAACAGACAGAAGGAGAACAAGCAAAATCCGAAAAAGGCACCGCAGACAAAGAGGCAGGCGAATCAGTGCCCGAAACGGAACCACAGGTTGAGACTCCTGTAGAATCAGAGCCTGAACAGCCACCGCAAGAACAACCAGAAAAGGTGGCAGAACCAAGCACGCCTGAAGCAGAATCTAGTCCGTCAACTCCCGGTAAGTTGCTAACTTTAAGTCATTAATATGTCGATTTTTTTCCTGATTTCTTTTCTCAACTTTCAAAGTAACCTTTTTAAAAAACTTTGCAGTCGACCCAACCGCAGATGAGCTTCAAAATTAAATATCTGTGCGAAGATTTCTTAGTCATTCATTTACATAGAATTTGCTTTTGTAATTCAAATTTTCTTGAGTCTGAGCAGTGAATTTGAAAAAGTCTAATGTTGATTCCTTATTGGTCTTTTTCTTCTTCCTCTATTCCAAATGAGTTTAAAATACTCTGCTTTAAATCGAGTTTGAACAAATGGAATTAACTTTCTGATATTGTAGAAAATACAAGAATAAATATTTGAAACTTTTAATCACTAAGATCAGAGCTAATATGGTGTAATTTGATAAAGTTTGAGTTACAGCGAATAATTAAAAATCCGTTTTTCTTCCCTCAGAAAAAAACGGGAAGTTTTTGAACAACTATGGGGTCATCCCTAAATTACGCAATGCTATTGGATATGAGTAGAGATTTTTGATGGCATTTCAAGGGTAGAAGGGTATTGACTGAAGTGTTAAGCAATGATTTTGAGCGATTTTTCCTCCGTTCTCGAAGTAGTTTTTATCAATCGTCTCTAGGAATTTCGTTGAATTGAATCTTGAGAAAGAAGAGTGTAGTAGAAAACTGTCACTCTTTTGTTGGCTCATCAACTATAATACTTTTACTTTACCTTATTTGATAGCAACTTCAAACTTTTCTGTAAAATTTGTTTGTTTTTTTTGACATGTTTGCGATGGGAGTAGGAAAGGGTCTGGACAGTCTAGCACAATTTATGAAGTCTCATAGTAAGGCAAATTGTACAGTGAAGCAATTTTTTCCAACGTAGATGGAAGAACTGAAATTAGAGTTTTCAATACAAAACATTCTAGTGTCCCAAAAAATAAGTCGTGAGCGACTTGGTTCATTTTTGTGTCAGTAGAAAGCATTAAGTTGCATTCAAGTGGGACAGTACTAAGCCCTGAATATGGCACATTAAAACTCAAAATGGTTTTATTTTATTGAACTGCAAATTTCAAATTGTTATTACTCCTGTTTGATTTCGGTAAACCTAGTTGTTTTTTGTGTCAAAATGTCTGTGGACAAAGCCTCTGAGCAGTGGCTTTAAATGCTTAATATTGAGTAATTTGGCTCTGAAGCAGCTTCTCTTGTGAATGTCCACATTTAACCCCTAATTCTAAGCGTGTCGCACACTTTTCTTTATGTTTTACTGCACCATCTCAAAAAGAAACCTCTTTTGTACAACTATATCTTGCTCGAGTTCATCAGTATTTCCGTCCTTTGGGGCCGTTCAAGTATTATGCAAGCCATTTTGACTGACTTTTTGAGACCCCTTCCCCCTTGTAAGCCACTCATTAACCAACCTCTTACCTCCCCCCCCCCCTCAAATTTGTCTAAAAGCAAAGAAAAGAATTTTATTAATAATTCCTGAAAAAAGTTGTTTTTATTGGAAAATATTTTCATTTTAAGAAAGGAGGCTTATGTTAGCCTGGACCAGATCACTACCCTCCTCCTATAAGACCCCATAAGGCAAGCTCAGATCCTGTGACTTATATAATATTTGAACAGCCCCTTTCTTGTGAAAACAGAATCTGACAATACTCTTGAGACCACCAGCCCTAGTGTTTATGCTTGAGGTGATATTTTAAGATTTTTCCTTGTCATCAAATTTTGGTTCTTGGATAATGGTCATTGTTCGATATTATCATCTGAATCTTCAATTTTTTCAAAACTTCGAAAAGAGGCTGTCTGAAAAAATTGAAAATTGAACAACTCATTGCTGACATTAGAGGCTCAGAATTGTGGATCCTCCATTACTAAGGGCTTCATTTAATTTTTGAGTATGTGTGTGTGTATGTGTGGGTGTGTTTGGCTCACCCAATGGTTGAAACATGTTGCAGAAACCATGCGTGTGAAACTCACGTCGGTTCCTGAAGATACGAAGCCATCGTGGTTTGCCTCCTCACTTGCCGCTTTAGCAATCCACTTGACATTCCTGTTGCTTTAACTCGACTTCACTCCCATCACTCATGATCTCATACCGGTTACCGAAAGTTACCTGCGTATGTTTTTGCCTGTTTTATCATGCAGTTTTACTGCTTAATTTCTGGTGGTGTCGATAACATTGGTAACCGGTGCTGGGACTGCTTCGTAACACTGCTTTTTCAGTAGCCATAGCTCAGTTCGAATTTGATGTTTCTCCGCTTTTATGATGCATATGCTTCTATAACGCCTTTATAATGCATAACCTAACATTATATGGTTAGGTAACAGTCTCTGCCGTTTGAAAATATGACAACTTTAATCTAAATGCTTCGGCGCAGCTGTTGGACGCTTTCCAGACTTCGATCATCATAGAGCAGGCCAGAAACACTGCTCAATTAAGAACCCTGCCAAAACTGTTGATGACAAAGTTTATTTAGGCTCTCCTTTTTCTATTGAGCAGAAATTTCAAGCTCTCCGTAACTGTGCTAAATAAAAGCATCAATATCCTGGTTAGGAGGCAATTTCAGTAATTTTCATCGCGCAAATGGATTTCAACACCAAATTTTGAAGAGAACATATGTATCAGAATGCGTGAGTTGTCCAATGGTCCATTTGGTCCTTTCCTGCTAAGAAAATGCATCCGAAATTTTTATATTATTACCAGAAATGTCAATGTATCACAGGCAGCATGTGAGGTCTAACAGAGAAAGGGCTAAAATTGACGTTTCAGTTCCAGTACCCACAAAGTGAAGGAGCGGAAGTCAAGAAATTTGTTAAAATTCTAGCCTCTTCTTTCAAAAGGTTTGAAGGAAACTATAGCCCTCTTTGCCCTGTACACATCCCATCTATTTTTGTAACTCTGTGACATAATCTGGTAAGTGTAGTTCTCCTATTTCCAGGAACAAGAATTGTTTATGTTCGTAAAATATTTTTCATGTATTTTTTCATTTTCACTTTCAGATTCAGACCCTCCCAAACATGCAGAGCTGTAAGAAGCCGTTTTCAACGCCAAAAAAGTATCTCATCCCAACACTCGATGCATTTGAAGTGCTGCAGAGAATGCGGAAGGAAGTTACTGAGCCAAAATAGTCCTGTTTCTAATGACTGAGATATATAGAATGCCATCCAATCTCAAAATTTTGTGACTAGGAGGAAAATATTCAATTTAATTTTCTGCCAAGGTATATTTTTGTCCATGGGCTGGAACAATAGGTACCTTCAAAACGCTCTAATTAAAATAACTGTGAAAGGAATAGGCCGAAGAAAAACCACATGGCTTTCGATTGAAACGAAGGCTTGTGCATTTTATCTTCTGCGATATTCCCACCCCGGTGAGAAATTGCAATCATTTAGTTCATAAGCTCGGAAAATATCATGAAGGAGTTTTGCTACCTCAAACCTATCAAGATATCAATGGCTAAACTCAAAAACAATGTATCTCAATCTGCAATGATGTAGAATTCCTCTTCATCTTATTTTTTAAATTAATTATTAATCAACATTATCTCAGGAAAGTTTCCGGTTTTTTTTCTCTTTGTTTAAAGAATATTCTGTGAGAATTTCATAAAGTTAAATCGTAATCCTTCAGTGAAAGGGACTTAAAACTAAGGACTAGGAACTTAAAATTTTGAAAATTCACCACGGATACAAATGGTTTTTGAGTTTAGCCATCAATGTGGTAATTAGTCCATTCTTTTCCTAGTTTGGTCAGACATGAAGAGCAAGTTTCAAAAGATGCGCTTTGATGCCCAAAATGCATCAAAGGGAAATTTTGAAGCAGGATTTTTTTTTCTTTATTTTTATCTGATAGATAGATAGTCAGCTGTGCTCAATCAAATTAACTCTCTGAAGGCTGAAATTAAGGTGGTGAAACATTGAACTGAAAAGAGTATACCGTATAAAACTTGTCAAAAGTATATTTTGATAGTGCTGTAAAATTAAGAGTTTAATTGCACCAGGACTGCTTTCACTCGATCAAATTGTGGAATGTTCAGAAATAGGTGGTCTCACATCCATTTTAAAAACCAGTGTAAAACCCTTTTCTGATAATTTCAGAGAATTTAGAAAGAGTTTCACCAACAATGCAGAAGTTTTCCAACATATAATAGACTTCTTCCTCATTTAAGAAAAAAAAGAAAGCATCCCACAATTTCATAGGATTTTTTATTTTTTTCTTGCCTTTTCAATGTTTAATTTTTTATCTTAATAAGCTGAGGACTGGAAGACGGACCAAATTGATAAGAACATGATGACCAAACTCCGAGCTGTTTTCCCCAGTCAGTTTTTAAAGACCTTCAAGCTGTAAAGAAACCAATAAAAAATGTTCATGGTTTTAAGCTTTTGAGCCCATGCTTTCGGGAACCTAACAGTTTAAAAATTTGAGCCATAGCCTAAGTTTTGTACCTATCATCCGGAAAATTTTCAAGAAAGTGTATGCTCTCTCAAGCTAGGAGAGATTCTGTAAAAAGTTACTTTTTGAATGTCATTGACTTGGCAAGAAGGCTCTAGGTTTTTAGGGTAACTCTCATTAGTTTACTATGAATAGATAAGATTATTAAACTGATTGCATCAGCCACTGGTCTAGCATATGATAATGTATGTAACTGAAAATGAATTTTACCAAAGTAGCATTTAGTTACAAAATTGTATTGTAAATCAGAACGATTAGCTCTACTCATGGTAAGTTTCCTGTAATGTAGAGCTGATTAGACTGCATTTTGTAATAAGGAACTACAATATCTGGCTCAACGGTAAAAAACTTGGGTGCATAGGACTAATGGTACTTACGTTGATTCTGAATCAAGCCAGAAATTGTAGTTCCTAATTGTAAAATATTGTCTAATCATCAATAAGATCCCTCACAACATAAATTTCAGTTTGTATTGTATTACAGTTTACTTTAAGTGTATGCATGCCGTCCAATTTTGATGAATGGAGATGAGTTAGGTATTTAAAACAGTTTGATCTGGTGAAAATAGTTCTACCGAAATTGCACTCAAATTAAATTTTGATCCTGTCACCCACAATCGATACGCATGTGTGTAATGTTTCCTATTTGTCCTGCTCTCCCTTTTCATAGACTTTGTGTTTTTGCGATAGAGTCAACCTTGAAAATCAGGCTCCCTTACCCAAGTTTCTTGATCAACAGCAGAGATGTTGCAGGATCTGTTTGGCCGGGACTGGACCTGCTGCTCTCTCTCATCGTAGATCAATCGAAAATAACTTCTCCAAATAAAATAATTTTGCACTGGAAGTAGTTCCATCATGGAGTAATGAGAACTTGGACTAATAAGTTTGCAGTTGTTAACTTCTCACCATCACTTGCAGTAGACTGATTCTCATCTTTGCCCACTGCACGACAGCCTTTGTACCTTCCATTGGAAAACAAAAGCAAGGTCCTGCCCCCTTTCAAGCTCATAATGAGATGAAACTTCAAATTGGAAACATAATACTTTTCAAGAAAGTTTTGTGTCACTCTGATGTTAGTCAGTCACTTTTAAAACAATAATGCCCAAATACTGAGGCAGTGCTGATGGAATTTAATGGACCTCTGGATAAGGTCTGAACCAGAAAGAACTGTTACACGCATTCTGTTCAAAATCTTGCGTAGAACGGACTCCCACAATGAGACATTCAGAGATCAACTCCCGATTGAAATATCAACACATACATATTCCTCCAACACAGATCAAGTGGAAGTAAGATTATATACATGACGTCATTCCTGCTTTTACCTCATAACCAATGATAATAGTGAACTTTTATATCTCGTTCAGAAATTAACTTTCAGACTCCTCTTCGCAGGACTCGTTTAGGTAATTTTGGAGAGGAAACATGTTGTGTAATAACTGACTTCATACTTTGTCCGGAGGCCCAGTGTGCTAATATTACAAGAGGCTTGCCCACCGTGAGGGCTCTCTTCAATTCAGATCCCTTTTTGATACTGACTTTGATCTATGAACTTTTCGAATTTGATGAGAGGGAGGGCGAGACATGGAAACATTTTCTATGCCTAGTTGCCTAAGACAGTTTAGTTAAATTATTCAAGTTTTCATTGTATAACTGCAGTATGATAATAGATCCACACAAGATTTTAGATATCGGTAGTTAAGGGTTTTCTTCTGGTAAAACTTGTGATTTATTTTTGTTATGTTTGCTAAGTAAACAAAAATTTTGTATAAACCTGTTTATTTTTAGTTCATTCAGTTGTTTTATGGATTACTTTCCTGTAGTTGTAGAATTGTAAATTTTTCTAGGCAAATTTTTTAATATCTTTACTTAAGACTCAAGCATGTCTTGGCAGCTCTTCGTTGGGAGAACCTGTGTCCTGTGTATTATAAGTTTCTTGTGATTGAAATATGTTTTAAGTACTTTAAATTAAAGGCCACTCTTTTGCTACCAATTTCATCTGTTCTTTATTATACATCAAGATATATATTGTTGTATTTTTGGCTGGATTGATTTATTCTGGCTAGAAGTTGTGGCAGGTTTTGCTCTGAGAACTGATTTTAATTGACTGATTCAGTAGCTACGCCATTCTTTTGAAGTATTGCATAATTGATTCGCCATGGTTCAAACAAGAACAAGCAAAACCCACAATTCCAAGTCCTGCATGAGTTAATAGTGTCAATCGAGGCATTTTTCGGTAAAAAGGCAGATGAGATTTCCAATGCTTCTAAATGCTAAACACAAAACTAACTGCAAAATAATCGACATACATGACTAAAATTTTATGGAAAATTTACTATCTCAAAATTGTGAAAAACTTTTAAGCAAAGTGACATTTTTGTGGGAAAGAGAACAAACAGGAGTTCCTGAACTTTCACTGAATCAGTCTATTTAATCAGTTTTCATGAGTTTTTTAACTTGATTTTAACCATAGCCATTCAATGCTACTAGGGCAGAAAATTCTATTCACTCTGAGGTCCCCGTTTCAAAAAATCCGGTTTTCTTAGGCCGCTATAGAGTTCTTTATCTTTCCTTGATGGCCGTTTCACGCTCAAAATACAGCTTGGATTTTCTTGAAACATAAATGAGATATTTCCACATTGAAAAACAGAGCTTAATAACAAAGGGGATCAAGAAGTGGCCACTTCTGTTATGCCACATACAGCAGGAAAAGAGGAACGGATCTAAGTTACTGGAAAAATCTTTTTTATTAAAACGTTTCACCTTAACCTAGAATATACACCAAGATAACATTTAGCTGGCAACGCCGCCGTCTGTGGGCACTGTCCTGATGATATCAGAGTCTCCGGGGTCTGTGATCGAAAGGGTGCAAACTCGGAAGTATTTACCACAAGCTGTACCTAATTCAATGTTGTTGCCGTTGTAGTGGTGAACACCTGTTTTGGCTAACATGGCATAATATTCAACTTCAGATTTCCTGGAAAAAGATAATGAATAAATAAGTAGGTAGATAAGTTTAAGGTGTTCTACAACTGAGATTTTGGTTGATTACGGAGAAAATGCCCCACTTCTCAGCAAAATTTTCACCTATTTCAGAGGATGACCAAAAGAGGTGGTCATCATTTTTGAAAGTTGTCTCATATTAGCCATGAGATGAGGCATTCTTGGTGCCCTCACTTTTACTAATGAGCTTCTAAGTATCGGTAACATAATAATGATACCTCAATTCATAAAAATTTCTATTTAGGGTTTCTATAGAATTACAGAAGCGAGTTGCTGACCTTACCCTGACTTTTTCTAGACTTAATCCTGACCTTAGAGCCGATTTTGTAAGAGAGATGGTCAAGATACTCATTGCTTCAGAGCAAATATGAATGATTTTAAGAGGAAGGTGGACATTTTCCAAGAGCAGAGAAAAATCGATGAACAAAGATTTTGAGGCTCAAATGGTTCATTCAACAGAGCCTTGAGAGGGCTACATAGTTTCAAGATATTTCTTTGAACCCTTAGTCAATCTGACTTTTAGTTTGAGTCTTATGTGAAAGAAAAATTAATTTTAAAAGCTCATTGTGTTTGGAATGTGGTAAGGAACATTATATGAATATAAAATTGAAATTTAGCCAGGACCAAATTGCTTAGTATTAAGCAAAAGATCCATTTTCGCCTTATTCCCTTCCTTCAATTCAAAATTTTCTTCAAACTCATTACGAAAATACTTGATCGGTTCCCTTGTTAAAAAATTATTTTCTTCAAACTTTCCAAGAGAGTGCTGTTCGGCTGCAACATGAATGTTTGTGAACGATGTGCATCAAACTCTAATCTCTTTGGACAACTGTCCTAATTTTGTTTTGTTTTTGTCCTCCCATTGCAGTAATGAAAAAATTTGGAAACATAACTGCATGCACAGATCATCCAATACTTTGGGATGGTAAAATGAAACAAGCAGGAAGCTCCAACGCATTGGCGTCGGAGAGCGGCTCTGGGGGCAGTAGTTGTAGTCAAGAATGAGGGCCTAGACACATTTTGTCATTGATGTACAATCCGACAACTGTCGATTCATGTTTTGTAACTTAGCAGATTTACGTAGCCGGTGTATAAATGTGTATTGGGCTTTGATATGGCGAATACATGGCATTATCACTTGTTGTATACTTTTAATTTTGAAAGCTTACACCGAATTTATTCGTACAGAACATTCAAAAATCCCGTGAAAAAACAGCTCACAAATAAAAGCAAATTGCCATAGAAACTTCTTCACGAAATCACACACAACGAAGAACGAGGCGCTACAGACGAGTCCGTCCAGGACAAGTTAAAAAATTCCCATGAGCCGAGTGCCATAGGTTAAGGGCCCGTTCGCCAAAACTAATCGGAACTGTATGAATGAATTGCTCCTTTTAAAAATCAAAACAATATCGAATTGCGATATATTACACAGTTAAGATAGGGCTATGTCCTGTCGTAAGCGGCGACATACAGTCGATATCATTTCAATAATCGCCCCAATGGCCACGATAGTTGTTAGACGTTTACGGTTTCCCTGGTAACCTTTGTTTGCTATCAGCTGATATCAAGTAATATGACTAGGAAGCTCCAACCCAGTAGTTAAAGCTTCCTTAACCGCGAAAACTTTAAAATTCAAATTTTCAAATTTTGAACGTAAAGTACATTTTTTCCATCACGAGATAAAAGCACAAACAAGTTTTGAATTGTTGACTGTATCACCATGATTCCAAAAATACAATACACAACATAGCATTGACTAACAATAAAACAGTATGCAATAAAATAAAGTCATGACAAGGAACATAGCCGAAAATGGCGCCGATTCCCATCAACCAACGCGCGGTCTCTACAATGTAACATGCTGCATTGATACTCCCCAGCTGGGACCGTCCGGAATAGCAGCTCTAGTGCAAGCACCAGAGCCGCTAAAATGACCTAACTGACTCATTAGATAAGAGAGCAAAAAATTGAAACTAGAGTGAGGAAGACAATTTCATTCTTACCACCAATTTTGTAAAATCGCATTTTAGTAAAAATTGGGAGGCAGAATTCAGAGCTAGTCCAGAGAGAACTGGACCTGGGGTCTTTGAGACTACTCCATAGAACTCAGGGGGACAAAAATCCGCTTCATACGGATTGCAATAAAAACTTTTTTGAGTTCTACTTCTCAGTCTCACCTTAAAGCAGGAGTGTTGTTGGCTAAAATGACTAATTTAGCTTTCCCTTGTCGGAGGGTTTTTAGGGTCTGTTTGTACCCTAGGTAGTATTTCCCTGACTTGATGACGAGAGCCAGCCTGGTGTTGATGGACTCTAGGGCTTTTTTCTGAAAAAGAGAAAAAAGTGAAGTGTTAGTGGGATACAAATTTTGAACAGGGAATATAAAAAGCTGAACCAAACAATAAAACCTATCTTTTAGGTAAATGCTTTAGCAAATGCACAATACTGTACAACCGCCGAGTTTTGCTGAACAGAAAACAGAAAACATTAAGTAATTGAAGATACTTCAGCTAGGGGCGAACATATTAATCAAGCAATATGTCATGTGATCTATATATTCATCATGATATCTCCATGAACTAAAATCATAAATTAGAATATTTCCTAAGTTAGGATCAAATGACAGAATCAGAATTTAGAATTTGGAGTTATTTCAGCTAGGGGCGAACATATTAATCAAACAATAGGTCATGTGAACTATGTATTCATCATAATATCTCCATGGACTAAAATCATGTGCTACAATGTTTCCCAAGTTAGGAACAAATAACAAAATCAGAAACTGGGATTTGGAGTAATTTCAGCTAGGGGCGAACATGTTAATCAAGCAATATGTCATGTGAACTATGTATTCATCATATCTCCATAGACTAAAATTATGTATTAGAATATTTTCAACGTTAGGAACAAATGAGAGATTCAGAAATTAGGATCTGGAGTTATTTCAGCTAGGGGCGAACATATTAATCAAACAATATGTCATGTGAACTATGTATTCATCATAATAGCTCCACAAACTAAAATCAGGTATTAGAATATTTTCAACGTTAGGAACGAATGAGAGATTCAAAAATTAGGATCTGGAGTAATTTCAGCTAGGGGCGAACATGTTAATCAAGCAATATGTCATGTGAACTATGTATTCATCATATCTCCATAGACTAAAATTATGTATTAGAATATTTTCAACGTTAGGAACAAATGAGAGATTCAGAAATTAGGATCTGGAGTTATTTCAGCTAGGGGCGAACATATTAATCAAACAATATGTCATGTGAACTATGTATTCATCATAATAGCTCCACAAACTAAAATCAGGTATTAGAATATTTTCAACTTTAGGAACGAATGAGAGATTCGGAAGTTAGGATCTGGAGTTACTTCAGCTAGGGGCGAACATATTAATCAAACAATATGTCATGTGATCTATGTTTTCATCATATTTACGTCTCCATGAACTAAAATTATCCATTTGAACATTTTGGGGGTAAGAGCAGAAAAGAAGAGCCAAAGTTGGGATATGGAGATGTCTCAGCTAGGGGCGAACATATTAATCAAACAATATGTCATGTGAACTATGTATTCATCATGTTATCTCCATGAGTTATGATCATGTTTCCGAATATTTTGCAAGGAAGGAGCAGATGAGAGAAGCAGAGGTTGAGATATGGAGATGTCTCAGTTAGGGGCGAACATATTAATCAAACAATATGTCATGTGAACTATGTATTCATCATGTTATCTCCATGAGTTATGATCATGTTTCCGAATATTTTGCAAGGAAGGAGCAGATGAGAGAAGCAGAGGTTGAGATATAGAGATGTCTCAGCTAGGGGCGAACATATTAATCAAACAATATGTCATGTGAACTATGTAATCATCATGACATCTACACCTCAAAGTCCATAAAAATTACCAATAACGTTTTGCTGCAGAGGTATTTGAAAACCTTAGTGGGAGATATTTCAGCTAGGGGCGAACATATTAATCAAACAACATGTCATGTGAACTATGTATTCATCATAATATCTCCCAAAACTGCAATCATGTATTATAATATGTAGTGAGTGATAGTCATATGAAAGAAACAAAGGTTTGCGAGTATGTGGAAATGTTTCAGCTAGGGGCGAACATATAAATCATCTAATTTGTCATGTGAACCATGTGATCATCATGACATCTTCACAAAGCATGAAAGCTGTTGAATAAAAATTTGCTACAGGTGATGGAAAATAGTAAGCAATAATTGGAGATATTTCAGCTAGGGGCGAACATATTAATCAAACAATATGTCATGTGAACTATGTATTCATCATGATAACTCCATGAACTAAAAGCATGTATTTCAATATGTTGTAATCAAAGAGTAATTGAGAGAGGCTGAAGTTAGGATATGGACTCAATAATTATGAATAGTATTATGTGAACTCTCGAAAATCCTATTGTATCCTCACTCCCGAAAATCTCAGGAGCAGATTCAAAAAAAAAGGGGGCATAAGCGGAGATTCCAGACATAAGGATTTGGTGCGAGTTTCAGGATCTTCATTCAATGTCAATTAATAGAATTATTGGAGTCATAATAGGAAAAAAGATATTTGTAGTAGAAGATACATCAGTCGGACGAATTTTAATCAAACACCAGGGCTAAGAGTCCATCAGAACACTGTGAACATACGATGAAAAATGCAGTTGGGAACTTGAGACTTCTCATTTTCAGCTCACTTTTCACAACAGAGACAAAGTGGAAAAGTTCCAGTCGAAAAAAATTCACTAGAAATGGTTAGCCCAGCCACTTTACATCCATCGATTTGTTCTTGGTGATTTGATAACATCTTGCGCTGGGTCATCTGCACTCCGTGATCATCATCATATCTTCAATACAAGGGAGGGAATGTGAAACATGCTATCTGCTGGAAATGATTAAATCAATTCCTGATAGGGAAAAAAATGAGAAAATACGCTTGCATCTTGTCATAATTATTTTAGGCATTGTAATACAAGACAAAAAAGAAGTGATAGAAATTTCCAGTTAAAAACAAATGGAGCCAGCAAACCACACTAAGAAAGTAATATGGCTGGAAGAGATTCATCCTGTTCCAACACTGTGGGAGTAAAAGACAGCCTCAAGAGTTAGCTTAAGGGCCGATCATTGACTACATAATGCTATATTTAAAACTTTTCGGTCACTTTTTTTTTTTTTTGCCAAATTCAAATAGCCTATCGGCTAATCCCACGCTTATTACCCCAGCCCCAGGTGACCATTATCTGAGACCATCAAACTCTAATCACCTGGCCGGGAATCGAACCCGGGACCTCTTGGTCATAGGGCCAGCGCTACAACCACTACACCACAGAAGGCCGACTCCTCTTCCTTCATGACACACTTTTAACGTAGGTCCCTAACTTGAAGAGTCCACACTGAATAAGTTTGTGCACTTTTCGACTGCAACAGAAGATCGTTTGACGTAACTTTGGCAAGTGAGGTAAATGTAAGGAGCAATACGGCCGAATTTCTGTCACAGTTTAAAGGTGCATAAACTTACTCCGCATGAACTATAAGCTTTCGACCATGTTGTTTCATACAATGAAACAGCATGGCTTTGCACTCTCCTTTACCCCTCACTCCTAAAGCGACACGCGACTTTCAAATAGCCCCCAGGTAAACGTGCTCCGTTTCTCAGAATTTTGATTTGTTAATTAGTAGTGCAAGGTGAAAACTAAGGGGGGATTGACTTAGGTTAAAGAGACATTTGACCACGGCACAATGAGATAAGATCGATGAGAAAACGGCAGCAATCTCAGTGCATGAATGTAGAGGAAAAGATTTTCGTAAGCCAGGGGTGGTGAGATATTGCAGAATTTACCTTGGGGAACTCTGGTAAACGGAGGGGTATTTGGATAAGACATATATCGTAAATTCTATTCATTTTCACTAATCAGGCGTACCAGTATGTAGCATGCACGTAAAGGCCTATAACCTCAGGCTGTGGGCATGAGGTGGTTCAGGTGCGAGACCGAAATCCCGAGAGTGTGAGGGTGTAATAAAAGGATTTCATAGTGCTGGTAGAATGACTTGAGACCACCAAATGGTTGTAAGAAACTACAGGAGAAGTGAACATGCAGGATATTAGACTAGATAGTTGCGGCGGTGTACACGAGGACGTCATCTAATTCGGGCTTGAAATTCACCCTAGAATGGAAGCGAGAGACAATTTTGTGTAAGCAATCAAACGAATTTTACCTGTTTCTTGATGGGAGCCATGACGAATATGAGATTAAGCTGGAAAAATTAAACTAAAAGTTTAAGTGGACACGTGCCACAGGCCGACGTTACTTCACCAATTCTAATGGCTGCCAAAATCCAAAAATCAACAAGGCGGACGTGCTGTCCGCATGGAGTAGACCAGAAGAGAGATTGCGATTCATAAATCAGACGCCATTTTGATTATTGTCGTGACAATTTATGACGTCTAAAAAGGGGTACTTACAACTAAATTTCGGTACCCTTCTGATTGTAAGAACGTGGTGCGAGATTTGGCAGATGCTACCATCACTCCTAAAGACGCAGAAGCATGGCAGAAGCTCCTCCATGATGTACGATTTGACTGTTGACAACAATGTGTATGTGTTGTTTGCCTCGTGAAGTAATTGCGAGGCGATGTTTGTAATTGTTATTTTCTTATTTTCATTCAATGTTCCGAAGTAAAAATGATTAAAATTTGATTAAATAGCCTTAAATTTCTAACAGATTGCCCGCAGTGTCCGCTGTGAACTCCCTGGACAGATTCTGATATTAGGTTCAAGTGATCCCCCATGTGCACGGAATAGGCATTCACGTGGTCGTTAATCATGGTAAGAGCCCATTTCTTACGATTAGCATATATTGAAATCTTCTTTACTCATTTACTGCTTTACTCCTGCTCCCTTTTATTCTCAATCGAACTGAACGTAATTTCTTTACCCGGAACCCGCACAGTTCGAGATTGGTTCGAGAGTGTTTTTGTGAAAATGATCGTAAGTACCATCATGAACTGCGAAGTGGCAGTGTGCGGGGTCTCAATTTTCAGATATCCTAGGATACTCTTCAAATATACCTCACACCTAATGTCAGTTGTCATTTTGTCATCTCCTAATATAATGATAAGATTAACATATTGTATGCGGAGTTCTGTGATTAGCCAACCATGCCAACGTTGTTGGTTGATACTACACTCCTTTTATTTTTTCACCCCAGTGGAACCTACATTTTATTTTCTCATTATTTGCAAATTTTTAAAAAAAATTTATGAGCCTCCTGCAGTCTCTCATTTCTCAGAATGAAATGGAGTAATAAATGAACGCCTTCAGTTCAAGGATATTGAGCGACATGGCCATTTTCCTGTGTCGTGAAATATCTAATGGGAGGTTGGCAGATTTCGTATCCACCTAAAATGAGTTCCTAATATTTTCCGATAGTCGAGCGTAACACTTCTTTTTCTACCTACTGAATTTTGACCCATAACAAAACACATGTCCCATTCATAAACCAAGAGAAAATTCAGGAAAACCCTGATGATCTATCATTTGCTAAAGAAAATTTAGAAAAACCGAGATGATCTAGCATTTTTCACTGCTATAATCTCCTCAGTATGCTTTTGTAACCCTCTTTTTCTCTTTGCAGTCTCTCAAGTATGTTCTATTTGAACATGCTGCCGGTTATGGCTTATTCAAAATCAAGGAGTTTGAAGAAATTGGAGCATTGCTACCTCAAGTTGAAGAATCGGTGACGGATCTCAGTCGGTTCAATCAAATCGTCTCACTTGTCACTTTCTCTCCCTTCAAAACTGCTGTGACAGCCCTCTCAAACATTAATAGCATCTCTGAAGGTGAGTCTGCTTGTTGTATTATTTATACATGTCACTTGAGCATAGAGTACATAGAGTCGTAATGTAAGTGGGTGAGCTGGCGCCACTTCTAAGCATTTTCCAGGTCCCGAATTCCGAGACTCCTGTATGACGCCGGGCCACTTTTTCGATACATAATCGATTGTTTGCGATACACGGGTACCCGGCCATCCGATGTAAACAAAGAAGATAGGGATCACCACGTATTCCGCACCGCCATTTTGGATCGAACTTGTATCGAAAAAGTGACCCGAACTCGGCGCACACCGGGCTCGGAACTCGCTGAGCAGATCATGGCGCCAGCTCTCCCATTTACATTACGATTTTATGTACTCTATGCAGCCCCTTGTCTTTCTGACTAATAAAAGATTGTCAAAAAATTACACAGAAAAAAATTGTTTGGAAAAGCTGAAATAATTTTAAAACATTTTCCTCCAAACCCTGATAGTTACCCAATCAGTGTCAAGAAAGAGAGCACATCTATACGTAAGGCTCATGATAGCTCTAATCTGAGAAGAATCATGAAAATCCATACACTCCTTTAAACTTCGGTGTGTTGGAAACTTCCCAGGAATAGATATTTTGAAACGGAATTGTTAATGTGGCTAAGACTTGAACAAAATTCTACACATGTAATCCTAGAAATAAACCCATAACTCCGAAGAAGCATGAAACAATGGTATTACATTTTAAAGTGGTGGAAAATGCATTCTAATCGTTTTTGCATGATGAAAATTACCATTTTTTGCTCTACAGTCCTTAATTTTTATGTTTGTGGTCTTCAATTTTCATGATTCCCTCTCTTTTCCAGGTGTCCTTCCCGAGGATTTGCAAACTTTCCTAGAATTTCAGTTTCCTAAGGCAAGTAAGAGGCCGAAAGTAAACCTTGGAGTCAGTGATGCCAAGCTAGGTGCTGCTATCACTGAAGCAACTAACATTACTTGCTCAGTAACTGGCGCTGTCCCAGAAATTTTGAGAGGTAAGGAGTTCTAGCATTTGAATCAACATTTTTTCCTGTTTTCCTTTTTTTTATGCCATTCAATTTGCAAGCTTCTAAGTATGTTTCACTCTTGAAGTAATTCTCTCAATAATTGAATTCAACAACAATACCCTGTTATTATTCAAAGATGTAATTTGTTGTATGATATTCCACACAGAAGATTTCTTTTACAAATCATGTAAATTTTATTATTAATGCACAGTTATAAAATGAAAAAAATATTCTTTGTCCAGGAAGTTATGATATTTGGTAAATCAAATTGAAAGGTAGTATGTAATTTTGGCGCAGTTCCTTGACCCTAATCTTCTACAAAGTGCTGTGCATAGGTCTTAGAATGCACAATGGACTGTAATTTGAATACAGTAAGGACTTCTTGGCGATGCTATTGCACTCAAATGTGTGTAGGGTTATTTTGACAGGAAAGGTGTTTTTCAGCTGAATTAATCGTAAGATACTGGCTTAATATCTATCATTTTCACTGTATGTGCCACAATTTAAATCGTAATTATCTTCTCTCTTTTAGGAATCCGTTTGCATTTTCCGAAATTAGTGAAAGGTTTCACGGATCAAACATCTGGCGTTGCTCAGCTAGGTTTGGGTCATAGTTATTCCAGAGCCAAGGTTAAGTTCAATGTTAATCGAGTAGATAACATGATTATCCAAAGTATTGCATTGTTAGATCAGTTGGACAAAGACATCAATACTTTTGCCATGAGGATAAGGTATGCTGTTTTTTTCTTCTATCTCCCTCTTTAGAAGTATATAATTTAATTATTTTTAAGTCATTCTATGAGAAGCGGTAAGTAGCCCTTCCCAGGCAAAGTCTGTTTACGATTGCAATGAAAGCTGTCTGTCAAAAAAGATTGCAGCCGCTCATAGTTCTATTTGATTTGTGTATGAAATGAAATACTTCAGAACACCGCATGAGTTCTCATAACCTAGGTCAAACTTTGCCTAAAACGACGATCTGTGCAGCTGTCTCTTCAAATCAACTTACCTTTCATTTTAGCACCCACCACAGCAAAGCAAAGTAAGTTGTTGCCGTGCTAGTTTTATGTAAGAAATGTTTTGATAACGGAATTTATTTATGCTATCTTCATATCTTCAGTATCATGACCTTCATCTACATTTGACATAGATATATATGTGCCTTAGCACATATTGTGTCGCTTTATTTATTCTCCTTTTATTCTAAGTCATTACTTATCAACCTTGGATAATTTTCAGAGAATGGTACTCCTACCATTTCCCAGAACTCATCAAGATAGTGCCAGACAACTACCTTTATGCTCGTGTCACAAAGTTCATCAAAAACCGTAAAGAGTTGACGGAGGAGAAACTTCCAGAACTTGAAGAAATAGTCATGGACTCAGGGAAAGCGCAAGCCATCTTAGAAGCTGCTAGGCATTCAATGGGTACTTAACATTTACACTTTACTTGTCAAATTTAGTGGATATTTTTTTATAAAACTCCTGATCTTCATGCGTCAAGATACCTCTGTAAGTCAAATTTAATGTGAGGCAATTAGGTGATAATTGCACAGAATTTATATTTTTGTGTTTCTTCAAGCCAAGCAAATTGGGCTGAGTCCTGTTAAGTGCCGGGACAAGCACATTCTCCACACTTTCAATTTTCTCAGATTAAGGCTGAGTGGTTCAGCTGTTTCACTTGTCCACCCCGTAAAAATTTGTTGTCACTTCAGTATTTGAACCTGGAACCAATTTAACTAGAGTCAAGTGTGCTAACCACTAAGTAAGCGAAACCATTTAACCGTCAAACAAAAAATCATCCAATAATTGTACAAAATTTAGTTAAATTGGATGAATCCTACAACAGTTGGTAAGCCACATGACAAATTCAAAATTGTTGAGATTCCTCCTATGTATCCATTTAACTCACAAATCAATATTTATGCAGGATATTTGTCCCTTCTGTTTCCACCCTTCACAATCTGCAATAAGTTTTCTCTGTCAACGATTTTAAATAATTCCATTCTCATTATTTTCATCAATTTTAATTCCCTTTTTTCTTGCAGGTATGGATATCTCGCCTGTAGATCTTATAAATATTGAAACTTTTGCAAGCCGAGTAACAGCACTTTCTGACTACCGGAAGAACCTTCACACTTACCTCAACAACAAAATGTCCAATATTGCACCTAATCTGAGCACACTAATCGGTGAACAAGTCGGTGCTCGTCTGATTTCTCATGCAGGTTCCTTGACCAATCTTGCCAAGTACCCTGCTTCAACAGTTCAAATTCTTGGTGCTGAAAAAGCTCTCTTCAGGTTTGTCCAAGTTTCTCTCACTCAGATTAGCCACTCATCTCAAAAGACATCTGTTTAACCTAATACCAACACAGAAACGGCAAAAACGGAACAACAAATCATTGTTTAAGGGGATGGCAACCCTAAAATCGAAAATCAGATAGTATTAAAAATTGAAGCAGGGAGGTGTAAGAAGCAAAATGGCTCCGCCCTGAATGAAAAATTCGCATAATTGGCAGAGATATGAAAGATTGTAACTCTGGCTGGTGACGTCATGCGCTCCCGGTGCGGCTGCGGTTCACATGCACACAACTCAAAGCCTGGCGCCGCAAGGACACCTTATTTGTCACACCCAAGCAAAGATGAAAGAGTCGGCCAGGAACGAGCGAGATCAGGTCGAACTAATAACTTGTTGTGAACAGGCGTCGGCCACTTGAAACCGGAGACAGAATGCAGAGTGCCGACTGCGAAGTGCGAGTCAAAGCTCATGACATCACGCGCTCAGCTGTTTTTTCGCGATAGCTGCTCAATGAATGTAGATATTTGCAAACGGATTTCGGCATTGTTCATTGCACACTTTTCTTCGTCGATTTAGCCAAACTTGTTTTTAAGGTTGCGGTCCTCTTTAATTTCTGCAGACCTAGAGTCTATTTTTACGGACTGTATGTTTTAAGTTTATAGAAATGTTCATAGTAGAGTCACTATGAAATTAGTCGTGATTGTTCTCAATTACCTCCAGCTAAGATCTCTAATTTCTCTCAGGGTTTAGATATATATCAGTTCAATTGAATGTCCTCTTGTTAGACCTAGACATGGACAGTTTCCACCAACCGATGGAATGGCCCCTCATCTATTGTTTTCAGATTGAGCTCACTTGTAGCATGTAGCATGTTTTGATTGAGTGTTCTAATGAACAAAAATACTCATCTTCAAAGTAATTGTTAATTACAGGGACATTCTTTTCAAGGATCGGCACAAATCAATTACAGTGGAGCCCGTTTATAACAGAGTTCACGATTTTCAGAAAAACTTAGTTATATCTGGAATTTCATTGAAAGCGAGTTCGTTATATACGGGCTTCACTGTAAATCAGTTCAACTCAAGGCTTAAAGGAGGCGTATGATACTTGTAAGCAAATACAGTGAGGATTGAGATTAATCAAATAATTTTGATCGTAAACTTCTCAATATCTGTATTTTTAAATCTCCCTCTCATTTACTTCTTTTTTCTTTTCAGAGCATTGAAGACTAAAAGTAACACGCCTAAGTATGGTTTACTTTTCCATTCATCATTTATTGGACGTGCTGGGACAGCTAATAAAGGAAGGATCTCAAGATTCTTGGCCAACAAGTGTGCTATTGCATCACGATTGGATTCCTTTTCTGGTAATATTTTTATCTTAATCAGATTGCCTAAAATCCTACCTTTTTCCTCTTGAAATTTTTACTCTGGAAACACCTTCTGTTGGCTCCTTAGTAGTGCGCTTTTGTGTAAAATTTTGCGCTAACAGCTAGATCAGTGTAAATCAGGAAAAGCAAGCAAGCATCTACCATTCTGGCTGACAACAGTGCAATCGGGCTCCCTAGAGGTGTGGCAAAAGTTTCAATACTCGTTTTGAATCCAGCCTAGTGGTGAGGTAACCAAACTGCCAAGGTATCAATCGCAGCTTAGCATTCAAGGATTCAAGAAGTATTTGGAGCAAATTCAAAAAAGAAAAACTAATGGACTATTTGTCATTCAGGCTATCAAAGTTGACAGAATCATCAAAAAGATGTTGACAGGTATTTGCGCTGTCAGGAGCATTTTCTTTAAGTATGAATTATTTTATGGATCACAGTCATACGCACAGCCACCTTTATCAGGCTGATTCATAAGTTACAAAGAGACCAAGCACATTTTTTAAATAAAAGAACCCTCTATTTTTGTCTGAATATATTGGGATTAATCTGTATATTTTTTACACTTCTGCTCTTAGATACACCTTCCAACATATTCGGAGAAAAACTCAAGCAGCAAGTGGAAGACCGACTCAAATTTTACGAGACTGGTGAAAAGCCGCCTAAAAATGTTGATGTTATGAAAGAAGCTGTCGAAGAATTTAAAACTTTCCAAGTAAGTATGAAACTATCATGTAAAATACAAAATTTTACTGGTGCTAAAAATAGAAGATGAAAATATAAAAAGTTACTTTTCACAGGCAGCATTTCAATAATAAAAAAAAAATAATTTTGAACTTCTATCAATGAAATCTTATCCTTGAATATTTGTTTCTTCATGTTTTTCAGGAGAATCAAGAATCCGAAACCCCAAAAAAGAAGAAGAAAAAAGACAAAAAACGAAAATCAGAACAAGTGGTTGAAGCTGTCGAAACGAATGGAACAAATAACGATGAAGAAACTGCTGAGCCACCCAAAAAGAAGAAAAAGAAGAAGAAGGGAGAAATGAATGGAACCGCAGGTCAGTGTGTCTTTTTTCTTTAACTCTTTCCAGTGTAATACCACTTCGCAAATTTTTAATTTGAATTGTTTTTTGAGTATTGTAGATCATTTCCTTAAAATTAAGTCAAGCACTGTCAGCCTAAATTGACACTCAGTTAAACTGATTATGAACAGCAAAGGTTGAATAATATCACCAATTTATTTTTATTTCTCCTTTACATGTCACTGAGCTTGAACTTTTTTTCTTTGATGCTGGGACTGTCTTGATAACCTTTATCTCTTCTTTCAGTGGGAAATGACAAGCTTACAGAACTGTTCTGAAGAGGAAACTTAAAGGATCTTCCAAATCTGAATTAATCTATCTGTATGTGAATACATGGGTACTCTTAGGCCCCATCAGGATACACTAAAGCTTAAATCAGAGTTGTACATCCTGAAGAATCAGGTTAAATCAGAATTAAATCGGGATGCAACAGCGATAATCAAACCAAACCAGTGAAAGTCTCAGTTAATCAAGTTAAATCAAAATGTTTTTGGAATAATCAGCCGTTAATACGATAAATAGAAAAAACGTATTTAGATAAATTAAACTGAATTTGGATTTATCTGAATGAAAAAGGATCCCTGAGACGAGTGCAAACTAATCCAGATTGATTGACGTAATTTTGAACCAATCCACACAGATGTAATGGGTTTGAATTCTCTTCTTTTTTCCATTGATCGATTTAGACTAGTTTTCCAAAATCTCCAAATTTATTTAAAGTAGATTTTTCATGTTTATTTTCTATTATTCTTTACAGATGAAAGTGTTAACTTTATGCAAAATGACGAAGAAATGACAAATGGGGTAAGATAATTGTATTATCCTTATCACCTTTTTTACCTTTATTTACCTCATATCACCTTTTTGTTATCTCTTAAGGACTATCCACCTGAAGTGCTAATGTACTATGAAAATGATAAAAAGACAGACCTGCCAGAGAGCCACCTTGAGCCTCAAAATTGATGGAAAACTCAGCCATCCTCCAGTACTTAGGGCCATTTTTATAGTACACCATCATCAAACCTTATTGAGCGTCTTTTGTTTATTTAAGTTCCATGACCTAAGTGGTGGATTTGGGAATGATGAAAATATTCAAAAGGAAGATATGCAAAGGTACTGAACACTAACTCTATTGGGCATTGTTAACTATTGAAGAAGATAGTTTGTATCTGATAATTAGTATTTGCGGATAATTTAGCTACAGGTTTTGATTTGTTCATTTTAAAAAACTATCACAGAAAAACCTTTGTTTAACGATTTTCAACAGACCAGCCAGAATTGTCCTTATTTGGAGTTTTTTGCTAAAACAGAACATGTTAAAAGAGGCACTAAACAGTAATTAAATTTTATTCCTTCAAATTTAGCGATGCTATGTAGCCTACACAGTGAACACTCCCGTTTAGCTGCTAACTGTTGCTTTATCTGTCCTAGTCAACTCCGTTCCTTATCTATTTTCTTTTGCTCAGCTACTATTCTGTGTCGCTGCAGTAGGCAATGACCAGGACCACAACACCGCCATTCCATTATATTAGCTCTGTGTTAAACTTAAATGAATTTAAATTTCTTTTGTAAGCCACATCATGATATTTAGCTACAAAGAAAATCTTGGAGAAGAAAAAACTCCTTTTTTTTACCGGATTTTTAACTGGAGGAATACGAGATAAAGTGCAGCTTAGATTTGAAGCAATCTTGTGGTTGATTTTTAATCATGCAGTCAGTTGATTTTTTTGAATTTTTTAAATTTTTTTTTTTTTTTTTTAAGAACTGCTTTGATCTTACAAGAAATTAATAAAGCTATCTCCTAGTTTGATTGTTTCATCTATAACTCACTGTCTGTCATTCAATTTCAGGAGGAAGCTAGTAGCCCTGCCAAGAAGAAGAAGAAAAAGAATAAGCAAGGATCAGTTGCTGTAGAAGAGAATGAAGAAAATGAAGTTGTTGAGGCTGCATCCCCGAAGAAGAAAAAGAAGAAGAAGAAGAGTGCAGGCCTTGAAGATGTAATGAGCTGTAAGATATTTTTTGCTTCTGAACTTGTTATTCCTGAAAGTAAAGGAGAAGAAATGTCTAGGTTACTTTTACAAATCCACAGGAAACTTTGTTGCTGTTTTTTTACATCTGCTTTTATCATCACTATTATAGGGCTACCATTTGAATCGCAAAAAGATTTGAAGTTTGTTTAATTTCGCTTCTATTATGTCTGGTGCAAGCATCTATGCACTGTAAGCCGTAATTAAAAACCTCTCCTGACATAAATGTTGACAAATTTAAAGTAACCAAGTGAATTTTCCATCATTTGCATTGATTGTCCAGTAAAAATTTTGACGCATCGCTGGATAGGCGACCAAATGGAACCCTCTCATCCAACTGCCTTTATCTTTCAATAATCATCCTGCACTGCATTGCCTAGGGAAAACGGCAAATTAGCTTTCAGATGTTGCCAAATTTCCTTACACAAATCACGAATTTTTGAGAAAATTTATGCACAATTTTCTCCCTATTTTTCAGAGAAGTTAGTTGGTAATTGATCTGAAGTTGCTTAAAAATTCAAGGAAAAATATTTATGCCTTTGCTTCAAAATAATTATTTTTTGGTAGGAAATTTGTCAACAATTGAATGTTTACACAGCGTTCTTAGCTCGGGAGCGCAGGTCAAGCCCAATTTTGGGGAAAGTGAAAGAAGAATTTACTCACAAGTTGCAGGAATGAAAATACCTTGTTCAACCTTGTTGATTAGGTGAAGTTACCAACTCAAATAAGTTGCATCATGCAACAACCTCTGTTGTCCGCTTTTCCAGCTTTGAGTTTTTTTGTTTTCACATTACTTTTCAAAGGTTGATGTAATGAAGTGTAAAGATTCTTTTCATGATTAAGGTAATCCTTAGATGAGTCTTTATACCTTTTTCATGGTTGTATCCAACCCCGAAAATTATTATTAACTCAAAAAAACCTTCAAGACAGCGAAAATGGACATGAGCTGTTTTCGCGCAATGTGTTACAAATTTAAGGTATGTTGCTGAACTCTCCAATCTGCTGTCCGGAGGATCGTCTACTGGAGAGCTTGGAGGATTACCCGGTGACTGACGTCAGCTATCCGCGTTGTCCTCGTCTGCTTGATTTGTTTACATTTGATTTTGAATACATGAAGTTGGCAAAATCTTCCATATTTCTCAATTTTCAAAACTTTCATAACAACAAGTGAACATCAGGCCCAAAATCTGCTCATGTTGCTTGAGCAAAGGACCAGAAAAAAACGCAAGGTGAGGAGAAATAAGGCTAACGTCACTCTCCGTTAGTCTCCAACCTCGAGAGATCGGAGAGTTGGAGAGCTGTTCTGAGACTGACATAGCAGGTCTCCGGGTAATTTCTCCCAAGTCCAACAACAGTTGCTCATATCTCCAGGTAACTCAGGAGAGCTCTCCGGAGACTTTAACAACCTAGCACCTAGTGTAAGAACTTTTTTTAAGGTTGATGCAAATTATTTTATTTTTAATAGGACTGAATTTTTCCTCAGATAGAAAAAGGGAAACTCTATAATATTTCTTATGATTTCAGGATGTGCTAGTTGCAAAATCATACATTGAAAACTTGGCAAACACGGATTCCAGCAAACAAAAACCACTGACCGAACGGGAAAAATTAATGAAACACTTGGAGCTTGTTCAATCCACCATCAGCGAGAAGAAGAAAAAAAAAGTGTGAACTCATGAAAAGAAATGATGTTCTTAATTAAGTTTTTTAGTAGTTAGACTTTCCTTGTCCCCCTCAGTTTCTCATTTTTTCCATTTCATTGATAATATGTATAAGCATACATACAAGCATTTTTCAGAAGTAACTTTTCTGTGTTTTTCGAGAGAAACTGTTGAATTGTACAATTATATTTTATTTCTTATCTAATAATTTTTTGTTTTCCTTGCTCTCTTGAGACACACACTTTTTCATTTTAATGACCAGATTTTCTGGCATCACAAAACCATTGTTGTCGAGTATGTTCAGCCTTTTGTGCTGACTGTCTAAAACTCTCATTCTGATTTCTGCCTGCGCCACAAACATCTCAAATTTTCAGAAAAGTCACGTACACTCCATGTAAAACGTTCAGAATTGGGCCTGACAATCCAGCATGACAGATTCACTGACATTTTGATCGGCTGACTTCCGCTAGAAAATTATTTACAGCTAATCGCCGCAGAGAAAACAGAAGGTGGAGGCAAGGCAGTCATCTTCAGAACTAGTTGTGATGTAGGAATACACGCAGGTCTATCAGCCATTAAAAATGAGGCTGCATCAAGAACCAGACACTGACGAATGCCATCATGACCTATCTTCGTCACAGTTCTCATCAGATCTGCATTTGTTTGTCATAATGTAAAAATATCCATTCCTCCGCTCGCTGTCACCTTCCATATTTTCTCTTTGGTTATTCCCACTGCTGACTATTGAGAGCCAACTACGTCAAAGATTAGTCACCCCCTACCTTTGAGCTCTCACTGTTAGCTGAAAGTGCTAACATCCGTCGTTAACCCAAGATCTCGAAACTCTGCAAACATATCTTTTATCAAAATTTGCAAAAATTTGACAAACTGCTCAGCTTAATAGCTGTCAGGAAGAATGGCGAAATGACGCTACACTGACATCCAAAACCTTCTCAATTAATCATTCTTTTAAACAACTTGGTAGGTCTGAAAGAGAGGAAGCATGTAGAAATATCTATGGAGCTACCTTTTTTTCTGGATCCATGCCAAAAAATTACTTCTAAAGTATCTTACTTATGATGTTCCTATATAACGAGAAGTTCTTCAGTACATACTTTTTCATGTTTGCTTCTCAGGCAAAGAAACTAAAAATTGAGTATTGGCACCATTGTTTATGGGAACCCTGCATTAACATTTTGGTCTACATAAACATGTTTAAATGCAATGTCATTCGAGGGTAAGGTAGGTACGTAATCTACCATGAAAGATAAAAATTGTCGTACCAAAATTTAATTTTACCCCCCAACTCTTTTGCATAAAGATAAAGTGATCTCCTCACAAGTTACTCTCGAGGATATTAAGACATTGTCTTCTGTCGGAACTTCAAATATCAATTTTTTTTAAGAAAAAAAAAAAAAAATATTGCAATCCTAAAAATCTTGTCTTCAAGCATTGAAGTCCCCTCTAGTTCCGAGGTGGCTCACATCAGTAGTTTCGTCAATAATAGTTTTCTATAGGAATCAAGATCAATTCTCTTCCCCTCCCTTAGTTAGTCAATTCATTTTTTTAATTGAACGACGGACATCAAACTAAAATTGAAGATTTTTTTTAGAAGGTCTAAAATAGAAAGTTGATGTCCCGCCATTTATAAAGAGAGAGGAAGTGGCTATAGTGATGAGATCAGGTAATAGGCAGAGCAAATTTTGAGAAAAGGTACAATAATTTTAAAGTCGCACTACGCAATTCGTTGGAGCACCCTGTGGATGCTGACATTAAAGAAAATACGCCGAAATAGGGACGAATTAATGATGTTCACATCCCCCCCCCTCCCCCCTTCTTCCACAGACCGTGTCACGGCCTCACAGCCCACGGTACCCACGCCCAAACGCCGCTCTTATCACTACTGCAGAAGCGCGATACAAATATCATTACATGTAAAGGATGACATTGAATTGTTCGAGAGGGAATAGCTATATTTGCACATGAAATTTCAAGAACTGAATTAGATCTTTATCAACGAACGATCAGAAAAAGTAAGGAATGGATTAGATGCTATCACTGGTCATGTCAGGGCTGCCGATACTCGGACTCACATTTCGCGAATTTTTTACTCACACGCTACTCACCAATCTAAAATTTACTCACTTGCTTCTCACTGATCGCGATTTTACTCACTTTTACTCACCGTTCTCAATTCTACTCACTTTTTACTCNCACATGAAATTTCAAGAACTGAATTAGATCTTTATCAACGAACGATCAGAAAAAGTAAGGAATGGATTAGATGCTATCACTGGTGTGGCATGGGCTTTAGCATGTATTCACGCTGGCGGATTTGATAATGGGAATGGAGTGGTAGTCAAAACACCTCCCAAAATCATATGCTCTTTACGTCCTGAATAAAAAATGTTAGACGACTAGTATCTGTCTTTTATCAATTTCATGCCGTCAAAATGTGTTAGAAAGTATATCTAAAGGATCAGTAATACTTGATACCACTCTTAAACACTGAAAGTGACATTTACCTCTATGAGTAGGGTTGAGGTTTTGACTAACGCAATTTAACGCATGTCAGCTGACCATCCTTGTGATATCAGCTGAAAGTTGGGTGAGGTGCTGTTTTGGCTCTGGTAAGTTGTCAATTTCTTTTTTAAAATTTTATATTTTAAGAGATTTTTTGTTCCTTCGGGAAGCCTTTACACATTATCTCAATCTATTACTTCGTTTTCAAACATTGATCCTATCGCGAAAACAGCAAAGTTCCTTCTCAAGTGGTTTTTCATGGGTGGAAGTCAGTCATGAACAACCAGCGATTTGAACCCACTCTAAATATTACTTAGCTCTTTTTCGACCCCAACTTTCTACTTTCATTCTAGATGAATTGAAAATATTGTTCTATATCTTTAATTCTATCAAAAATTATACATACTTCCTGTTGGAATCCTCCATCAGATCTCCGTCTATTCAATGGGTGTAACTTAACCTGTTAACAAAATGCAGGCTGTCTCTCTTCAATCTCTATAATGAATCCTTCTAATTGCGATTCGCAGCGATAAGGATTATGATCACTTACCTATCATATTGCTCAAGCTACATCAATCATCCATCGCACCACTGCGTCCTAAAAATGAGCCACATTTTCCATGTTTTGAATGCTCCGGTTTGCCAAAGCCACTGCCTATCTACTATCAGTAATCCTATGTCATTTTCCCCAACTTGCACGAATCATCTATAGTTATTTGTACTCCTTCACAGTCATCAATCTTGTCGTTAAGCGCCCAGTCCTTCTCTACTCTCGATTATTTCTTTTACCGAACATTCATACATGAAGTAATTAGGCCATTGGACGTCAATTGTTTGGCATTTGACGGGCATCTCTCTAGTTCCATGAGGACTGTCCCTCTTATTTTGAGAGTGTCAGAGCTTATACACTTTCCCTAAGATTTTGTTTCCGGTGTGGATGGCAGGAATCATCTCATTCTCTAACTAACAATTCTCAGTACAATTTGTACACATTTTGAGACCCACCCAGCCTGAAACTTAGCCCATCGCACTATTTGAAAATTAGTGTAGAAATCATGTGACATAGGTCGATTTCAGTCCGTGTTTCAACAGAATTAAATCAAGTTTTTCACAACTTACTATAAACTTCGTATCAGTGCAGCACAAGTATCGTTATTTTTGCTATCACTATAATGAAACAGAAATAGGAAAAATAACCCAGATTTCTCCCTGAAGATATCTTTCGAAAATGTTACTGATAAAATATCGGAACAGAACCAAATTAGTTGCGTGTCATTCTGCCCTACTGATGGTGTTGTCTGTGAAAGAAGGGATAACAGAGATCTTTGGAAAATAAGACCCTTTTAGAAGGCAGCAATATTTAGGAGGGCAGCAAACTAGCTGCAGTTTCTGTTGTTTCTTAGAAATGAAAAGGTCATGCAACTGAGTCACATGCCTATGCATACTTAACGCAAAGTAACACTCAGACCATTCCTCTTATATTTATCTTTAGTCATCATGAACTGCCCATGAGAAGTTACCAGTAGCGTGGCGTGAACGATCGATTATCGATATCTCGTCATTTGAAGCTATGGTAAAGAATCGATTACTAAGGTGTTCGCTGCGAACACCCTAATAATCAATCTTTTTACCTAGGTTTGAGCGGCGTATCAATCGATAAATCGCAAAGTACGCCACGCCACTGGAAGTTATCCCTCGAAGGTTTCAATAATTTATTAACTTCTACAAATGCTTGCAGATGAACCTCAAATGTTGGTGAAGCAGATGCTTCTTACAAAGCTGGAGGAGTTGATTCAACAGTCGCACTCATCAATTTTTAATTTTTCTATTTTTCAGAATACTTTATATCAATTAGTCAAAATGTCAAATTTAGCAAAAATCCGCGATGAAGAACGAGAGAGCAAATTCGGCTACGTTTTTGCAGTTTCTGGACCTGGTAAGTTTCTCCCTCTTAGTTTTCTCTTTGCTCTCCTTTCCTTTTATGAGAATTTCCCTCAGCATTTTTGCACAATGTTTTCAAAGAAAATTCTTGAACGGTAAAAAAATTGTAAAGAATTTCATGCCATAACATTGATTAGTTTCACTTCTGAAAAGTATGTGTGTCAGAAAAATAGCGCAATTGCAAACCAAGACATGCTTTTTCATAGTTTTACCATCGAAATGCATCTGTACAATCATAAGTTGAGAAAATATTCAATAAATTGATTTTGAATCAGGTCAAAAAGGACTTTTTCTCACCTGTGTCCCTTTTTATTGTTGGTTTTCTAGTCCTTAATATATTCGCAAGTAACAAACCAAATGCTAGGAGACTCAGAAGCTTGTTGCCCTAGTGGCTCAGGCATAGATGTTTCTTATGCAGGTGATCGATTTAGTTCTTCCTGTAGGTATAGGCACTTTTTTTTAATTCTCTCTTAGTGAGGGAAAAGGATTTTCCAGAATATTCAGTAATACAAGTTCGGCCAGTTGTAAGGAATAATTATCTATAAAAAATTTAAAATTATATGAATGAAGTCTCTGGTTAGTCGGCTGTGTTATCAAGGTTTAATGATATGTTTTGTCTGCTTTCAGTCGTCACGGCAGAAAAAATGTCTGGATCTGCTATGTACGAGCTTGTTCGTGTCGGCTATTTCGAGCTGGTCGGTGAGATCATTCGTCTTGAAGGAGACATGGCCACCATCCAGGTATAACTTACTTCATGCACTGATAGATAATTTCATTTGTCAAACTTTTTTATGGACGTGTTTCCACATAGTGGAGAAATTTCACCAAATATTATGAAATATGACAGCTTTAGGATGGAATGCTGTACTGCTAGCCATAGCTGCTGTTTACATCCGTGATACATACAAGACATTAGTTTCATTCTTGACCTGCAGGTAGAGTTCTTATTGCATTGCAGTCTGATGAAAACAAGCCGTCATAAAGAACGCTTGCAACTACCATTTGATGTATGGAAAAATCATTCAAAAATGTTCATTATGGTTAACTTGTCAGGAAAGGTGTTAATGCTTGACGCGGTGTCAAAGCGGATCTTTTTGTAATTGCGTTTAGCAATTTATCCTACCTAGTCTCAATTTTAATTAGGCTGCATCTAAATAAAGATTTCAGTTACAGTCTTTGCCAACCCATGTAAACATTTCAAGTCTTTTTTCACCTTTGAAATAATTTATTACTTCCGAAAATGGTTGTTTTATGTCATTGAGATACAATTTTTTGTGAAGATTATGATTCTGGTTTACAAGGAAACATATTAGGTTAAGTTGAAATGCTCCAAGCATTTGTGTTGATTTGTTTTTTTTTCCATCCATGCCTGTTGTTGTGAAGCCCTCATTATCTTAATCAGAAATGTTGATGAGGTGTAGCCTAGAACTTCTGCTCAATACTCTCTAAGCCTAATGTGTTCCAGTATGACTTTGAAATCTGCCAAGCAGTGTAAATTTGCATCTGAGTCTTTCAAGCAATGTATCAATACATCTCATCTGTCGGTTTTTTGGCAGACCTCTATAAAACTGAGCTGACATAAGTAATTCGTTTTCTAATTTGTATTGCGTCCTTTTGGCACTGAATCAATTTTTTTTTTAACTCTTAGGTGTACGAGGAAACCTCTGGTGTAACAGTTGGAGACCCTGTCCTGCGTACTGGCAAACCGCTCTCTGTTGAACTGGGTCCTGGTATTCTCGGAAGTATTTTTGATGGTATCCAGCGACCTTTGAAGGACATCAATGAAATAAACCAGAGTATCTATATTCCAAAAGGTGTAAACATTCCAGCTTTAAGCAAATCGCATGCATGGGAATTCAACCCCCTGAATATCAAAGTAAGTCCTAGTTTTCATGAAGAATATGCATCAGTCAATTAATACAACCAGCTGAGAAATTTGACTCCGAGCTAATATTGCAATTGAATGTTTTACAAAATAATGCGTTCAAGTACCTACAACATTGTTGAGTAACTCTGTAACAATAGGGAACTTAAAGTTTATGAGGATACTTGTCTGCTCTTCTCCTGTCCAATTGCAGTCAACCAGTCGAAAAATGGGTCATTCGTTTGATTCATGCTTGAATTGCATTGTATAAGAAGCCATGTGAGACAGATAGTCTATACCAAAGTGTACAAAAACTAGTTTATCAGAAAGGCATCAGAGAATTAGGGTATTTCCAAAGTGATTGTTCCGAAAACCTACCAACACAACTGGTTGGCACAATGTCATTTCAAGTGTTGGATAGTGGACAAAACTAACCAATGTTCAGATAATGCTGCCGAACATTTTGATTCAATTTTCAACATGAAATGTGAGAGAAGTAAAATTATTGCCTCTCCAAAATACATCTGTGCGTTTTAGCAGTACAATGCAAAGGCAGCTTTACTTCCTAGATTACCTAGATTCTTCTTCAGAAAAATTAGACTCCATGGAGGAACATACCCTTTTGAACACATCTGATTTTGAATGATCTAAGACAAACTACAGTCATTTTTTTTCCCCTCTTTTTTTTGGTGCTTGCAAGTACGCTTGTTTATTAAATATAATTCTGTGGAAAAGCATCGAGTTAGTCCTAGAATATCAAGAAGTTCAACAATAAAAGTATGCTTGACCCCACCAGAAAGGTCAAGTCATTCCAATTGAAAGTTGGGTTTAGTGAACAGTTGTTTTTTCACCTCTGATAATCTCATTCTTCCCATTTCTTTTTCAGATCGGAAGTCACATCACTGGTGGAGACTTGTACGGTATTGTATTTGAAAATACTCTGGTGAAGCATAAATTGATGCTCCCACCTAAAGCCAAAGGTACTGTCACATACATTGCACCCCCTGGAAACTACAAAGTAGACGTAAGTATCTGCTCAAGTTACAAATTTGATTTTGTAATGGCCGTTTTTGTGCTCAAAAAAAACTCTCTCTCTGATAAAACCAGACTGTGCAGTCTGTAGGTATCTTTGATCGTAAAATTTTGGATGCTAAGAAATGTCAAATCTGTGAACATGTTCATTGCTGTATTGTTAAAGGTAACTGGGTAGTTACACACTAAAGTCATAGTTGGAAAAATTGCGATAATCTATTCTAATATTGAGAAAAATAGGCTCCTTGATCAGGGCTGCCTTAGTCAAGGAAAAGCAGGAAATGTCACTCAGGGAATTTTATAAAGTCAAGGAAAACCTGGAAATTTTAGTGAAAATGTCAAAAAAGTCAGGAAATAATTGTTAATATACCTCTATCAGCTTTCTATTTTAGATTTGATGTTTAGAAGAACAAATTTTGCCTGGAAACTGTTTCAATTGTGTCTCTTTCACCATATGGCATATCTTCAATTGTCAGACAATTTCACTCAAATGTGTTACAAATCAGGGAGTTTCATTTTCTAAATTGTGTGGCAACCCTGTTGATTATCCTTTTGAGGTATCTACTTTCCCTGCATTGTGACTTCCAACAGATCTGAACCATAACAGCTTACCATATCTACCATTTTTAATCACTTTCAGGATATCGTGCTTGAAACTGAATTTGATGGTGAGCAGTCAAAGTACACTATGCTCCAAATTTGGCCCGTCAGACAGCCTCGCCCTGTCACTGAAAAGTTACCTGCCAACCACCCCCTTCTTACCGGCCAGCGAGTTTTGGACTCACTATTTCCGTAAGTGACAATTTTTTTCCTTCGCTGGGACATTCTTCGACCATTTTTTAACTGCCTTTCGCAGAGATTTGACGGATTCCAAATGCACAAATTGATCAACAAACAGCAAAAATGGTTTTCTCAGTTTTATCATGCTCCTTACTTGTGTATTTTTGCATACTAGCTTTGAAACGTCTTTCCACTAGGGTATACAATTACAAAGAAGAATGTTAAAGTGTTGCGGCTGTAAACTTTTATCACTGGAAAAAGTTATAATGTCGATGCCAACTCCTGGTTGTGTTCACTTGGTTCACTTCATGATTGGTTTTGTAGTAGAATTACAGATACTGCTCTCACTACACAACAGCAGGATGAAAACAGCCTTGGAAAAGACCAGTCAGTATAACTTGCTTAGTTAACTTGCTTAATTAAGCTTTTGTCTCTTCAGCGGGTCGATACCACTTTGATATTTTCCACATTATTGCTCCACCTAAAAACAGGCAATCCCCTCTTTTTCCCATCGCTTCTTATTAGAAATTTTTTTTTTTGTTTACAGTTGTGTTCTTGGAGGTACCACTGCTATTCCTGGTGCTTTTGGTTGTGGTAAAACTGTCATCTCGCAATCTTTATCCAAATATTCCAATTCGGATGTCATCGTTTACGTAGGTTGCGGAGAGCGTGGTAATGAAATGTCTGAGGTAAGCCTGATTTTTGCTCATCTTTCTTTTTCATGTTGCTTGAACTTGCAGACAAGATTATTTAAAATATTGTCTTAGCTGCATCAGGAAAATGAATTTTCTCGTAATATGTAGCGAACTATTAACATATCGAGGTTATGAAAGAGTAGAATGCTACTCCTCTACCCCTCTCAGCTGAAGGCAGATAAGGCAACGCGGCCAAGCATAAAATGACTTCAAATATGATGAAAGCTTGTATAATCATATTAATGTATGAATACAAATGAGAAAAACGAGAAAAATATGTATGAATAAATGAAAAGATGGCTCCTAAGTTTCCCATGTAACGATTGACGAAACACGTAATGGTCTACCGCTAGCCATAGCCCCAATAATTTGATTAAAATAGATGATGGCAGATAAGAGTAAAAAGTTGCAAAAATCGTTAGAGGAGGCGATAAAGGAAGGAAGCACTAATTAAATTAATTGAGAAGCGCTAAACTTAAAAACCCCAGCTTCCTTTACTTATTTCTTTATCGGTATATCATTTTAGGAGGAGGGTTTTCAGTGGTGATAGTAGGACTGCGCTACCAGTTCACCAGTTGTATTTTGTCAGTCACGCTATCACCATCAAAGAAGGAGGGCGATGATTCTACGATATGATGTACAGATAAAGTAACAAGTAAGGAAAGTTTGAGTTTTTTATGTAACATGTGAAACGTTGCCTCTATTTTCTACAATATCACATATCTGTGGGTAAAAGCATCTCAGCAGACTCTCAATGAACATTTCTAGAAAAGCGAACTTGTTGAGGCTCTACATAAATACAAAAATTCGTTGGTCGGATCTTATCTATCATATCTATTTTCTAGGTACTGAGAGATTTCCCTGAACTCACAGTTGAAATTGATGGGGTCACTGAATCTATCATGAAACGTACAGCACTGGTAGCCAACACCTCCAACATGCCTGTCGCTGCTCGAGAAGCCTCCATCTACACAGGTAAGTCTTGAGACCATCTCTACCGCTATGTTTTGGATATTTTTCTGTGGTGCCATGAGACCTTGGAATTAAACTTGCCTATTTTTCTCTCTGATTTTGTATAAATTATCCTGTTACTTCGCAGCTTTGCTGCAGTACTACATAGGCTGTCCAAAAAGTACCGAGACTGGTTCCATAACTCAAAAACCAAGATAGCTAGAGGCTTGATCTTGGTCTCATTTGGAAGATCAACTCAATATTTATCGATTGAGACCAGAATCAAAACTTTTGGTTAAGTATTTCAAAAGTTACAACACTGTTTGTAAAAAAAATACCTGGACCCCCTACCGTTTTTAATGACTATTTTCTCTTGCCGGGAACACTCTCTAAATTATTAATGATCAGTGCACGGTTCTTTGCAACTAATCATGGCAAAACCTAATTGATTTGGAAACACTGTCAAGCCGTCGTCGTCCGACTACAGGTATAAGGGTTCAAAGTCCACAGGGAAAGAATCAACCGTCGGTCAGCCACCCCTAAAAAACCCGGGAAATTTTCGGCAGTTGTTGACAGTTCACAGTGCGTGCGTGGTCTACGCTGCAGATAGTGAGTGATTTTGTTTCTGTGTTCGCAATGTTTGATACCATCATGGAAAGAGATAAAGCAGTGGTATCAAAAATTTCGAACACAGAAACAAAATCACTCACTATCTGCAGCGTGGACCACGCACGCACTGTGAACTGTCAACAACTGCCGAAAATTTCCCGGGTTTTTTAGGGGTGGCTGACCGACGGTTGATTCTTTCCCTGTGGACTTTGAACCCTTATACCCGTAGTTGGACAACGACGGCATGACAGTGTTTCCAAATCAATTAGGTTTTGCCATGATTAGTTGCAAAAGTACCGTGCACTGATCATTAATAATTTAGAGAGTGTTCCCGGCAAGAGAAAATAGTCATTAAAAACGGTAGGGGGTCCAGATATTTTTTTTACAAACAGTGTCGTAACTTTTGAAATACTTGACCGAAAGTTTTGATTTTGGTTTCAATCGATAGATGTTGAGTTGATCTTCCAAATGAGACCAAGATCAAGCCTCTAGCTATCTTGGTTTTTGAGTTATGGAACCAGTCTCGGTACTTTTTGGATAGCCTATGTATATTTAATGCACTCTAATTAAAGGTGACTGAAGTGACAGTTTCCTCCAAACCAATACTCTTATCAAACTGAAAATGTGCTCAAACTTACTCGGAATAATGGTAATTTCCGCATTATCCTAGTTCTTCAAATTTTGTTACTACGCTAAACAGTTGCATCCATTAAATCTTAATATTTTCACTCTCGATAAGAAAACTAACCGGTTGGAAAACAAGATTTCTCTCACACAAAAATTTGAATCTTTGCTACTTGTGATCAGTCCATGAAGGCTGTATTATTTTTTTTTTTTTTTTTATTAATTTATTGTTATATTAACAATACAAATATGTCACTACTACTACTATGATTCTTAGTATCTATTGACTTGTTATTAAATATAAATGAGTTTTAAAAGTAATTCTAGCGGATAATAAGCATTCTTGCTTATTATAAATAATTATTGATATGTAATATCAAAATTATGTGAAATAAATACTGTATTATTTGAGCACCAACTTCAGATCTAGAACCTCAGTCATAGCTGTTGTCAGTAGTGCCCATTTGTTTTAATTAGAGTTGGGCCGAAATGGAATTTTTGCGTCACCGGAACCGGATCCGGATATCGGTTTTTTGTATCCGGCCGGATCCGGATACCGGATAGTTAAAAACAGTATCCGGCTGGATCCGGATAGTACTGGATCCGGATAGTGCTTTTTCGCGCGAAAAATGTCGCGATTTTTTAGGTTAAGTTTACTCGACTCACGATCGGTCGTGGCTAACAAAATTCGGGCCTTGAATTTCTTTCCTTATTTCTAGTGTCTCAATTGCAATAGTACAAAAATCATGGTTGACAAATAATATGTGTCATAAATATAGCAAGGCAGTTTCTAGCTTTTCGCAGCTGTGCTCATATGTTCAGCAGGAGGGTGTTATCAGAAGTCAGAAATGTAAACAAAAAAACAAAAGTGGAAAACAGCGCTGCCAATCTGACACTTTTGAAAGCACCGCCGCCGCATGCCAATCCAAAGTCACAGCAAATCAAAGCCTGTCTTGACGGAAAATTATTCGGTCAATTTCTGTTGATGAGAATCTCTAAATGAACGAGAGAAATGGATGTTTCAACCGATCACAAACTTAATTGGCCTTCGTTTCGATATTACCGAAACAAACAGCGTGCTGCAACACTACGATGAATGCGGAGTTTTGCACCGACTAAAAACGGGGAATTATGCATATGTTGGTGGCATTGTTGTTTGTTATTCTCTTTTCCACCTGCATCTATGAAAAAGTCAAAAGTTTCAGGAAAAAATACAGAAAATTGTATTGATAGGGAAGAAAAAAGAAAGAACATCACCAAAAATTTATCGAAATTTTCAGGGCCAAAAAAGCACTATTCGGCGGGTCCAAAAACCGGATAGCGCGATTATCCGGCCGGATCCGGATACTCGCGAAAATCGTATCCGGCCGGATAATCGCCGGATACCCGGCCCAACTCTAGTTTTAATTAATTTTCTGAAAGCACCGACTGAGTTCAGCTCCCACCAACGGTTAAAAATGTATTGCACTTAAAATGAGGAAGAAAATTGATTTTGAAGTTGCTTAAAGCGGGATCTATTTGGAACGATATTTTTGGCGGTCTGTTATGATGTAGCCACTGGGCCGATTATTGAAAGTTTGAAGCAAGCAGCCCGATTAGACATCGAAATGCAATATATTTCATGATTAAGATAGTGTCGTTTGTTGTCTTGTCAGCCCAACGTAGTCTCAATAATCGGGCCGCAGGTGAGGTTGTCTGTATTTGCTGATGGGATGAAGCCCAGCCAAGGACACAACTTAACTGTGTCATTACAACTGCGGGCCTCTGGGTGATCAGATTTTAATTAGCTTTTCCTCTAAGGAGCGCTTCTTGTTAAACTTCTAATACATTTTTGGGTTTTTCTCTTGAAATTCCTCCTTCAGAACAATTGTCAGATCAAGACCAATCCACACAGGTCAGTCATTCCTGAGGACGAGTTTTGGTACTCTACTGCGCAGTGACGTAGTATTGAGTGCCTTCAATGTATTTCTTATGGGAGCACCCATTGTGGCGTAGCATTGAGTGCTGCGAGTTAGGGCCGGGCGGGGGAGTGGATTTCAAAAAAGCTGCGCTGTGACTGACCTGTGTGGATTGGTCTTGCGTCAGATACTCTGCAGAAATGTTATGCCACTGATCCAGTGTTGCAACTTCATAAAATTTCCCTTTCTCAAAATTATTTATGAATTTTGTTTGTTTATAAAGGTATCACACTATCTGAGTACTTCCGAGACATGGGCTACAACGTTTCCATGATGGCTGACTCTACCTCTCGTTGGGCTGAAGCCTTGAGAGAAATTTCGGGTCGTTTGGCTGAAATGCCTGCTGACAGGTATGTCTTATTTTGACTGCCCCGTAGCTTTGAATTTTTTTTATATTTTAGAAACATTTCTGTTCCACCATCAGTTCTTGCTGACATAAAAACTCACAGGATTCTTTGTATACAAAGTTCTTCATTACACTAAGTAACTTGAACTGTCAAGAATTTTTTTCCCCCTCTCAAGTCCCCTCCAAGTCCAAGTTGACTATGTTGTAATGAAGAGACTTGCAAGCGCACTGTAAGACTTGTCACATCATGTGATTGAAAGACATAGTATCAAGCTTCGCTCAAAGTTTCAACTACTTACTAGAACCATCAAAAGCAGATTCAAACCACCTAACTTAGAGCAACCTTCATTTTTCAACATTCCTCATGTAACAACAGTCCAGTCAAGGGTTGAAACTACTTTAAATGGATAAAAGTGCGAGAGTTAGTACTTCTGAGATTCATAAGTCATGCAAATTTTCTCTGAATTCTATGCCTAATTTTAACAATTTTTGAAATGTTGCGCAGTGTTGACCCTTCTCTAACTTGTGGGAATTTATTAAATGGGTGGAAATTTTAAAACTCATTTTTCTGATTGGAAAGAATACTAGGCGTTAATGAATTTACAATTTTAACTTATGAAGTAATAATACCGCTTTGCTTTTGAACATCAGCTTGAACAAGATGGTAGTATTAATATGCTGAACTGCTGACAGTCAAAAAGTATCGTTTTAATTTAAAATTCTGCTACACAAGCTTTGATCCTTAGACCCAAATCTCTTCATGAAGCTTTTTTTTAGGCAATAAACCTCCTTTAACATCATGTCTCGATTATGTCCCAAGATTTTAGTATTTTATGTTAATTAATTGGTTTTTTTCGTTTACAGTGGTTATCCTGCATACCTGGGTGCCCGTCTTGCTTCATTCTACGAAAGAGCGGGTCGAGTCAAATGTCTAGGAAACCCAGACCGTGAAGGTTCTGTGAGTATTGTCGGTGCCGTATCTCCTCCTGGTGGAGACTTCTCAGACCCTGTCACATCTGCCACTCTTGGTATTGTCCAAGTCTTTTGGGGGTTGGACAAGAAACTAGCCCAACGTAAACATTTCCCCTCCATCAACTGGCTTATCTCATACAGGTGAGTATCTCAATACAATCAAATTGAAAATATCTTGATGAAAGATTTTCCGGTTTGGAGTGAGGTATTGTAATGAAAAAAAGCCAAAACGCGCCTGACTTTGAAGTTATCAGGTCTTTGCCATTCAATTTACTGCGTATTTGAATGGACCACTTAACACAGTACAAATTTAAGTATTCTGATAAATGCAAAGAGAATTACTGTTGTTAACTCCTAATCAAGATATTAACGTTTTCATTCAGCTTTGGTTTCGAAAAATTTGAATTGCCAGCAAGCAAGGAAAACGAGAAATAACAAGAATCAAATTGCACACTATAACAGATTTGGCAGGCTTCTTAACCGAACAGTGTCCTTTTCCCGCCCTTGATAGTTCAAAGCGTTAACAATGCACAATAGCTGAGCTGAAGCGCCAAGATTAGGGTTGCCATATTTTCATACCCCTGAGACTGTAATGGTGACGCTTAGTGTGCGATATAATTCAAGTAGATTAAAGTTGTGTTTTTTTTTGTTTTTTTTAGCAGAAAATTTGAATTTATTCATCAAAAAATGTTAATACATATCTTAGTGTGATGGAAGTGAACATGGTGAATATTTTATCTAGAGAGTAATCGTTGCTTTCTCTGTCTGCTCTATGTTTTCATTTCTGCGATATTTTTCAGTAAATACACAAGAGCTTTGGATGACTTCTACGATAAAAACTTCCCTGAATTCGTTGCCTTGAGATCAAAAGTCAAAGAGATCCTGCAGGAAGAAGAGGACTTGTCAGAAATCGTACAACTAGTTGGTAAAGCATCTTTAGCGGAATCAGATAAAATTACCTTAGAAGTTGCCAAGCTTCTAAAGGACGATTTCCTCCAACAGAACAGGTAAGCTGCCGTCCTAAATTCTCTGCACTAACAATAAGTCATTCGCTTAGTGTGGGATTTTTTTGATGGTTTTTATAAATGATAAAATTCTAAGAGAGAGTATATTCTGAATTCTATATTTCTTCCAGGAAAACTTGGCAATGCTTGCAGATTGTGATCACAGTGGTTAGTGAAGTCTTTGAAATAAATTGATAAATTGGCAATTTTGCTGCCTCTATCATGGAGGCTCACGGGTCACATAACTTACATACTACATAAGCTGTAATTTTTCGCAACTTAAAACTGCTTTTTTTTTTAATCTTGATGCTGGGAATACTTGGGTTTTACTACTTTCCCTTTTCCAAAACTGAAGCAAATCTTGCATTTTTTTTCTTTCCTTTCGAGCATCTTCAAAACCTGCATCCTACCTGCGGGCGCCCATGGTAATGTATACAGAGATTACTGTTTAATATTAATTTTGATTGTTTCTCTTTTGTTCAGCTACTCACCCTACGACAGATTCTGTCCTTTCTACAAAACTGTCGGTATGCTGAGAAATATGATCGCTTTCTATGACATGTCACGGCACGCTGTCGAATCAACTGCACAGAGCGAGAACAAAATCTCGTGGTCCGTCATCAAAGACAGTATGGGTAACATTCTGTATCAACTGTCTTCCATGAAATTCAAGGTTAGTGTGAATATGCATCCTCAATTATGTAGATTTTTTGGGAGTTTCAAGTTCTGTGAACTTATTCATGGACGATACTGAAGATTTAACAGATCAATTTTGCATCCTTAAAATATTTGATTAATCATGGTTCAGCTAGTACACCAGCAAAATAGCCCTTATTGATACTCCTCCTTTTACAAGTCCAGTTTTACTTTTGCGATATTCAAGAGCTCAACAATTCTTTGTGCTCTTATGAACACACCGACCGTAAAATGCCTGCAGACACTGGTCAGCAGGATTTTGCAGCTCAAAAATTTTAATTACTTCTTGTTTTTTTAATCGCTCTTACAAATCTTCTTCAAGTAGCCTTAGCACTAAAATACAGAAACTTGCCGCATGGTGACTGTTTTAATTGAAACTTCACATGGTTTAAGGGGATAACGATAGGTAATTGACAAGCCCAATTCGCTTGGATATCCGTAAAACCCTCATATCATCCTTACTTTTTATTTTAGTCGATACAATGCACCCAACTCATAATTTTGCAAAATCAATTGAATAGTCAAGAAATGTAGAGGGATTGAATTTTAATTCTCATTTCAGTAGACATTTTGAGACCTCAAAGAAACATTTCTTTTGATAAAAAATAAAAACGGAATCTTTTTCTTGTTTTATCATTTACTATTTAAACAGTATGTAAGACCGCAAACTTTTCCTGTAGATATCTCTGAAAAATTTAAGTAGTGCCAAAAACTAGTGACAAAACCTGATCAAGTGATAACCCTAATTTTTTTCCCCTCTCTAGGATCCCGTAAAAGATGGAGAGCAGAAAATCAAAGCAGACTTCGACCAGCTACACGAGGACATTCAGCAAGCGTTCAGAAACCTTGAGGACTAAGTTGTACATTGCTAATTGTTTCCAAGAAACTGTTGTTATTGTTAAAATCTATTTTCTTGTAATTTTAACGCAATATTTTACCAATCCCTTTTTTTTTTATTCTTTAGGAAACATTTTTTTCCATTCCGGAGCCCTTCTCTGTCAAAGCTTTAACGAGACATGCAGGAAGTGTGAAAGCAAGTAGAGTTTACATCCAGCAATGGCATTTGTATCATAGGCTGCACTTCTAGTGCAACCTCTAGTAGCTGGACCAAAGTTAAATGAAAATATTTGAAGCTTTATTCTTCTCTCATGAGTTTGGATTCAACTTAAAGGGCAATTTTAGTTAATGGAGTTGTATCCGACGAATAGATGAGATAAATCAATGGTTTTCCGCCGTAGGAATTTCACTTTCTGAGTAAAAGAGCCTATCATTTCAAATGTATACGAATGCCATCATTAATTCTCCAATAAAAGGAAGGAGTATTTTTTATTTTATTTTGCAACTTGTTATCTCAGTTGAGTAGTTGTAATCTTTTGCATCATTGCGAGTGTACACTCGTAAGCATTTATTCGTCCAAGAAGCGTGAACTTAATCAGAGGAAACTGAGATATTGAAAACTCACCCTCAGTTAGATTATGTTCTCCAATTTTTATTAGTTACTCTAAAGCGCCTCTTAAACTTTTAAGTGAGCCAAATAACATAACTCAAAGTTCTACAGAAATCATCACTCTCTTCATGCTGATCAGTGAAAATTTGTTTTCTTTCCTTTCACTCACTGTGGTGTTGTTTGTCAAGTATCAGTTAAAAGTGAATTTTCCATGCTCTTCAAGACTAACCACTATTTTCCCTTCCACGTTCGGATAAATGTCCATTTGTTCTTGCCTTTGCTGCAAATTTCAAGAGTGATTGATTAACATGCAGTATGATCATGTAGCCAGCTTTTGGAAGGAAATCTTAATGTTCAAGTGCAGCAATCGATATCGTGCAAACTGTACATTTTTATGACCCAGTATTTCTGGCAAGATTTCTTTCCAATGTCTACAGCTGAAAGAACTTATGTATAGAACAAAGAACATCGGTAATTTGAATCCTCCTTTCTGGCATTGCTATCGTAAACTGTAGTAAATCCTAACAACCATCAGTTTTTTAAGACCTTTTAAGCTTCGATGATAGCATAGTAGATAAATGATGGTATCATGATAGTGTGTCGTTTGAGTGTCTGTAGAATGTAACTTGCAGAAGGTCTTCGATCAATTGAAGGGCTCAATCAGACTTGCTGAAAACCTTTCTTAATCAGATTTATCTTTTCCATCAAATTCATTTTATTCATCCCATCCCATCATTAAAATTACGACTATAATTCACTCTCATCGTCTTATTATCTGTCTTCATTCTTGTCATTGCACTCACAATGAAATCAGTATAATTTTGATTAGTTTTATTTGTTATGATTTACGTTTTATTTTTGTAAGAAAATCTGCATTTCGCCCATTTTTAATGGATTTTTTTTTTTTTCGAGTTAACCTAACATTTGCCAACTGGCTAGAGCTGTTCAAACTCTCATATACCGTGGGTATAGAAATCCCAAGGTTTTAACTGATTGGTCTTGAACTTTCAAATTTCCATTGAACGTGCCCTTTGAAGATGCATTTTCCAGAAGCCAGAAAATAGAAACTTTTGATAATCAAACTTATTATGGTTACCAACCAGGAACTATTACTAAAGTGCCTTTCCTATAGGGATCAAAAGTCAGCTGATGGAAGAAGAAAGAAAACCTTATTCAAGAATGTTTTTTTGCTAACATTCAAGGCCTAATATTCAGTTTTTACATCCATCATTTTTTTTTAATTTTATGGGAACTATATTTTCCATCTATGTTGGTAAGGGAATGCTCTTCCAATAACAGTATATTCTGTGTGAATTTTAAAGAAGAATATAAAAATCTACCTTTTTCTTTTCGAGGCACTTTTGCAACTTTCAAACCAGCTCACAAGGTTGTCCACTGCTTGAACAAGATCTAATGTACGCTAGCCTAATCTCTCTAATTTTTCCTGAAGTCTTGAATATAACCCCGTTTAATGTTTTCCCAAAAATTTCATCATCAAAATCTCCATCAGTTTTGAATTCAAGGAGAGTATTGGGATTTTTGTACTCACGTTACTCAAGGAACAGCATTGTTACTTCTAGTATTATTATTTATCTGTTAATGTAATGGTTGTTTATTCCCTTATCATTGAACGAAATGTTTCGAAGGACTCGGTTGAAGTGCTATTTGTTTTGTAGTTGATAAACTTCATAAGTCTGAAAAGGGAGTTTTGGTATAGCAAAATCATCAAAGCACGCAAAATCTGCCACAATTGCATGAAAAAACACTCCTTAGCCTCGGGAAAAATGTTTACCTAAAGTCTACTTTCAGTATTTTGAAGTGTTAGGGAGGGTGAGAGCATCTATTTTCAGGGTGTGTATAGGTCATGAAAATCAGGAACTGTCAGGGGATTTCATCAGGTTATGGAAAATTCAGGAAATCCTGTGGAAAAGATTGAAAATTTGAAAAATCTGGTAACTTACTATGTTGAACGACATCAGCGCTGTCCACGCAATCAGAGTCTTTTCTGGTTCAAGGGTTACTGCTTTGAGTTACACTCTCAATAGTGAATACACAGAGGAATGATTTTCAATGGAGACTTGTAATTTTAGTTGATTGAATGATTAACACCTGAAGAAGAAAGGTTCACATGTGTCTGTCATTTGCAGCAGAATTAACTTCGAAAATTTTTCATTTCCAGCTCCATGTGTGTAAAATTTTCAATGTGAAAAGTCTTTGATTATTTTGGTCAGGCACAATCCGGAAAAGTCAAGACAAATTTTCCTGCTAAGTCTGTTGACACTCTGATTTTGTAGATGAATGTATCAGTCCTCAAGTTGAATATATCCTCAGGTTAAAGTGAAGGTTTTCTTTCTAGAAACAGTGCATGCGAATTATGATCAGAGAAATGGACTTGAAGGTAGATCAAAAGTTGAGATCTTTAAAGAAACGAAGTCCAGCTAGAGAACGTTACACCTTCCTAATGAAAAACCTACTTTCCAGTCGATGTAGAAGTCCTAAGACGTAAGTTTTTTTGACTTGAGTCAGTTTTTGTTTGTAAATATGGCACCTTTAGCCCTTAGTGCCACGTACTAAAGATGAAAATTGTAATCCTTTATGGGTTGAACTTACTTTTACTTGTTATATCTTGTTTTACATGATTCATACGCATTCCAATTTTCATTATTTTCATGTAACTATTTAGAATTTTTTTTCCTCCCTTTTTTTGTGTTGTATAATGCTTGTATTATAGTATAATGAACGTATTTTAAATTTATGTCACTCTGTAGTGCTCCGTTATAGTTTCATGATTTTGGTGCCACTAAGTTTCCAACCCGTATCTCTTTGCAAAAAGTGCTAACAATGAGCTCTATGAAAAGGGAATGTCTTGTTGCTAGTATTATTTGGTGTTTTCTCATGTTTTGCAAATTATCGAGGTGCGTAAATGTGATATCCCGATTAGCTTGTGATCTTTTTGCTAAGCCGTGCCGTTGAAATTTTAGCTCCATCAAACTTTTTCAACAATTTTATGAGAAGATTGAAGAATGGTATGTTTCTTGTGTCTTAAAACAGACATTTCCCTCCGCATCGTCTAATAAACCTCAGCATCTCACTGATTTTTAAATGTGACGCATGATATTTGTTGTAGCAGAGGTTTCTTTTTATTGGAAATAAAACATTTTCTTGATTGCTCGTTGAATCGCGAATCAATTTTTTTAAAATATATCATCGCTTGATCCTTAATTCAAATTTTTATCTTGATTCTGCATCATGCAGTTTCTCAGACAAGTGTCCAATTTATAAATTGGCTATAGCTAGCAGAAAATCGAACAATTTAACTGCTTCAAAGAAGTTGATTTCAAAAGTATAACCTGCATTACTTGATTAGATGAATTATAAAAAAACTAGAAAATTTTTAAGTACAGCTTTTGTACCGCACAGAGAAAATAAATATTCTCTGAATAGTATAACTTAGATGCTTGAAGCATTCCGAACAAACAACTTTTTCTGAGTGTTGTCTTTCATGACCCAAATTTGTTCATGTTTTGAAATAAGAGTAGCTTCTCTCGTCAGTTTGAAACACTAAGCAATTTGACCTTCAAGAGTGAAGGGAAAAAAACTAAATGCGCAGAAGTAAACTATTTAGAAAAAATATGCATTCTTATATAAGTGATTTAAATTAGGTTTTTTCTACCTAAGTCCGAGTTCTGCTAGGAATTTATCCATCTATTCCCTCATCATAGTTTTGAGATACTTATGAAGGTTACGGAATTTTTGTATCTGATAGAATTCCTCTTGTTCCATCGTTAATAGGCGATTTTCGTTATTTTTGTATCCGTTTAGGATTAATTTTCGTTAAACCTTGTTTTCAAGTAGCTGTTGATACATTTTAATTGTTTATTTAGACCTAGGGTAAACATAATAAAACTGTACAGTTATCACCTTGACAATATACACGTAATTAAGGTATCAAATTTTTCAAAGATTCCCTCAGCACCTTACCTTTTCAGGCTCATTTTCGGTCAAAATCAAATTTCTTGAAGTTATTTTAGACGCTCGAAGCCATAAGTAATTATCATGCATTGATGGAGACGTGTAGGCTTAATAAGCCGAATCACCCAACTCTTCAGCATTGGTGAGGTAGGCTACCATGCCAAACAAATCTTGTTTTTTCCTCTTTTTTTTCTTTTTTTTTGGTCAATTTGCTTCGCGCCTTTAATCAGAAAATTGTTTTATAACCAAAAATGAATCGTAACCTTTTATTCAGAAAAAGGAAGCAGCTTAGCAGTAGTTTCACATTAAAATGCTGGAAATATTTCGCATGAAAATGAATGCAATCCCAATTTTCGATAGTCATTTCAGGGACTCCTGTAGTATACACTCTGACAGTGAAAAACTCTAGCTATGCTTTCAAGATTCTTATCCCGATTTTTTAAGGTTTTCACGATCTTAAGATCGTGAAAACCTCACAATGTAGGGTTTTTTAAAAAAATTTAGATTTTTTAATCATTTTTTCATCTTGGCACCTTTTTGCCGGAACAATTCAATGGTGAAAATTTAAAAAAAAAACGTATTACAACTGCAACGAATTAGTTCTCTGTTATTTGAAATTTTCATAGAATATTGAACGTGAAATGAAGAAAAATTCTAAGAGATATTTTAAGTTTCGCTTTGAAGAAATGAAGTGTGACAAAAATATGTAGCAACGCAAATTGAGATATATTTTTCGACGCTCATGATTTAAATGCTATCCTATCAACTTGCTCTTGAATACCAACAATTAAACCTATTATCACATTACATATTGCGGAACTTGTCATTTCATAATGGAAGTACCAATTGATACAATTTATCAGTGATTTCACGGTTTTGATTTTTCTATACTGCCTCTTTCCTCCATCAATCATGTAAATTTATTCCCCCCTAACCTTTTATCACTAAGATGTTTCTCTATCATAAGAGTTGGTTTGTAACTGTATTTTTGATAGTCTAAATTATTTTAAAAATGCTAAATTGAGTTTTATTTTAAAGTTGTTAAGTATCTATTTACTGTTCATTATAAATATACACTGAATGAAGTCTTAAAGACTTGTCTCCAATACCATTGGTTCTCCTTTCACTAATTAAAAGGTTGATGGTGGAACTGCAGACGTGTAATTCAGTTTGTGGCGTTGCAGATTTTCCATCATACTTCATTTTCTCCATGGAAAAGTACTAACGTCATTACTTGATAACATCAGTAATTTTTCCTCACAATTTGAAGAATATTCGATGAATATTTCAAGCCATGATGTTGGTTAAGTCTCCTTTTAAATAACAAAATAGGAGTGGGTATTTTACAACACTGCATCCGAAGCATACATTTTTGCAATTTCACCATCAACTTGCAGAAGCAGAAGTGGCCACTAATTAACGTGCTAACAATGTACTGAAAAACTGCTCATCAGCCAATTTTGAGACAATCGTTTCAGACAACTGCATGAGTTTGTTGCAATCTGTAAGAGCTGTCCGTCGGCAATCAGACACATTTTATTGCAGTTCATTTCGCCCACAACTTATTTTTCCTCAAAGATGAAGATCGCAAAAAAAGTATTTCTTCTCTTCTAAAATATGCAAATATCATTGATAATACTTGAAAAACTATCAAAGTCACCGTATTTAAATACAGACAACTTTGAACCGACTCGGAACTACATATGAAAAAAAGTCTTGGGCATCTTAGGGCTCCTTCATACTCAAAAAACCAACACTGAGCTGAGCCGGGAGAAAAAATTAAAAACAGGTTTTTTGCAAATAAGAACAATTTTATTTGTATGCTTGACACAGGGAAAAATAATAAGTAAGAAACTTTCCCAAAATAAATTATTTTTTTACAAATTTCACATTGCTAAAAAGATGAAATAATTTAAACATTACAACTTAACAGGAGGTAATATGCTAAACATATAAATAGTTTACAAACAAGGTATAATTTTACTAAAAGAGAGTCCATGAACAATGATAAAATCGACTCCAAGATACCAACGTTGATACTTTCTACTTGAGCTGGATCAAACAGACTTTGAGCCAATATTCAGTTGAGTATCTAGGAGTTAGACAATGACAGTCTTAACTCTAGAAAAACGAACTGATTCCTGGACTTTAAAATACAGAACTTAAAATCAATGATTGTGTAAACAGGGTTGAAGTAAGAGATAAATTAATATAGGGGAGAGGTACAGGAAAAATAATAGTTAAAACCTTGACACTTCATCTGGAGTGTTCATAACCACATGGAAAATCAATGATTTGGGTAAAAAAATGAACGGGGCCTGAGTTACCATCGAAGAGTTACTGAATATGAATACAAGCAAAAATTTCATGACATCAAAATCGAATTAATGGGAGATGGCGAAAGAAATGTTAGTCTTGTTCAAGAGCAAAAAGCAAATAGGAGCAGGGGAGCAAACAGGGTTTTTGAATAAAAACAGTTGCCTCCCTGGACAACTTTCTGGCTGAGTCAAAGATAAAAAGAAAAATTAGATCAGAGGATTTTCACTCCTGAGCAAAGGGTGTTGAAATGAAAGCGAACCAATGAAAAAGGTAATTCCATTTAGAACATTAAAAAACGTCTGAAAAAGTAAGCTCCTGAGGTAACTCAGAACGTAAAACGTAATAAATGAATAAATATAGTCGACTCGTTTTATGTTGCAGAAAAACCCTAATTAGGAAAAGAAAATTGGCTTCTCATTACACTAATAGAGTAAAAAGAGAAATAAATTTATCACACATTACCAGTCGACTTAATTTCATAGATTTTCATAACCTTCCGGCCTGAACATCACAAGCACCATTCATGCTTGGGCGCTATGTCCCCAAACATTTCAATACTGTTATAATTTTTTCTTTAAAAATTTAATGCACACTTCCATGAAAATTTCAGAGATTAAACTTGATGACAAAAGAATTGTGAAGTGACTCTGTTCGTTAGTTTTACTATAAGAAATTGGATGAATTTGAGGAGTTTGGCGAGATAGTAACTAAGCACAAATGACCCTAGTGATACTTTGGCCAGAAGATAAGGATCAACTACATCATGATATATATAGGTTGAATAGAAATAACAGAATGGATGAATGAACTCAAATGAAGAGAACCACGAAACATAGGGAGAAATAACGAGAATACAAGTAAAATTCATGAAGTAAAGGGGGAGACGAGACAAGGAAAATTCACCCATTTAATGGTATGCCCTTTCTACACAAGGCATGTGCTAGAGTAAATACCTCGAGATGGCAACATTTCTGAAATCATGGTTGGTTTTAGAAATCATTGCGCTTTCGATTCTGACAGATTCAATGGTGTCCTCGAAAGGAAACATTCCAATAATATCGACAAAATCTCTTGGAATAAAAGTGAAGAGCAATGATTAATTGAAGTTCAGTGGTAGGAGAAAAGCTGTCACTTAGCGGTTCAAATATTTGCAACATTATTTTTTTCGATGATTAAAAATGGATAGAGTTGAGCCGAGAGAAACGTCTCACACATTAGCTCAAGTTCCTTTGCTTTTGTTCTTTTTTTTGTGTCAGGCCCATTCAAAGCCATTTTGACTTGTGAATGTTTTTCCTATAATTTTATACTGAAAATAATTGGCCTTCTTTGATCAGAATCAGGATAATTTTTTCGACCAATATTAGGCGATATAATGTCTTAAAACTTACTGCCCCAAGATAATAAAATATATTCTGGCAAAATTTCCCAGCAGAATGTTCTGTAGCTTTCAGATAAAAAAAAGAAAAAACACAAGACAAAACATGAAAAGAAATTGGGCAAATGCAGTTTTGCTGGTTCTTATGATGGGCCATTAGACGAGAATAGAGACATGAATTTTGGTTTATTCCCTTTAGGAGGAATTTGAATTTACCAATTCTAATTTAAATGCTACACTCTCACTTTCGAGTTGAACTTGAACTTACAATTCTTTCCATGTGCTTTGGATGAAATTTTGATGCAGAAATGTCTCGAAGAAATTTTATTATCACCCAGTCCATTGTTCTACAGCATCGTGTAGACTTTATTCTGTTAGTTTATGTCCTTTAAAAAAATGGAACTGACAGGAGAAATTTGGCAGCAGCTGATATGGAATAGTTCTCATCGTAAGATTCTATCCTTCAGGTACACCTCGATAGACTAAAATAAAACCATTTCTCGTTCTTGAGGTGACACAAACCTTGGTGGGGAGTGATAAGACACCTTAATCTAAGTAAAAATTTAAAATCAATATTCACAGAATATGTCAGGAATCACCATAAACTACGACAAAAACTACAAGCGTATTGAAGGGTTGACGAGGTGAAGTCAGTATGAGAACATACTAAAAATTATAACTAAAGACAAAGGGGTATTTCAAGACAATTAAGCTTCCGAGGAGACTAAATTCTGGCTTGTGGACAGATTTTATGATTGCTGGATTCAAGCTGCGAAAAGAGTGCTTTAATAGAATAAAGTACCATTTTTCCAAAGGGAGAGAGATTATTAGAGGATAGAATCTGTTCCTTCCTTCCAGTCTCAATGGTAACTCCAATTCCTATGCTACTTTAAAGGAAGACTGAGCAAATCTCAGAGCCGGGAAATTGCTCATGAACACTGATTTGATATTTTTTGGCTCTGTTTTGGCTTGAACAATGTTCAACAGCTTAACCAGGGATTCCAAAAGCAGGAATTTCACTACCCAAATTTAACAAGTGGGTACAAATTTTTACAAATTGTAACAAAAACTTGATCGAGTAAAATAACTTACTCAAAGTGACTTAGAATCTTGGGCCCCAATTTTGTTGTTGCATTCAACTGCGAGTTGCAAAATCTAACCGCTAAATTAGACTACAGGTTGGGAAAATTATATTCTGGAATTAAGCTGTAGGCAAGTTGAGCTTCATCAATCGCAATTGAATAAAAAAAGTCGACATTCTAGCTTCAACTGTCAGCTGCACCGACAAAATTTGGATCTTAGAAAACAAGACTAAATAAGCCACTTGATTCTGACGCACTTTCCAACTAAATTACTTGCATAAATTTATCTAAAAATGATATACTCATGAACATTTTCTTGGATTAGCCAAAAATTCATAAAAAGAAGTAATTATATTGATCGAAAAAGTCATGACAAGTAAGAATAAACCGTAAGTTTACGGCTCTGGGTAAAAAAATTTTGAGCCAAGTCAGCACACATTCAGGTTGAATAAGGTAGCATCTACCGTTGTTTTACTTCAAAAATATTTTTCACACAGAATGAGAGCAAAAATTGTGTGATTGGGAACCCACACCTAGATTTTCCCCACTCTTTAAGTGCAGAGTTACGTTGGTTTTGAGTAATGAGTAACTTAAGAAGAGTAATATTAAAAAGAATTAATAACGAAGCGCTAAAAAAAAAATTAGGCCAATAGCTTCTATCATATAAGATTAGCAATCTTCTGGTGTCAAGAAATTGATACTACGTAGAGACAAACATTCTCTCTGGGCTTCACTTTTTTATTTGGTATTTTCTTTTTTTTTTTTTTTTTTGGAATGATAGTCTCAGTCTTGTTGATGATGCACACTTTAATATCTAATAAAATTTTGGAAATGATGCTCCAAACATTTTTGCATTTTAATTACCTGGCGAGTGAAACATAGAGGCTCAAGAGAAAAAAAGGGTAAAAGTATCTTACGTATTTTGAACGTACGGTCAAGAAAAATTAGTACATAACTCATTGAGACTGGAAGAAAGCAGTAACATTCCAAGGTCATAGGACATTGGCATAGTTTCATACATTTTACATGTTTGTTACAGGGTTTAGGTGTTTAGAAGTTACTGGAAGTTAAAAGGCAAATTTAAGCATAGATGACAACCTACTCAAGTGAACTCATTACGAGAGACACGAATGATGAGAATTTAACAAAATCTTGCCTTGGTGCTGACATGTGTAGAGGATAATTATTGATGCACTGATGGAACCTGAACTGCATAACTACGCAGAATTTTTATGCATTTTGCAGTAAAAATAAGATGGTTCAGTTACATGGTACCGAAATTCACACACTCACAGGCAATTACTGGCAAGCTCCTTGCCAGCAAGAGAATTTACAGCTGCGCCAGTAATCCACCGAACTTCCTTCCTCAGAAAACTTGATTGCTTTGTAATACAAGTACATCCACATTAAAATTCTAAATAAAAATAGAATAGCACTGAAAATGATGCTATCAGTCTTAGAAAACAAATTGATGAGCCTATGTATTCAGTCAACAAATCTTATTTCAATCAATTTGAATAAATTAACGTTAATAATTAAAAAAAATAAATAAAAATAAAAAACCGGTAATGAGGTATTTGTTCACCCGCTTGCCGCCAGCGGTTTTCCGGGTCGTTACCATTTCTGCCGTTGAGTTTCCAGTTGCTTCAAACAAGCCTGCATGTCTTCGCTATCAGATACTAGTGGACTTAACCTGGGTGAAAAAAAAGACAAAGACCTTCATTAAAGGAAAGAAAAATACAACAATAAAAAAAGTATGAACAGAATTATTCGATGCTCAAAGTTCTGGTTTGTTGACTCCAACCAGATTATCTAATCACTTGCGTGTTTAAATACAGATCCCCAACATACATAACCAACACTCAATGATCTCTAGTGGACATACCAGTGTCGAGATGTGTGATCAAAAACAGGAGAGCTTAACAGAGTCGGTTAAGATGACTTTGTTAATGCATCTCCAATGAGGTAATGATTTTGACATTGTGACACCAAATGACATTTTTTTCTCGTAAGAAATATTTTCTTTCTTTTATTTGTATGATTGAGTATTGGACTTTAATAGACACTTCATCAAAGAGAGTGTGGTTTATGCATAATTCTCTGACTATAAGATGATGAGTTAAGAGCGTTTAGCTGATAAGTGATTTTGTAAGAAATCAATCTTGCAACTCACAGATCAATTATTTTTTGCTTAATTTTTTTTTTTTGAAACTTCTAATTTTGATTGCTGTATAAGAAACTTATTCAATGGGTTTAGTGTTTTCAAAAGTGGCTCCCTGACAGAGGTTGAAAATTAAAATAACTATCTAAAAATCCTTCCCAAGTGAAGTCACTGAATCATCAAGAATTCATCTTGAAATGAAATTCTAGGGCAGACGGGCTGCCTGAAAAATTACTCTGAAACTTATTACACTCATTCCCAAATGGTTTGAGCCATCCTACATATTGTCACTTCTCTTAGGTACGGACGTACCTCTATCAAGGACATCAGCCCCAAATAGCACAGAGTTAAGTGCAGTGGCGTGGCATGCTTTGCAATATATCAATTGTTATGCCATTTAAACCTATGGAAAAGGATCGATAAACAGGCGAACACCTTACTAATCGATTCTTTAACATAGGTTTAAATGAATCGATGTATCGCAATTCACGCCACGCCTCTGGTTAAGTGGACAACAGGGTTCAGATAAAAGAGGCGATACCTATCAGAGGAGCAATGATATATGCTGGAATCATATCATTTTGGGGCAAAAAGTATCTTTAACATGCTTGATATTCAAACATTGTTCTCTGATTATCTTTCTGAATGACACGGTTTCATTGAATGCTGCCCTCTGTTAAAACATTTGCTCTACTTAATTTTTGATGATGGAAGTAAAGTCACCTTAGGCATGGATGAAACTCTTACCCAAAAACCTCTTCTTTTCTTAAATTTTAGATTGATACGTCTCCGTGCATGACTTTCCTCGAATTATCCATGAGTAAGAGAGAAACGCACAATTTATACACTGATGGAACCAGCCTAGTTCATTTCAAAGCCTTCCAATTTTTGCATGCAACTTGCAGATGGAGGGCTCAAGAAGTTGCCTATGGCTAAATGTAAAATTACTTACTTGTCATAGATGAGATCACACTGCTCAGGGGAAAAGTTGGCAGATTTTATAGCCGTCATACACTGTAGTGCTAGTGACTTGAAGCATTGTCTGCGAGGTGTGTTATGGGGCGGATTATCCCAAAGAGGAGTTGCTTTTGTTTGGTGCCATGCTATTATGACATAATCTATCACGCTGCCCCAGTGCTGACTCTCTACAAGATGTCTACCCTGTTCCACCACAGTTTTCTGGAAAGATTAAAGAAAGAGGTAAGCTGGGGCCGAAAAATCTTCCACACATTAATTTACCAATTCTACCAACTTTGGAAGGAATTTTCATTAGAAAAAACAGATAATTTATCTTTCACCAATACATTGACAGTCCTTCACTGTAAATGCGTATTTGTGACAATTAAGTATGACTTGTGTTAAATGCAGTCTACTTTCATTCTAAATCATATAAGAGTTCAGATTCAGCATTGCAAATACTCAATGGACCACTAGACAAGGCAAGAATTCATCAGATATTTGTGTCCTCTTCAAGATGTCATATGCAACACAATTCACGACAGGAGGATTACTGAAATTAAGTTACACCAAGATATTAACATTTTAATTTTGTACTAGTTACCAAACCTTGGAATTTCCCACTGACAAGAAAAACCAGAGTCTGTGTGAGTCAATGTGCACACTACAACACATTTGGCAGGTCTCTTAATCCATCAGCGTTCCTTCTCCACCCTATGTTCTTTGAATGTACACAACTAATTCTACTAAAAGATATAAGTTTTTGATGCTATAAAATCACTTCACAACCCTAATTTTCTTGAGGAAAAAACACATGGAAGGTTACAGTAGTACGAAATTTTATTCTTAGAGGGTTGTGACGACAGCCTGTGAAAAACAGCTTTATTCCTTTTAATTCGATAAGCTGCATGTCTTCTTTTAATACTTTTTGCACCCACCTCCTTTTAACCGGATAGATCCAGGAGGTCATACTGAATAGGTCCTGTTAAATTTTTTGGGGTTTAGGACCTGTAAAATAATCTTTCCAAAAGTAGCAGAGGATAAAATCATGGATAGTAGAAATATTCTTGATGCAAGAGAACTGAGCACTTACTTTGAAAGCGGTTACGTGTGTGGCAGCTCGGTTGTATGCAGGTGAATCTGTTTTTGATGTGAGCCGGTTGGTGGGTAGTGATTTAAAAATGTTTTTCTTTAGGTAAGATAGTTTATCTTCTAATGGTTTCAGGTCTGGAACTGGTAATATTTCTCTCACTTCCTGTAAAGAGAAAAAAATGACATCATAGATTGAACTAAAAGTACTATTATACTTGTCAGTGCTAAAAGGAGGTTTTAAAAGAAGTCGGGACCAATGTTAGGACGTTCATTGCCAGCGTGCGCATTCATGATCACAGCATTGTCGTTTTTAAGTTCAAAAGAAACATTTTTGCAAAAACATGTTGGCAGTGAACATGTTAAAACTATGGTCTTTAATTAAATCCTGATTTACATCAGTGTGAAAACAGAGAGTACCAGGGCCTTTTCTACTGAGCAGGGTTTTCTGTAAAAAAAAAGGGCCATCTTTCTTCATAGGACACAAACTTTTAACATTTTGTGGAAACACTTAGGAGTACACCGAATTCAAAACACCATCTCCAGAGAAACAGCTTGAGAAAACTACTGCTGATCGTCCACGTGTCTGCTTGTGTAAATTAAATTTGATATGCAGATCGCATACAGTAGCTGCAAGCTGCAAGCAGATACTGTAAATTGAACAAAAGAGAGACTGGGAGAGAAAAAATAAGAGCATTTGAATCGTAAGTAAAGAGAGACAGAGAGAGAAAGGAGACTTACAGATTCTAGAGTAGGATGCTTCTGGATCAATGTTTCGATAACGCCGATGAGTTGTTCAGGTGAAAGACCCTTCAAAGTATTACCAATTGATCCTTCTGGCATTTGTGGAGTGGCTGGTCTATCTAAACGGAATTTTTTAGCTGATGGAGAATCCTGAAAAGTAGAAAAAGAAAATTAGTATCAGAGGAAATTTAGAGAATAGTGCATGGAAGAAAGAGATTGTTCGGTCCCTTTTCGCAAAAAGTCTGCTAGGTATTGGAGTTTAGCAACTCTACGTGATTAATAACAATGTAAACTACATTATAGAGCTTCACTGAAGTACAGAGTATGCAGTTTAAGGAACAACAATATGTGAAGCCCCAAGGACACGGAGAGTCCCAAGCCTTCCCTCCTTTGAACCAAAATGTATTACGGCTTCCTCCTGAAGACAAAAAGAAGGAAGGAAAAAACCCTTCAACCCAAAACCTGTCGCGCATGAACAATGTATTCCTAATAAGATTCCTTCAATTGCACACAATGCAACATTTGGTATATCGTCAAAGAAAACAGGTGACTTTACTTAATTATGAAACCTCGCTTAAGAGGACAGGGCCTCGGTTTCAATGCGTTATCACAAAGCAGCAGTTGACACAAAAGCAATTATGAGAATATTTCAAGTGTTTATTATGTTATTTAATATGTTTTCTTAGCAAAAAATATGTTATTCATGAAACTTTTCAAATGCTGCAGAGCTGGGTGGTTTTGGCGTTCAGCTATCAATGCTTTACAGCTGTATTGACAGGGCAACAATTAATTCAACTAACCTTCCTCGCCAACTTGGAAGGTCGTCCGCGAGGCCTCGCCTCGCCAAGCTCTACGAACCTCTGCGGTTGGTAGTACACTCCCGACCATCCCCACGCTATTCCAACGCTACAACGGTCGCCGATTGGCCTAAAGCTAGATTGCACTATACTCAAACCAACAACAACTAACCTTTTTACGCTTGTCTGGTGATAAAGAAACTTCCATTGGATCGTTTAAAAGTAGCCTTTTGCGAGGAGTGCTCCTGAGGACAATTGATGTTTGCCGCGTTGGGCTCTGCTTTACTGGTGTCGTCTTGGTGGTCTCCGCTTTGTGAGAGTCAACGTCGGGGCTCCATTGGACTGGCATCCTTCGCCGGCCTCGTTGTTGAATTACTAATTCATCTGGCGACGGTGTGGGTGACAAATAGGATGATGGTAGGTTGATGTCAATCAGGAGCTGCTGAGGAGCAGTATTCATTGTGTTGTGCGTGTTGTTGTTGTTATTATTATGGGGGTGGTGGTAACGTCCTGAAACAAAAATCAGCAGTTGCATGACAATGGTTCATTCAACATGAGGCAGGAAAACACGAAATAAATTTTACTTCTGCTCATTGGAAGTGAGCTAATCCTAATTAAAACGATATACTATGTTGATTTTTGAATTTATTTGAAAGGGAAATTTTGTCAGCAGAATCAGCAAGCTAAGTAACTGGGAATGAAACATCATCAATCGGCCTCTCCTGGCCTGTCATAAGAGGTCATCGGAACCGCTTTTGTACTAATGATCAATTTTTGAATTTTTAGGGTGTCAGGCGTAAAATTCCGGTCAGTTTTGTTACTTGAACCACGCAGAGCGAATTTTACCCTGACCACTGACTTGTTTGAAACAGTTCTTATCAGCCGATATGCAACCATCCACAAATTCACAAATTATCTGATCATACCGTTTTTGGACCTATAATCTTCCAATCATACATGGCCTGAATTTGTTTTGATCGCCAAGTCAAAATTACTATCATTATGCCTGAAACGGATAAAGCCAGTGCCTGATCATACAATTTCCTTGAGACAGGCTTAAACAAGCCCGGACCTCCACTATTTTTTCAGGGAAACATGAAAACGACATGGAAAAAGTGGTATCAATCTACATAACTTTGCAGGTGTGTCAGCAACTGACCTTAAGAATCTAACTAATACAGAGACTTTGCTAGAGCATCGTATGTTGAGACAAAAGTCAAGTATTGTTTAGGTCACCACTCATCAGTGGTGCCATCTGACTGCAAGTATTATCATGTTGAGTGGTGCTGATTCAGAGGCAATCAGAGATTGACATTTGTCTCGATATACGATGAGTCCGCTCTACTGCTGCTCTTCTCCTTCACATATTAGTCTGTCTTCATGTTGTTTGAGTCATGTACATCTCATCCTAAAATCATATGTGGCTAACGCCCAAGGTTGTTGTACAGAGATTTCATCGCAACAGACAGTGAATGGGAACCATCCCAATTCATAATGAACATGATCGATGACATGCAAAACCTACTAGGTCCTCACATCACAAGCAGACATGGCAGATTGTGGTGGCTGCAAGATCTACCGGCAAAAACAGGCAATGCAGCTGAGGGAGGGGCAACCAAACCGGTTGTATTAGGCTGCGGTGTTGAAGTAAACTGTTCGGAAACGGAATTACCCCATTCCAAACAGTCAGCGATGTTGAGCCCCGTAAGACTTACCCAATGGTTTGTTTGTTTACATACGAAAGCCTAACGTTTCTACCAAACTCTCAGCAATCTCAGGAGGTAGATTGAACTGTAGGGTTGCATTTGGAAACGAAAGAACCAAACGGAATCACACGAGTTCACTTCGACAAAGCATTAGTAGAAAAGGGCCAAAGCTTACAAACCGACATGATGTTGAGAGGCCATATCAAAACTGCTGCAACCTAAAAGATAACACAGTTGTTTGCTTACCAATGGGGGTAGTCTGGTGATGGTTTTCAGCGACAGTTAACATTCCTAATCTTGCAGGGATTTCAGCTAACGCACTCCTCGTAGTTCGCCGACCATTGAGAAGGGCATCATAATTCTGATGCGGAGGAGTCTCCATGATAAATTAACCTAGAACAATCATAAAAGCTTCTTTAATGTACACGTAAATATGAAGACAAGGGGAAGCTATAGGTCTCACCACCGACGGAAAAGCAAATGAATGACGGTAGGAGACATGCATAAGCGGCAAAATGGTATCCAAATATGAAATGAGGGAATAAAGGCATCAGACCAATAAGTTTAAGATAAACCTATTGGAAAGAGAAAAGCATTTCCGAATAAGGGACTAATGTGCGTCGAAACTTACACGGGGAAACAAGAATGATGCACTTCTGAGACCCAACAGAGAGCCTACATTTCACCCCAAACACAACATGAGGAATTTCCACTGAAAGCACATGGATCCAACGACTCCTTCCTTCTTAAAGCTAAGTCAGTTATAAGATTGCGAAAAGATTTTGATATTAATTTAGATATCCGGCGAAAAGGTAAACTCTGAAACTGAACTACGTAAAAATGTATAATCACTCCTTTTGTTCGCTTCCCGCGTAAAAGCGACGACCTAAGGACCTAACCTACCCCAGTTTCGCGAAAAGGTATCACAACATTCAGAAAAGTGAGTCGTTTAAGATTCCCAGTTGGAAAAAAATTGCTCTTACCTTGAGTTTCAAATTTCGGGAATTGCTAAATTCATAAATCACTACACGAAGAGAATTACTAAAACATTAAAAGCTGTACATTCGGGGAAAACTTAGCCAAGCGAAGGGTGCGAGAGAGGAGTCGTGGGGGATAACAACATTACAACAACAACCTCTTAAGCACCAGCTGCAAAACCGCTTCAGGCGGTGAATGGAATCTTGCCGATTTCGGGAGGGGAAGTAGGGGGCCAGGCAAGTTCCCGCCAGAGCATTCAATGGCCTCCCATTGGTCGGCGCTGGGTTGTCCAGACCGCTTGGCGGGTTTTTTAAATTGTCAGACTGCGTTGAACGAGACCCTCTCCGAAAAATCGGGCGAGTGTCGAAGTCGAAGTCTCAATTAGACGTATTTCTATCAAACGGAACTATGTGCATTATGATGTGAGCCCTGTTATGCGTGTATTCTTATGGGTCTCAGGGCTTATATCTTAATGCACACGGTTCCGTTTGATAGAAATATGTCCAATTCCTCTCAAGACTTCAGGACGCATTCAGTTTCCTTCAGGATTGACTTTTGAATCTCCACCCAACATCTTCTAGTACAGTAAAATCTCGATGAAGTTTCAAATTTTCAAGAAAGTTCCAGGTCTTGGAAAACAGGGGTTGGCCGATTCTTACTTTTTAACTTCACTTGGTGCAAGTGTATAATCCTTAATTTTCCACGCACACTCCGTCAAATTATGAAGTGACAGGTTATTGATAACCTCGACAGTCCTTTCATCATCAATCAGCCGACCATTATCAATAGCATCTCGCTGTGTTCATTATTTAATGGTGCGATATGAACATCGAAAGAGAGTGGCAGAATTTACATTTGATAAAAAGAGTTGAGTTAGTACAGACGTTTTAATAAAAAATGTGGAAATGGGCCTTAATAGGGCATTGGCCACTAATTTTTTGTTGTAAAAGAAACTAGTAAATTTTATCACTGATGGGTAGAAGTTACATTTCAAAAATTCTTTCATGAAATCCTTTTGAAAAACAAATGACTCGTATCTCCTGAAAGATAATTCACCAACACTCTAATCCCTCTTGAATTTACAGAAGGAATGAGGGATTGTAAATAGATGAACGCAAATGGACAATGTGACTGCAAAACCTTATACTGCCGTTACCATATTCAAAATTTTCTGATCATATTTCACCTTTTTTAAATAACAGTACATAACAGTTGGGTGAAAAATTTACTAAGGGGCATTCTTGAACCGGCAAGGAAAAATCTTAAAATAATGCACTATAACGATGATTGGTCATCCTTTAAAAAAGCAAAATGTGACTGGAAGTCAGCAACATTACTAAGAAAGGTTTATAAACTCACTAATGGTTTAATCTTGTTACACCATACCATCACATATTGCTTTCACCGTTTGCCATATTGCATTATTTTCATTTCTTTGGGTCGAAATCCTCCTGCTTCGATTCTGTTTTTTTCTCAATTGCAATGCTCCTTACTATATTATGCTTACACACCAAGATTAATTTTGCATGCTTATTGGAGAAATTTAGAAAATATAAGGATGAATCGCTTGGGCAGTTTTCATGTTGGTTTCAAGGGGGCGGGGGAGAGTTGTTTCAGCGTGACATGCTGTGGATCGATAAAAAACTGGTAAAAGCGTCAGGTAATATGAGGAGTGTACCTCTTACTTTGATACGGATAAAGAGGAAGAGAACTGGATTGATATGAAAAGCCAACAATAACTTGAAAAGAAAAATTTATTCATTTTTGAGAAATACAAAATTGTGCATTTTTACAAAGAATTACAAACAGAGAGAAAAGAATTAATTTACAATAGCACCGAACACACAGTGAAAAAAGAGAATTAGAAACAAATTACATTAATTAATTACAAAAATTCTAAGTTAGCAAAGTCATTTCATTGATTACATTTTTTCAGTCTTATAAATAACCTTGCAAAAGTTGAGAGTTACATAATTTGACACTGGGCAAAAATTATAGGCACTAAAAATTTTGGATGAATTAGTATTTTCAAAACATTGTAATAAACAAGAATAAATATTAGGCATGACTTAAGGCACTACAGAAGCTTCGAAAGAGAACAAAAGAAAATAGAAGATAGAAGACATCTTCTAAGAATTGTAAGGCACAGAATGTCCATTCAGAAAATTTAGTAGGTAATGAAATTTTTGCTTCAAGATTGCATTTTATATTTTTATCAAAAAGTTCAATGAGAATGTTACCATAAAAGGTTAATGTTGAAAAATGCCTAGAATACCGAATAATTTGTTTTTCAACCAAAAAATTGTTACTTTTAGAGGAAAAATTGGATAATTTTCATTTCTATACAAATAATTAGTATTTGAGTCAGTGCTTTTAAAAAAGATGGAAATCCATTTTTCATGATCTTTTATTTTTCTTGCATTTTTGAATTCTCCAGGTGTTCTCACCATATTACCCGAGAAAGCAGCAGAAGTTCACTTCTTAGAGCGCAAGTGACAGACGCACAGAAACACGAATGTCAGGTAAATAGAGCGTCAAAAATGCAAAAGAATAAATGGTTTAAAAAATTGGATTTCTGCTCATTTTAAAAATAACGATTCATCTTTGAAAGCAAGAAAGAAGTTGCTCTGTGAAAACACTATAGTAATTGCATATTTCCTTCTGCTAGATGAAATCTCGATAGATGTTAGTTAGTTTACATGTCAAAATATAATTAAAAAATGAACTTTCTTTTTTGTTAATTTTTTTCGGAATTTTCAAAAAAAAATTCCAAAGAAAACCTGCATCTTCTATTTGTATTATTGGAGACTTCAATGGATATTTGTCCATGAAAGGTATAAATAGTAGAAAATTGAAAAGAAAAGAAATAAGAAAAATAGAATTCGGGGCTTGACCTTAATGAATACCTACATAAATAATGTAAAAAATGGGATACTTGACCCCAAGGCACCTTAATCAGTCAAGAAAAATTTATACGGGTGGCATTCACCTTAAATAGAGAAACAAGATTTTTTTCTAAATACTTCAGCTTCTTTTCAAAGACTGCTAATACTGAAAAGAATTTCTTATGACAATTTGCTTCAAAGTATACATAATTTAACATGAATTATTGTCCTCGTTTCTTTGAAATTGGCTCAAGAATTCAATGGATAACTCGACAAGATGCTTGCTTAAGAAATGTGATACGTTTGTCATGATATTCCTTTGTATCTCAATATAATCCCGATCTCCTTTTTGAACTTCTCGCAAGACAATGGCAATTTCGAAATTATTAAATAGTTATATTTGGAATTGTCACATTAACATTATAAAATTCGGAATTAAAATGATACTTACGCAATGGCCATTGTTGCGTGGAAAGTTCAAAAATTTCAAAAAGGAAATCGGGATCCAAAGGTATAATATAACAAATGTTAATATGCCAAATAGAAGAGGACTACATGAGTAACATGATATGTGCTTTCTGATATGCAACGAAAATTATTGAAAGTATCTCCTGACTAAAATATTACGTTTTTTGATGCATAAATTCAAACTTTCCATTCAGAAAAAAAAACCCCATAATCTACTTGAGTTAAATCGCACACTAAATGTTCTTGTAACAGTCTGAGGCATGAAAATATGCCAGCCTCAATATTGGCACTTCAGCTCACAAGTTGTGCGTTATTTTCACTTGGAACAACACAGGGAAGGGAAGGAACACTGCTTGATTAAAAAGCCTGCCAAGATCATTATAGTGCACGCTTTAATACATGTCCACTCACGTTTTTCTTGTGAACAAGGAATTCAAATTTTCCATACCCAGCGCTAGATAAAAACATAAATATTTTCATTAAGAGTAGATTTCAGCGAGTTTTGTTGTGAAAATCATGTCCTATGTGAAATTTTGAATAGGAAACATACTTGATAATGCCTGGTTTAATACCTTTGATACCTGTTTTTGGTTTGATACCTGGTTTAACGCCTTTGATTAATACCTGGTCTAATGATCCATACAAATTGCCGCATAAAGAATAATTTTCAGTGGATAAACATTAGAGATAATTTCCTTCAAATAATGAAGGAAGAAAAAATAGTGAGCCTTCATATTAGGATGAAAAACAAAAGGATCAGCAGAAGTTTTTGCAAAACAAATATAAGATCAACAACGGGAAAATCGCACAACAGCTGTCTAAAAAATTACCTTGATCAGTAATAAGTTACATCTTTACAGATGTAAATTCTATTGACAGAAAATCAATATAAACCCAGCATGTAAGTAGAATTTAGCATACTAAGATTTAAAATTGTGCTAAGCACACCAAGACTTACAAACAAATTTACATACAATTTAACAGGAATTCAATAATTGCGACTCAAGTTTTCAATGTTATACATGATAAGCTTTTAGTTTGTCTACATTCATTTTTTAGACTGAAGTGTTGGAGGGCTTTAACAAGTTTTTTTCATGCCTCAATACCCTGTTACCAATTTCGTATTTGAACAACACTGGATTTGTCACTATTTCCAAAGACCGTTACACATTAACACTTAAAAGTTAGCATACCATGGGATCAGTGTGGAGCAATCGTTGACAGCAATATTCATTCGGGATATGAATAGTTCTTGGCCCTCTCATTTTAGAAACCCCTCTTTCTTCAGCAATTTCCAAGTGATGACCTTCATAAGACTCAATACATATGTAATGTCGCTATTTTGCACAAAAAAACCACTTGATTTTTACAGCGGTTGTGCAAAAAAAAAACATGATTTTGCTGGCCAACCCATTTTTAAAACTCGTTTTCAAACTCGTATTCACGGTCTTTCCATATTCCACTGAGTTGCAAGGGCAAGGAAGGACTCAACTGTCCACTAAGAGAAAAGCCAGCATCACAGTTTTAGTATTGATCATTCTTCGGTGTAACTTGATAACGGCAGGAGTAAAAACTTATTCATTTTTCTTTATTTTGAAGCAGAGTCTTAATTGAAAGGATATCAATCGTCCTCATTGAGAAATTTCTATACAAGACTATGATACCCTGAAAATTACATAGGAAGACTTTTAAGGAAAATAACGGCCTTTAAATGCAAATATCAATTTACTATAAAAAAATCCCTGGTTCCAAATAAATTGGATGATCAAATGTTTGGAGTGCAGAATGTCCAAACACTCAAATTAACAAAATTAGTCTAAGTAATTATAAATTTCAGACATCACTCTCATCTCCAACAAAGATAAAAAAATGTTGGAGGGAAAATTACACCATGTTAATTTGAAAAATACAAAGATGATGGGAAAAAAACTACAAAGTAAACTTACAAGAATTAAAAGAAGGTAAGCTTTTTGAGAAAGCTCTTTAGTAATACCGGGTTCGTTGATACAAAAAAATAAAGTTTTAACACTATACAAATGATAAGCAGTTAAATTAAGTAGTTCCGTGGGATATACAAGACAGACAAGTGTCTACGGACTGTAACGCTCATGCTCAACTTAAATTGTTTGACTGGTAATTCATCTTTGATGAGCTATGAAATTTCTTGCATTTACTTCTCTTGACCTTTTTGTATTGAAAAAAAAAAATTAAATAAAATACATTTGATGCAATAAAATTGTAAGGAGTTATATTAATGGACAAATGCTGAAATCTCTGATGATCAATAATAGACTAAAAGCAAAACTTACTCAATTTTGTGAGCTCTTTACTTCATGTTTATTGAGTTCAGTTCAGAGAGAGTTTCAGAGCAATTTGAAAGCTTCGCCACAAATGAATCATATTTAGCAAACGGGAACCAGCGGGAATACAGTGTTTTTAAAATCGTGTAACTTTTCCCATGCTTTTAAAGATACTTAACATATGCAGAACTCTAAAATTAACACAATTATTTCCCTTTAAAATTAACAGTTTTTTTGCGGGAGGTAAAAACGATTTGCTATTCTGAGAAATTGTTTGAATAATTATGAAGAAGCATCATTTTAACAACACTGTAATCACGCTGGTTCCTTCGCGCTAAATGAAATGCAAATAAAATCTCATAGTAGGAACACAGGTGCTCAATAATTTGATAATGGCTGGAAAATTGATCAAATATACAGTACTCTCTCTCTCTATAAAAAGACCCTTTGTAACAAAAGTTTCTATGTGACAAAGGAAACTTCTCGTCAACAAACCTCTGTGATTTTGTTGAGCGCTCTTCGTTCTAACAAAAAACCTTTCCATCCGTTGCCAATTCGTTATGGAGAGAGAGAGAGAGTACAGTACTTATTTAGATCATGCTTACCTGATTTGATCTTAATTTGAAAGACTAGCAAAAATACACAAGTTTAAAAATGACGTTGCCACTGAGACAGTAGGCTCTTGAAAATTGAGCAATAAATAGGCTAAAGACTATATTTCCTACTCGAGACTTTCCAATACTAGATGGATGAGGCTCAATTCGTTGGGTTGGAGACACAAAAGTAGCCAGACTTTAATAGTTAAGGCAGTCAAAACATCAGTGCAAGAAAAGACAATAGATTTCAGTAAGTCGTATAAAATTATACCAATTAAGAGGAGTAATTGTGGGTTTTAAATACTTGTTGGCAAATGCAGTGAGAGGAAATTATGAGATCATACAGGTCTAGTAGACATCGTGAGGAATAAAAACAAGAAAATGATACCAAGTAGAAATATGTCCTATTAACAAGGTTACTGACAGATTTTGGATGTTACTTAGAGACAATGAAAGGTTAAATACTTCATTCACACTCGGTGGGACATTTTAATCATTGAGTTATGAGTGAAAATTATGTAGGAACACATAATATAAGGATTTTCATGTAGAGAAATCTGGAACTGACTTTCATCCAAACTCGTTGGAAAAAGTACCAGGAGGTGCTTCAGGAGATTACACTTCTTTGAGGTACAAAATAATTGATACGACAAACGGCTATAAAATGTTCTCTTACAAAAATTAGATAGTAGAATGAGCAAGAATATAAAAAAATAATTTTTGCCTTTCAAAACTTAGACGGTTAATATTGCTTAAAATAGTTGTAGTCTATGAGTCTAATATATCCGCAGAATCAGCAACTTTTGTGTAATGTTAATTATTTGATCTAAATTGCTTTCAAAACTTTGAACTTTGATGGCTCAGAGTTCAGTATGAAAAAATGAGTTCATAGTGGGATGGACAGAGCGGTTCAAGGCATGGTTTATGTGGTTCAAGGGGAGAAAACAAACTAGAAACCTAAATTTTCAAGCTAATCTGAGTTAAGGACAGCACCTTGTCTTCTGACTTCTTAAAATCTGGTTGTTGCCTTTCCCCACACAATTCTGTTGTGTTCATTTATCACAAGCTGAGAAATGAAGTAAATTGAGTCCGGTTTTCAGACCGGCTACTAAACCGCATGCTACTCAAACAAGTTAGAGAATTGGGCTCCCTCGTCAATTCTATATCCTGAACACCTGAATACAACATCCCCCTAGGACACAGTTTATGAAGCCTTTCATAAGTCCAAAATGCAGAAAAATGCATTTTTTTTTTTGGCAGAAATAAAAAAAATGGCACTTATCAGAAAGCATATAGACATGAGAGAAAATACAGTTTGAAAAATCCAAATCAATCACTTTTTCATAACTTCCATCCGATACAAGTACGATATTTGTTAAAAAAACCAATACGGAAATACAGACTTAGTGCCAGGAGGATTTTTCAAACGCAGTCTTTTTTTTGGTATTGATTGATGATAATCATTAAGATTCTAGAGATCCTCTAAATTATTTCATCCGGAGATATAAATAAGTATTCCATGATGAGTTTCAATATACTCGGGTCCTTTGTTAAAAACCATGATAACTAGATGCGGTTCCAGTTCTTTTGTACCTGAAAAACTCGACTAAATAGATCAATTGGAAAATTCGACCATTTTATAATTGTCTAAACATGGAAAATTTTGACAGGTACACATTAAAGTACACTCGGAAATATTCTGCCATTTTATATCACATCAGGACCGTGAATTTGAAAATTAAGCTACATACAGATTTCAAGTCAAACATTCTAAATTGAGCTGGTCTAAATTATGAAACACAGTATATTTGCCACAAAAATGCAAAGAAGAAAATATGACTTAAAGAAAACTAAGATTTTTGACCTGGAGTTATAATTGAAGTTTCTTTGAAACATCATTCCAGGCAATTCTCTCACTTTCTAGATGGCAATAGGGTTCCATGATAGGAATTAAATGGCAAACAGGAAAAAAATATCACAGTCAAAATTTGTTCTAGTTTCAAGAGATGATTCCACAAGCTCTAGGAGCTTCTTTTGTTTGCTCTAGTTGGGCAAACAAAATTCCACTGAGTAAAACAGAAATAGATACAAAAGAAATTCACAAAATTTACAGTCTTACATTAGAATTTCAGAAATAAACAAGATTTTCAAAATATAACTAGATGAGTCAACTGGACAGCATTAGTGGATACCAATATTCGTTTTCATTGAGAGGCTCACCCTTTTGGGTGATTGTCACAGAAATCAGTCCGATTCAGAAAGATTGTCAAAGAAATAATGATGTCATGAAAACGGGAATGGCTATCTGTTGAGGCCAAAACCATTGTTGCATCAATTACTGCTCCCTTCTGCTGAACAGTTGTTGTTTTGGCTGGAGAGATATGAAAGCTCCATCACATTCTGAAAAAAAGGATTAAAGCACATTGTTAAATAGTGAACAACCTATTGACCTACCCACTATTCAGCGAATTTTATACCTTAATAAAAATTAAAATACCTCCTCACTTGTGACTGAAACTTATGAGGATTGTTTTCTTATGTTTCTGGCATTTAGATTAAACTTGGAAAATTGTTAATATCATTATAACCGTTGTGAGGGATTTTATGAAAAGAAACCATTGAAATTAGAATAGGGGACAAATTTGACACATACGTATTGGTTTTCTATCCTGAAGGTATAAAATACTTAATAAAAAAAATAATAACAGAAAAAGTGCCAAAGAAAAAAAGAATTTACATCCAGGATGATGACAATACTTGCAACGAAACAAATATTTTGTTAAAGTAAAAATATTCTTAGAAGTCCTTCAGTGTACACAGACAATGTATTGGTCACTTACAAAATCAATTTTAGACAGCCCTAATATTGTTGCAATTGAAGAATTATGCATTGTGTACTTAAAGCATATAACTACTTTAAGCTTTCATCTGGACCTCTGTTATTTACATTTTATGAAAAAGACGACCAGTGCTAAAAAGAATAAGGCTGCACAAACCTATTTTTCTGTTCAAGTCTAATTCAATTTATTATGTATTTTTCCACTTATTCCAGTCAAGTTGAAAATTTTTTGAGCTCGGAACTTCAAATAAATTGGAGTCAAGATCAAGTAGTTTTGTATTAAAACACATGGTTCCACACTTGCCTCAAACACCAAATAACTTTCCCTAATTTGTTCCTACTTTTTTGGTATTTAATATTCATTTTTCACACATTTTTTGATTAATCATCGGATCAAAAATTGCGTTTACCACCAATTGCGTTTACCAACAATTTTTTCCTTCTCTTCATGAGCTTGAGCATTGTTGCGTATAGTATTTCACAGTGCTTTTTTTATATACGATCTGTCCTTGGGTATTGATTTGTCCCATTGGTAGAAACGTCAATGACGAATTCCTTTTTTGCAGCTGCCATGATAATTTGACAAAGGGGTTTTCGGTGAGAAAAATTAGCGTTTAGTCTGTCATTATAATAGGAAAGTCCTTTGCAACACAGTACATACTGCATTTACAGAGATGGACAAGGTTAAACTGAACTCATTGATCAGTAGTAAAAATGTACACTTTACGACAATTCAGGATTTGTGAAAATTAGATCCTTGAGGCTTCTATGAAACTCCTGTAACAGCAGGTATTTGAATTTCAAGCATAACTCGTTTTAAATTTTGCAATAAATGCGATCTGAGTGTAGTCATTCATTCATGTTTTTTATTTCAATGTTGCCAATCTCAAAAAAAAAAGTGCAGGAATTTGAGGGTTTTGGCCTTGCTTGGAGTGTCAAAATTCAATTTCTTGTGGACTCGGAGCTGAATTCCCTGATAAAATAAGCGTTAATTTTTGAAGGGTCACCATATGGAAAAGAGATAAAATTTGAATGGTTGCAGGCCAACCATTTAGTCTGTGAGATCATGAAACAGAAGGACTTTATTTTAAGGGAGTCCAAATTCTGCTTCTTTGGTATCTTTATTCTTCTGCTTCTACTATTTTCTCCCCTATTTGCTCCCTCCTTCACGACACTCTTGCTAGTGATTTTCACCACTCTTTCACATATTCTTCCTTTAAACACCTTTTTATATGCTAAGTCACACAGATGAGTCTTGAACATATTTTAACCTGGAAGTTGTAATCTTACCCAAAAATATTGCATTATTTTATATAAAATAACTTATAACGAAAAAAGAATGAAAAATTGGGAAACCTACTAGAAAACACACCTTGCTTTGCTCAGACTCAGCCAAGGGATTGTTTGTGATTGTCATTCCGGGGTAATTATTAAACCCATTACGCTGTGGGGTCCGACCATTCAACATTTTTCCATTGTGGTTTAGGTGATTCCCGTGGTTTAGGTTATTTCCATGGTTCAGGTTATTCCCATGGTTTAGGTTATTCCCATGGTTTAGGCTATTCCCATGGTTTAGGCTATTCCCATGGTTTGCGTAACCATTCATCGAGATAGGTTCTAGCTGTTGTATAGTGAGTGTTGTGTCTCCAATTTTACTGCAGGACTCTGTTCCATCTGGAAAAAGACAATTGTTCATAAGAAGGCAAGTTCAAGTGAAGTAAGCTAGAGTAAAAAAGAATGTAAGAGTCAATTCGCTCTATGCGATAACCAACAATGGTGAGTAAACTTAGGAAGTGAACACTATCTGTTCTGTCCATTTAAATAATAAGTTATCTGAAATTTGAGCCAATTTGAAGCATTTTTAGGTACGGCACATAGAAATCTGAAGGACTGGTATCGATAAGAGCTGTTTTTTGCATCCCCCCCCCCCTGACAGTTCCTACTGAAAGGAAGAAGTATCAATAAGGGCCGTTTTCCCCCCCCCCCTATCAGAATTTCCTCAACTCTACAATTTTATGCTTGTTGAAGGTCTACACTTCACAGAATGCATCATGATTTGGTCATTTTCGATCTCTTTTCAGGTCTAAAACTGATCTAAACATGAGTCTGAAGGTCAATTTTGGCGAAAAATGTGGATTTTTCCGCATATGATCACAAAACCAGCATTTTTTGCCAAAATCAATCTTCAAACCAAAAAGAGAGCCAAAATGACCAAATTACAATGTGTTCTATTAGAATTATAATTAAATTTAGTAGTTAAAATTTTAATGAAGAAGTTTAAACTTATAATTAAATTTACAATTTAACCCTTTTATCAGGCTCTTTATTTATTAAGATTCAATAGACATTCAATGAGCAAAAAATAGTTGAGTCGAGAAATAGGTGGGTTTGAAAACGGCTCTTATTAACACCCCTCCTTTCAAAAAATTACATTTTAAATGTTTACAGTTTAAATGGGGGAAAAGCAAGCCAATTGGTGGGAATCTACCCTATTTTTCTCAAATCATAGGAAGTATATTCTGATGAAAACTCAGATTCTCATTTTTAAATTAATCTTGACAAATATCACTTTCCTGAAAAGCGCACTAAGGACGTTCTTTCATAGGATGATCAAAAAACTTGACAAGGCAGCTCTTCACAAAGAGGATACAAAAAATGCTTCGTACCTTCATCAGATTCTGAGCTCGAGTGCCTCCGAAAGCAACAACAGAGAAAACAAACAACAATGAACAGTCCAAATCCGCCAACAGCAACACCGATGTACAGATAAAGGTTGGGTGTAGGTTGCTCCGGAGTTGGTTCTTTCCCTACATCGCCCACATCTTCCGGCTTGTGATGCTGGTCACCCTCTGAAATAACAAGAATATTGTTACACAAATAGAATAATTTGCTACATTTGCAAAAAAAAAGTAATTGGTTCAAAATTGAGGAATCAGATGTAAGAAAGCCTGGACACACAAGGTTTAATTTTTTTTTTTTGGAAAGAACAACTTTCATGATTCTTTATATTGTAAAGTAATATCAGTGCTACGTTAGAATGCCCTACTTAGAGATTGATAAAGAGATATGCTCGTTTATTAATAAAGGGAATCAGCCATTTTTTGGGACCTAAAAAGCAATGCACAATACCGCATTATGATATCCATGTGACTTTTCTTCCCTTACTAAGAGCAAGGAATTCATATTTTTAATTTTGCTTCTTCTTAAAACTTTTGCTAAAGCAAAAAAAGGAGTCGCTCCTCATAGAAAAAGGCTGAGGTGTCATGATGAGAGTGTCAGAACATTAAATGTCAAGAAGGGTATAAAGGGGGGTATAGAGTCAGCTTTTGGGTCCACCATGAAATTCCTCAACTTTACAATCATTTGAATCGAAGGTCTATATTTTATGGAATGCAATTATGATGAGGTCATTTTTTGGATAAAATGCTGGCCTGAACATGGGTCTGAAGGTCCGATTTGGCGAAAAAGCGGGATTCGCCTGAAAGCGGTCGAATGCCGAAAAATGCTAATTTTTTGCCAAAATCGACTTACGTACCCATGTTTAGGCCGGTATTTGACCCGAAAAGAGACAGAAAATGACCTTATCCTTACAATATAGACTTCTGATGAGCAAAGGATCGTAGAGTAAAGGAAATTTAGGTAAGGTGGGCCCAAAATCAGTCCAAACTGATACTCCCCCCCCTCTTTGCACATTTGTAGGGTTCCTGCCTCAAAGCATAATGATGACATTGTGTAACAACCCTTTTCAGAATAATTCATTTTAAAGTTTCTAAAAAAGATAAAATTGCATTGATTTCTTACCCTTGGTTATTTGCATTTTCAGAGGACTGAGAGGAGAGGCAGCAAATGGTGTAAATGATCTTATTTTAAAATCATAAGACATCTTTGCTGTGAGATTAGTGACGATGAATTCTCGAGTGTCTTTTCCCGGCACCTCTACTTGCTTGTATGGACAATTGCCCACATCTGAGCGACAGTAATACAGGTAGAAGCCTTCGATTGGATTTTGGACGGAGTCGTTGTACTAGAAGAAAAAAAAATAATCAAAGTCATATTACCTCTTTGGTGTGGCTGATAAGAGATGGAAGGTTTATTACACAAGTGAGATACAGCAAGCTAAGTGCTCTTCCAGTTGGGAAAATTGATTGAAATTGGTGTTGAGCACAAAACAAATATCTAAAAGCCCCTCGTTGAAGCTAAACTTTAGCTATTGATTACTTTAGATTGATAACTTCAGCTTTGACGCTAAAGTTATTGATCGCTTCTGAGGAGAGTTTTTCTAAGTTTCTCAGGTTTGTTCGGAAAGATATGTGTGAAAACTTAACTTCAATAAACAAACAAACTCACCAACAGTTACGCAATTTTCTTATGCATGATTTCAAATGATTTAGATCATTTGTTTTTGCAAATTGGCACAAGGTAAGTTCAAATTGTCTAAAAGTGAAAATGCACGATTTTGATCAAAGAAAGGAGAGATGGCGCATCACTGCACGCTTTGAGAATTAACAGATGGACCAAAAATTTTTCTCAGCTTTATTCCTGTTACCTATCTTCCAGAATTTCTACTGAGGACCAAAATCTGAATCACCCTAGTACCATTTCTTGAGGAGAAATTCACACTTATTTTCACCCTAAAAAACCGGAAAATGTCAAACCAAACTTGGGTCATGACGTTCGGAAGATTGTTGTACAAAAGTTTTGAGGAAAAACTATTTTAAAGGGTTGATTTTTTTTTAATGTTGTTGAGCCATCTTCAAGGGTCAAAATTGAAGGATTAAAATACAACTAAATATGAACTAAAAGGTTTGAAAATTATTTTTTGGGACCCACGCGTGAGTTTTCTATCAGAATTTCTAATTTTTATTCTTTGATGTCCCTCGCTAAATTCTTGTAGAAAAATTATTGTCTGTGAGCTAAGGGAGCTTTTCTCCCGCGGACATTCAGGATTTGAGTTTCCCAACTGGAATAAAAAAGAAAGGAAGGCCTTTGATCTGAAAGTTCTTGCTTCCTAAAAAGATTGCTGAAACCTGAAAAGATCTTAATAGTGGGGTGTAATTCTTATGGTAAACTGTGGAGGCTACTTTAAAAAAACTGCTACTCACATTCCACTTGACTTTCACAGAAGTTGGGCTTTCAGTTTCAGTATGTACTATTATTGGCATACTGGGTGGCGGTTTGCCTGAAGGGTCGTCTTTGGTCAATTTGTACCAACCAGTCGAGGGGCCGGTCACAGACTCATAGTTGAAGAACACAGTTGATATCCGGAACCTAAAAACAATCCAAAAGAAGATTGAGTCTGTCAGTGGTGCATAATTTTAGGAGTGAAAGTGCGCATTTAGTGCTTGGTTAGGTTACTAAGGCTAGATGAAGAGTAAAATTGCGATAAAAACCCAATAAATTTTACAAAAATGAAAAAAAAAACTCACTTCGCTGTATTTTTCATTCATTTTTAAGCACCTCAGAACGTGAAAAGTGCTAAAATCAAGAGGAGAGATTTTTGATCTGAAGATCAAAAATCCTTTGCCAAATAGATTCCTGCGCTCATTTACACACTAACCTCGAGTTATTGATTCCTGCGCTCATTTAGACATTAACACAAGCACACAGAGGCAAGATAGCTTCCCTTCTTCCTGAACTTTTAGATACAAGTGCTTTGTCTTTACGTCCTTACTCCTGTCCTACGTAAGTTCCTGACTAGCAGGTTGAACTAGAACGGCCTACATAACCTCTGAATGGTTTGAAACGAGCTAACTTTTAAATGTTCATTCCAAGGACATGTTACTGAAAATATTACATACTTGTATCGCCGGTCAGGCTCCAGATTAGAAACTTCAAAAGCACGAGTATAATTATCAATGTCGTTACTCGTAGACCATTCTCGTCCTTGAATTTTCCTGGAAGACTTCTCCATGTACTGGACTTTGAAGATGTCAATGCTATGTGGACCATTGTAGTGTACAGTCCACCGCAACATGACCTCTTTGTCTGTCAGTCTCGTGATATTGGGTTCTGGTGTTATCACTGTTTCTGCAAAGTAAAACAATTATACCATACAATGCTTGCATTAGATTTCTCTGGTTTTTTTTTTTTTTTTTATTTTCAAGTTCCCTGCTTTGCTTGTACTAGAACAAATATAGAAAATAAAATGCACCTAAACTTGCCAAAGCTTTTTGGTCTGGCTTTTCTCGATAGGTAATCTGAAAAAAGTTATTAAGAGGTGGACTGGCTGGCAAGGTACCCTCTGAGGGCCAAGACAACTGACATCTACTGCCGTGCCGTGTACTGAAGTAGAACCGTGCTCCTGACCTATATCTCATGATACACATCACATTTTTTCCGCAAGGGTTGACAGCCACCTCATCAGCCAATTTTAGGTCGTACAGACAACTACGGCAAACTCTGAGGAGCATGGCTATGCCTCCTCCCTCAAGTTGGACTCTTACTGGCTCAATCTCCTACTGATACGTGATCAATGATTTTTTCACAACCTAGTCGAACAGTACAGACTTCCACTGAGAACAGACTCGCTGAGTGTTTTAGACCTGACTCGGGTTGAAAAAAGATTAGTCACGAAAATCTCCATTCATTTAAATGGACGCATTTCAATCAAAAGGAAATATATTCATTATGACATGAGCCGTGTTATGCATAAATTCTAGTGGATCTCAGGGCTCATGTCAAAATGGATGCAGTTCCCTTTAGTTGGGTGGCTTCCTCTTACTTTTATTTCTGCCTCCTCCTCTGTGGCGTCCTCCTCCCCTTCTCTCTTTTCCTCCAGAATTTTGAGAGGGCCTTGTTGATGATTCTGAAAAAAGAAACGAGTTAATGGTAGCGTTTATCACTTTTAAAAAGAGAAAGAAATCAAAATTTAGGTACGAATGGACATTAAAAATGGCTACAAGATCAAGTAAACTAGAAATTGCCTATTGCTAAGAAAAAAAATTGCAACAAAAGAGGGTGTCATTCAATTTTTCAATAAAAAAAATCCTGTGATCCGAGTCTCCTCTTGCAAACAGGAGGATTTACATTCCCTAATTTAATTTGAAGAGACAATGAAAATTCATGAGCTAATTGCAGTATTTTAAAATTAACTTTCAAAAAGAGCAATCTGATGATGTAAAGATTTATGGGGTTTATTTCTTTATACGTTGTATTGTTCGACTATTAAAAGCATATCGGCAAGCCTGGGGTCCGGGAAAGTAACATGACATGCACTGCGATGACGCGAATGATCTGCCATTTGAGTATATGGAAAAGGATTGATTATCACAAGGTTGCCACAGAATTTGGAAAATGAAATTTTTCTGACACATTTTGGTGAAACTCCCTGACAACTGAGGATATGACAGATAGTTAAGAAGATATAATTGAAAATAGTTTTCAGGCAAAATTTGTTGTTCTAAACCTCAAACCCACTCTAGAAAGCAAGAAAAGGTGATTTCACAAATTGTATCTGACATTTTTTCCTGTATCATTTTCCCTAACATTTCCTGGTTTTCCCAGATTGTTTTAAATTCCCTGACATTTCCCAGTTTTCCACGTATTCTCTGACTGTGGTAACCCTGCCATCAGAGTGTTCAAAACGAACATTTCAATAATTGATTCTTAAGCCTAGCTTCTAATGAGAGAATATCGATACCAAGGGGCTGGGAAGGCTCACTTTAGACAGACTGACAACTTACCTTCTTTTTCAAATTTAACCTCTTTAGGCGCTACATTCACCATTGCTGCTCCATAATCAGATCCAATAGGATTGGTTGCAAAGCACTGATATATACCAGCATGACGTTTTTCCACATTCCATATCTTCAGCACATTTCCTTTATCTCCTGAAAATAAACAAATATAATTCCATGCATAAGATCACAACAATTGGAAAAAATAGAGGACAGCAATCAATATGGTGAAGAAAATGAAATATCAATTATTTTTCAACAGAGGGCATTTTCATTTGGTTTTCCCCCCTTTGATACAAATGTTAAATGTTTAAGAGGACCAAATGAGTTAAATGTTCTTGCTGATAAAATTCTGATTTTAATATGTAGTCGTATCTTGTAACGTTTCTTGAAATAATGTTATTTCGGAGACAACATCCATCTTTTTCAAATCCCAGCCAGTCGTTCGGTGTTGCAGCGATTCTCGAAATAATGTTTTCCGTATTTCTTGTTCAAAAAGGTTAAAATGGGATATGACTGTATTTCAACTCATCTTCTGAGACTGGGGCTTCAAGCTGTTCAAAATAACGGATTCCACGATTTAACAAATCGATTCTTCAGTCTATGAAATCTGATACATCAAGGTCTTACTGTATATCTTAGCTTCAAAGTATTATATTGACTACAGCATTAACTGAGAACTTCTATCAAATCTTTAACAATAATATGGAACTAATATTTCTTTTCTCTTGTTAGAAAGCATCGTGCACTTCCTTCCTCTAATCCTCACTGCACCAAAATATTTGTACCAGAAACATAAAGTCTTACCTAAGACTTCAGCGCTCTTATCCTTTTCTAATGACTGAGCATTCAACAGCCACGTTACGGTTGGCTCGGGAGTCCCTTTAACTTGACATGTTAATGTTAATTTCTCTCCTTCTAAGGGGTGCTGCACATCTAAGGTTGGACCTTCGACTACCTCGGGTGCCTCTACAAAGAAAAAAAGATTGCGATTATGAGCAATGGCAACGACCTTTTGGACAAAAGAACGTAAATGTTACGCTTAAGACAAACAAAAAAATGTGTACATCATTAATTGAGCAGTTGGCTAGATGCCATTCAATATACCCCTGCATAACAATGTACCAACAAAGGGTGTTCACGCGCTAGAGTCAAGATAATGTATAACATGTGATCAAGCCAGGAAATATTGAAATACACAGAATACTGTATTTTACTTAATTACAAAAATACAAAATTTTTACTGAACATTATTGCAACAAGCCATATTGCAAAAATTTTGCCTCTTGGAAAGTTGCTGTTTGGAAGGCTCGGAACTGAAAGCACTGACAAAGTCAACTGAAAGGTTGTTAGAGCCTTTTCCAATTCTGAGTAGAAATCGTAAAAATCAGCAGGGACAAGAGAAGCTTTCATTTTGTTTAGATACAAAAGACCATTTTTACTTTTGACAAATTACTGGGAATGAAATTTATTTTTAAACTTTGCGTGTATTTCTACAAATTGAAACAAAAATCTTACCTTGCACTTGAACCACTATTTCACGGGATATTGTAGGACCAATGCCATTGGAAACACTACAAATATATTTCCCCGCAACCTCGAGAGTTACATTGTAGAGAGTTAAACCTCCCGGCACAACTTCTGCGTGATCTTGAGGCAACGGACCGTTGGCTTTCTGCCAGGATATTGAAGGAATCGGTTGGCCCACAGCAGTACATTCTAGAGTAGTGTTTGACCCTAAACAGAATGATGAACAAAATAATGGAAACTATGAAAAAAAAAAATTGCAGTGTTCAAAGAAGTCGATGAAACATGCAGTTGGACTTGCAGATTTTGGGGGAAGGTTTTTATTTGGTGAGGTGTCTCTCCGAATCTCAACGATTCAATTGCCTCAACATCTGTTAATAGCAAAAGTCTCAGCTTAATGCATAACTTGTCCTGCTCCAGGATGCAGAAGAAGTTTCAAAATCTTAAAACCTCAACATTTGGTTTAATTACATTCAATAACAATTTTCCACCATTACTACAGGGATTGTTCAAAAAGTAGGTACTCAAAATGATCCTATCTTTTGTCTATCGTACAAAGCTGGAGCCTATTAGTTAAACGCATCTTGAAGCTATTACTTCCAGATTTCCAGCGAGCTGCAGAAAACTAGATTAAGACTATTAGAACACGAAACTGCGGTTTTTCCCGCACTTATCTCCTGTTCAAACAGATGTAGATATCCAGGGTTGATTTTTCCCCCTTTTTTAAGGTTTTTTCTTCAGATAGATTAAGAAATTATAGAAATTATTTTGTTGATAACCTTGGTGAGTCTATAGAGAGGCTAAAAACTAAGAATTCTATCAGTTTCAGCAAATTTTGCCGATAAATTTGAGAAGGATAAAGAAAAGTTTGCACTGTTTTTTTGAGACTGCTATCATAGAAGGTAAAGAGGGTCTACCGGAGGGAGACTCAAGATTAGGCGTTGAAGCAAACACGAAAAAATGAGTCTAAAAAATGGACAGAAGGAGAATGGGATGACAGATGCATCATGCAAGTAAACTTGGAACATACCTGTTTGAACAACATACGATGACTGCGGCTCTCGAAGGAATCTGGGTTTTTCCACTTGCTGACCGTCAACCACCTTCACTTGAAAGCTCTTTGGAGAGAGGAAGGTGGTGGACAGCATGTAATTGGACGCCGAGCAGGAATAAGTTCCAGAGTCTTTTTCTGTGACATTGACCAGAAGGAGTGATCCTGTTGTTGGAAGAGTTGACGCGGTAGCAGGGAGCCCAGCGCCATCTTTGCTGTACTTGATGTCTGGTGCTGGGTTGCTCACAGGTGGAGCGCAGTAGATAGTGAAAGTGTTTCCCTTCGATACAGTGTAAAATTCTTTGCTTGGCTGCTCAGGGAATGGCTGCAGTTCCGCCAGACTCAACCGAGCACTCTTGGAGGCAAGGGCTGTTTGACTGCCGTACCATGCTATACACTAAAACGAAGTTCAGAAAAGGAAAAAATTAATTTAAAAAATTAAGGAAACTAGTAGAAATTTATCTGGTCTTTTACTTTCGCAAATTGCATTGCTATTGATGAAGTATGTGCTCAGATCTCCTTTCGCATAAAAACTTTTTGAACTGAAGCACTGAGCAGAATTAGATTTCCTACTAGATGTAACCACATTTCCAACTTCAAAATGTTGAAAACACACAACACCAAAATGTAATGATTTGAAATTAAAATTTGCGAAAGATCTTATTCAACCCTCTTAATTTTTATGGATATTCACGAAGAAGGAATAATTGAGGAAAATGACTTCATTGTGATAAATAATGGGGTTATTCATCAAATACTTAGCGCTAAATTCCGGATTGTTCATTGTTCAACCCACCCTCCCTCTTGAAACGCTTTTGTAACAAAGATTCCTATTACCTATTCGACTTGTAAAGTAAAAAGGCATAACGTTCTTCTTGACACCCCCCTTCCCCTAGAGCAATATGTATTTCATGAACTGCCTCAATCCTAAAGAATGGCTACATGGTGGTCATAAATGATTAAATGGGTCAACTCATGAATTATTTCATCTTGCTACTGACCTGATAATCACCAAGAGAGCTTGTGCCGGTGACATTGAATGTGAGAAGTGATTTGTTATGAGCAAGGGTATTGTTATCATGCTTCCATTGGTATTCTTTTGGTTCAACGTTTAAGGTGCATTGAAAACTGATTTCGTCTCCAATGGGCGCATCTAAGGGTTCTGGAAATGCTGTGAAGTTAATGCTTTTGAACTCTGAAACAAACATAAAGAAAATAAATTATTGAAATAATAATGAATCATAAAGTAATGAATGAAACAATGACCTGAGTGTATTGTACTTTAAAACCTAAAAAACAAACGTTTGGGATTCACCTCACAATAATTAAAGGGCTGTTGAGTATAAAACACTAGACCAGTGTCTGTGAATCTTAAAAAATAAAACATCCGGGAGGTTCTCTGAATTGGTAAAAATCTGCAAAAACATCATACCACTTCAAGAGTAAATGTTTAAAAAGACTTATAATAGACTGAGTTCATCAGGAAGGAACCAACCCACATTAAGTTGAAACTGAGAAAAAGAGGTTTGAAGTTTAATTCCTCCATAAGGCTCAGTGTAAAAATTAAACTTCAACCCCTCTTTTCACAAGAAAATTTTTGTTTTTAGACTTTCAGTTTTTGGCAAGAGAAAACTTACGTCTAGTGAAACTCAAAAACATTCTTAACTCAATTTTTTCGAAAATTTGGGTTGGTTTCTCGCTGATAAACTCGATCCAAATAGTACAAGGGTAGTCTTTCAGGGCATCAAACTTCGCAAACGTTGAACTTTAATGTGAGTCTTCAATACAAGACCAGACTAGGGTGGAATAGTTATAGGATTCGGCGGTTGTCGGAATTGAAATGCTTGAGCTTTCATTGTGCTGAAAAATGAATTTTCTATAGGGAACTCCTTGGTAATTACCAATTGACTTTCCAGTATGCAGTAGCAGGAGGACTGGAAAACTCCAACTTCTACTCCTGACCCATCACAAAGCTTCAAACCATTTCAGCCCGGTCTTGTCAAAAAGCCAAACAAAAAATATCAACAACTAGCCTGCCGAGTCCAGTATTCAGAAAGTTATTCTGTCCGACAAACTCGAACTCCCCAAGACAGTCTTGTCTTGCCCAATGGGCAAATCGTATATTTTCAACTTCAACCTGACCAGGTTTTTGCTATGGAGGATAAGAAAGTAGGTATGGATACCTATTCAAATGGAGTACATAGTCTTAAACGTACGGAGCTCTTATGTGCCATAGGGGAAAAAAAGGAGGTGTTTGCATTTCGGGCATCTTGGAATTTTTTTGATGACGTAGTCGGTACAGCGACGTTTATCATCGATTTTCTTGGAAATGGTGCAATTTATGGAAAAAAGTCATTCTATAAAATTTAATTGAAATTATTAATTATATAATAATATTTAATTATAATATAATAATAATAATTAATTATAATTATTTAATTGAAACTGGAAATTTTTTTAAGGCAGGGAGTATGAGGATGATTTTCTTACTAACCAGCTGATGTAGCGGAGAAATGAAGAATCGCAAGGTAGCAGCAATAGGTGAGAATTGTGACTGAAGCACATCCAAGATCGAGCATGATTCACGATTCCAACTGCTCCGACTCATTCCTGCAACACAAAACAGATGTAACAATAAAATTCGACCTCTCTTTTTTAGGGCTAAAAGAGCCCGAAGTTTCTTAGGGTATACGAGGTGTGATCAAAAAGTTCCCGGACTGGTGCCGCCCTGGGCTGAAAAATGGTCCAAACGAGCTAAACTTAGGCTCGTTTGAAAGCTTATACTCTAACGAGTACACTCCTTTTTAGTTTTTGAAAAAATATTTATTAGTTTTCGCACAGCGTCAATTTTACGGAGACGTGTTTGCGCCGTGCGGCGATTTTGTCTGCGAACGAGAAATGACCAACATCCTTTTCCAACTTTGAGGTGGCTGAAGACAGGTGCATCCAGCGATCACGCTGATATGAGTCTATCCTACCTCTGGTGTACTTGCACAAGATAAACCACTATTTTTTACCTGAAATGTGTCACTTGGAACGCATCAAGATGCAATTTTTCGAGTTTTTCGTTTTTTTTTCGAAAAATTGCATCTTGATGCGTTCCAAGTGACACATTTCAGGTAAAAAATAGTGGTTTATCTTGTGCAAGTACACCAGAGGTAGGATAGACTCATATCAGCGTGATCGCTGGATGCACCTGTCTTTTCAGCCACCTCAAAGTTGGAAAAGGATGTTGGTCATTTCTCGTTCGCAGACAAAATCGCCACACGGCGCAAACACGTCTCCGTAAAATTGACGCTGCGCGAAAACTAATAAATATTTTTTCAAAAACTAGAAAGGAGTGTACTCGTGAGAGTATAAGCTTTCAAACGAGCCTAAGTTTAGCTCGTTTGGACCATTTTCCAGCCCTTTTCAAAATTTATTTTTTTGAATTAAAAAAATCGCCATGCGACGCAAACACGTCTCCGTAAAATTGACACTGTGCAAAAACCAATTGATATTTTTTCAAAAACTAAAAAGGAGTGTACTCGTGAGAGTATAAGCTTTCAAACGAGCCTAAGTTTAGCTCGTTTGGACCATTTTTTAGCCCAGGGCGGCACCAGTCCGGGAACTTTTTGATTACACCTCGTACTTCCGAATTGTTATACCTATTCCTGAATATTTCAGGTTTACCCTTGCCCCCTGCTTAATTTTTATTATTTTTGCTCTTTCGTTTACTGCTTTTCATCAAGCACCCTAATTCGATCTTACTGGGTAAAAAAGAAATAGGTATCATGGTGAAACTGCCAATCAAGGCTGTCAAATGATTTGTGCGCATACTATGAAATGGGTTCAGTGGCGTGGCGTGCTTTGCGATGAATCGATTGATCTGCCATTGAAACCTATGGAGAAGAATCAATGAGCAGGATGTTCGCAACGAGCACCTTGCTAATCGACTCTTTGCCATACAACGGTAAAGTTACCAAACCATGTATCTCAATTGCGGTGTTTAAAAATCTCCGCTCCTATTATGTTTTTGTGAAGGGGAAGAAACCGATATCATTCCTCGACAAGGCCGGATTTACCTACTTGCTGCCCAATGGCCGCCTGTATTTTGCCGCCCCCTTCTCATTCGTTTTGAAACATCAATAAAAACCATCAAATGAACGTGCCAGCGGGGGAGGGGTGCATAAGATGCGTTTACTAGTGTTGGACACATTTTTTGCGAGAGCCCTGTCAACACAACTAGCAAAAGTTCACGGAACTTTGTGCGAAAGTTAAGTTTCGTAAACCTATCTCTGCATGGACAAGGCCATCCATTCATAAGAAATGAACGAAAAAATTACGAAAGAACAAACATAAATGGGGATAAATGATTTTAACTTCCGCCGCCGCGCCGCGCTGACCGCACCGTGTTTGGCGCAATGCGTGAAGTATTCCGACAGTCTTGTAGGCGCTGCAAGTTTCACGCCGACTGCTGTCGAACGCACTGTGATTGACGCAATGCGTGAAGTATTCACGCAATCTTGTAGGCGCTATCCGTTTTACGCTGACGGTCAGCGGCTGACCGCAATGACCGCACTCTGTTTGATGCAATGCGTGAAGTATTCGTGCAGTCTTGTAGGTGTTAATATGTGTTACATGCCAATCGCCGCGCCGAGGGCTTCTCCGTTTATCATTTCTCTCAAAGTCGCGCCGTTCCGGGCCAAATTACGTGTTTTAACTATTTGGTTTCTCTCTTAACTTGAATAATTAAAGGTGCTGTCTCTTGTATCCCTGAAAGACGACCAAATTAGAAATTATTGTACTCTCAGGAAATGAGAGATAATGTCGCCCCCTATCGTTTGTAATTGTTTTTTTTTTCTAAATACGATTTTTTCATACCTACATTTAAAAAAACTTGCAAAATTTGTCGCCCCCTATAGATTTGCCGCCATGGGCCGCGGCCCATGTGGCCACCCCTTTAATCCGGCCCTGTCCTCGAAGTTTTCACAGATTTTTCTTCACACAGAGGAGACAAAAAAAGGGAATTTTTAAGGATTGACGTTGATTAGTTGCAGTACATTTTGCAAAAAGGAACCACAACCTATCTCTGGTGCTCCCATAAGAGCACATATCTACATAGTGAAACCAATGGCATGTATGTTATTTCTAAAATGCACCAGAGATATTGGCGCCTTGTTGCAAAATGTAATCCAGTTTTTCATTTGAAAAATAAAGTATGACAGGAAGTCAACGACGCCGCAAACCGGGATACCGGGGTGTCTACCAGTTACAAAAAACCAAAATCGGAGACATTAAGGGGTGTTTTTCCAAGAAAATCGGGGACTTCATTCCCGAAATAGTAAAGGAAAGGGGGCTAGTTAGAGCATTAAAAGCTGTATTTTACACGACTAATTTTACAAGTCATGTTGCACTGATGAAAACATACGAAAAACCAAGCAACACTATAGTTTTTATATTCCTGGTTATACCGCGCCGCCTCGGTTGGCGGGAAAATTTGAAAATGCCTGTGATAAGGACGATTTTTGTCAATTTCTGAGGGCCTGAACAAGAAAATTGGGGACATTCGGGGATATCGGGGAAATTCTTCCAAAATCGCGGATAATCGGGGACATTGGGGATCGGTAGACATCCTGGATATGTGGTCTAGTAGTTGCACCATCGCCTAGCTTCAAGTGGGGAAATATCGACTGCCTGAGATAATGAGACCCGTTGTAAGCACCCTGTCTATCGGTACTATTCCATCCATACGTTTAAATGGCAAATCGATCGCTATATCGCAAAGCACGCCTCGCCACTGATAGGTATACGATGGGAGTTTCCACAGCGCGGCGCTCAGTGGATCGAGTCAATGAGAGCGGTCGAACATGAAATATTTGACTAAAACTGAGAATCTTGGCGTTTATTCCGTCACATTTTAAATTTCAAGGGGTGTCTCTAGAAGAATATTTCACGAGGAAGCCGATGAAACCATCTTTAGAATCTCAAAATTTTGTATAAACGGAGTTACAAGCGTTTAAAGTTTCCAAAGTTTGTCCGACCTCTCCTCTAGACTCGATCCACTGTGCGGCATGGGGTTGGGGTAGGTTCGGCAACGGGGCGGTGAGTGACAGGAACCGGGTCCGGAAGTAGGACTTCGCCTGCGCCCCGAAACCATCTCGCGGGTCGCGGGCCACCCCGGTGCGGTGCCGGGCGCCACTTGAACATCCATCCTCATCGCCTCGCGCCCACGATCAAGAGATAAAAGCACAAAACGCTCGCTTTCGGATGACAAGAAGCAGCCGCCGCGCCGCGTGCCGCATCCCGTCATAACTGGAGTGCCTACACGCACGCGGAGAGTATCATCATGTTTGGGCTAGAGTACCTATATAGCGAGAGTATGGACAGATCGCTTCATGGAGGGCTTGGGGCCAAAAAGTGCAGCCACACTTCTAACCAACTGCTAACGCACAAAATTTCACTGCCAGTCTGCAGATTCCAATTCTAACCAAGATGGCCAAGAATGTACAGAAATGAGTGTTCTTCCGCAAAATTGAGTAAATTTATGCAAAAACTGAGTCAAACACGTGCTTAATAGACGACGGTTCGCAACAATAGTATTAGTAAATCTTCTGGATAATTGAAATTCCTGGGTTGGCTGCATTTCTGGACCCTAACTTTATTCGCAGAAGCATCGGTGAAGGCCTGATGGGTTTTCGGAGTTTCACATCTGTCCATACTCTCGCTATACAGGTACTCTAGTTTGGGCTAGACTGCTGTGGTAGCGAAGAAAGCAGTAAGTGCAGGCTAGGGTGAACCTCAAGACGAATTAAAGCTTGTGCTAATCATGGCTCATACAGAAACGCACTCACTGGTTTCTTCGGTATCACGGCAGTAGAGTGCCTTAATAGGGAGATTTAATGTGTCGAATACGATACAACTCAAAGCGGCAAAATCGCTATCTAAAAGTATAGGTACCCATTCTTGAATTACGAATTTTAAATCGGTAGTTAGTAATTTATTTTTTATTTCGGGACCATCGCAAGGCGTCATGCGCCACACCAGGATGTTAGACACTGCTATTGAGGCACTTCCTGACGCGGCCCACTACGTTCCACCCTTCACCCCGAAAGCCGCGATACCACGAATATGCCCGTTCGACCTACAGCTTCGAAGAGCAACCCCTTATTGGACGTGTTTAAGCTAAAAGGAACTATATCTCACGCAATCCCTATGCACATAGCTCCTTTTGGCATGAATACGTCCTATCGATGGGGCTTCCGAGCAGGCCTCTCGCCACCCACAGTACACTTCTGCGCGGGTGGAAAAAATAACACGACACAGCCCTATCAGAACTTTCTATACAGAGTTGCCACAGAATTTAGAAAATGAAATTCCCTGAAATTTCCTTTATTTCTCAGTCACATTTTAATAAGACCCGACAATCGAGTATATGTCGGATGCTTAAAAAGATATGGTTTGAAATAGTTTTCGTGCAAAATTTGTTGTTGGCAACTTCAAACCCGCATTCTGGCAAGGAAATGAGGGTGATATGACAATTTCTCCCTGAAATTGTTGTCTTTTTCCCTGACATTTCCAGGTTTTCTGTGACTTTTTAAAATTCCCTGACAATTCCCAGTATTTCCTGACTATGGCAATCCCTGTCTATACTGTCGAGCGTATCGGAGCTCTGACAGACATGCCCTGGTAAAAATTTGCGATTAGAGCTGCGTTTCAAATACCACAGGAATTCTTATAGCCGGCTAGAGACGGCTACAGAAAATCATATAGCTGGCTGTAGAATGCGGAGAAAATCATACGGCCGGGCTATACGAAGCGATAAAAAATCATGCAGCCGGGCTATAGTTCCTATCGCCGGGCTTTACACTTGCGCCTGGCTGTTGCTTTTTCGCCATCGATTATAAAAGGCTATAAGAAATTGTGTAGAAATTCGTGTGCTTTGGAAATCATTAAGTTTGATACGGAACCACCTTAATCGTTACAAAAAACATTATATTTTCTTTTATTACATATTTTTTTTCATCAATTAAGATGAGAATAATCCATACAGGATGTGCAAACACTTCAAAAGCATGAGTTGAATAACGCTGACTCCGCCAGATTAAATATTAGAGCCTAACACAAAACGGAGCGGCGACGCACCGGCGCCTACAAACCTAACAGGGATACTTCACGCATTGCGCAACGCGTGAAGTATCCCTGTTAGGTTTGTAGGCGCCAATGCGTGTTTCGCGCTGGCTGCCTGCCTGCCACGGCGCTTGAAGCAACTATTTCACACCCGAGGTATTGCACAGTATCATACGAAACTGAAGGCGCTCTAATATATTGGTAATGGCAGGCATCCATCAAGAGTACGGAGCTTTCCTCGCAAAATAAATCAAGATACTACGGCCCAAAAAGAGAACAGCAGTCCAAAGACTCACTAAGTCCTAGCATCCGTAATTAGCAACGTTTAGCATACACTTTATCGCCTGGCTGTTGCTTAATCGCCATCGGCTATAAAATGCTATAAGAAATTGGGTAGCCGGCTATAGAAGCTATTGGAAATCTTACAGCCGGCTGTAGGTCTATGGTATTTTGGAACACATATTCTACTGCCAATTTTTACCAGGGTGCATCGATCTACATCGGGGATTCTCGATTTAATTATGGTAAATTTCGTTCTTCTCCGACAAAAGAACGTAACCACATTTTGATGTCATAAAATTTCCAATAGGAAATCACAGTTTTACCAGGAAACTGTTGAGCTTTCCTGACAAAAAATTTAACTGGTTTTTCTTCAGATAATGCGACCATCCACGAGAAAAGGGATCAGATTCTACGGAGGCAAATTTTTCAGTAGATTTTTGTCGAATTATTTCCAAAAAATTGATTGTGAGATTTTGAAGGGAATCTCTTTCTATGACACGACGCCCTTTAAGAATAAGCTACACAAGCGGTTTATATTGTGTCTGCCTCAAAAGTGGGCGTATAAAAACATCACGTGACCAAAAAATTTTGTACCTTGGACATGACAGATTCATATTGTAAGAAGGTTTTTTTGAAAATACGTTTTGTTGAAAGTGAGCTTCGAACCTTCAAATTTCCAGTTTGATTTGACACTTCAGGTATTTTAAATTGGATTGTTGGCAGAATACCTCTCTATGGTCTAACATCTGTACGTCGATTGTGCATTTCTCTGCGGACCGCTGCGAAGCTGAGATCTTTGTTGTCCTATCAACGGTCAGAGATAAATGATAAGATTTTATAAATACCAAAATGAGCGGTAAAGCTAGAGCTCGAGTAAACGTACCTTGGAATCGCTCCAGATTTTGAATGCATTCGAAACAGTGAGAAACACCTCACCACCCTGTAACAAAAATTGAGAAAAAAACATGAATAGCGTGAAATTTATGGGTAAGTTTGATATGAAAGTTAGAGAATACTCATGGATTAAAAATCAGGTGCGGACGTTACGCTGGTTCATTTTGAGTCTTAAGCATACTGAAATCTACAGATTCTTATAATTGGAAATCTCAAAAGAGACACAAGAATCTTCTCGTCTTCTCTCAATCGCTAAGAACCCTACTTCCTGAGAAACTAGATTTCAGCCGGGACTTCCTAAAAAATTCCCATTCCGATCGCCTGTAAGGATCTCCTTTTTCCAGGATTGCTGATTCCAACCAAGAATTCTGGGGACATTTCTACTTCGACCCACATGTGTTCTTCCTGGCGCTAGGAGCCCTTTTTACGAGAAAGTATATTTCAGCCGGGAACCCTCCAGGAAGGTTCCTACTCAGCTCATCAATTTTTCCTCAAATCCTTTGAGAGTCCCTATTTTGATCCCCTGGGTTCTCTCTGTCACTGACAACTCTTTTCCTGGGAAAATAGATTTCAGCAGGGAAGTCTGCTGAAATTCTCGCTCGAATCCTATGCGGCACCCGAATTCCCTCACCGGACCTAAAACGCGACCTCTAACAACACAGTCGCACAGTGAAGGAGATCAATGAAAGAGGTCAAACATAATATGGATACGTTAAAAGCTTACATCTTCTTGGACATGAAACGTAAAAGCTTAAAAATGGCTTCATTGGTTTTCTCGAAAAATTCCCTTCAAGGGACATCTAAAAATGTACAATTTGATGGAATAAACATCAAAATTTACACATTTAAATCCTGTCTCCCCCAAATGCTCGTTCCACCGTGCGTCGCGTCCCTACACTCTGCAAGTCCATTGATGCCAAATAGAGCCAAAAATCAAGACATTCCCCCATTTAACCCCATGAGAAATTTTCAAATTCTATCGCACAGCCTGGCAACCCCGAGCGAGTCGGGTCTAGTTAACGCGTCAAGATTTAAGGGAAGCTCCGGGGCATTTCCGATTGGCTCCTCCGCGCGCACGGGTCCCGGGGCTCCGGGGGGACTCGGACCACGGGAGGGAGAGGGGGGTCGGTTGGGGGGGGGCAGGGCGAGGGGGTCGGGGAGGGGGCACGGGTCCGCGATGCTCATGCTCCGTGCTCCGTTGCACCGCGCTGGAATGCTCATTGAATTCTCACCGCTCGGTCCCTTCCCACGTTGCCTCGTCGGGTTGATAATTGAAATCGATAGACAAGGCGATAGAAAAGGATAGAGTCCCTTCGTAGAGAGAGTTGAGAAAACGCGACTTATGGGTGTCACAAACGGGAATAAAGATTACACAAATTGAACGTTTTTTGTAATCTTTGATCAACTCATTCCCGAATTCCTGTCTCCGTTCCTTCTCTCATTCCATTTGTTCCTTGCCGAACCCATAATTTCCTGGTCCATTCCAGTTTATAATCTTTGCAATTGGTGAAAATGTATGATCTTTATTCCCGTTTGTGACACTGTGAAGGCCTAAAATACGGGAACCAATCAGAAATAGATTCGCAATGTCTTTACTTTATGTATATGGGGACTCTACAAAAGGAAGACGGAAGGAAAAAAGAGCAATCCTATTGACTAAAACGGGTGGTTGTTACAGAGGAGGAAAATAATGGACTAACTATGAGGTCTCTGGTGCGTTGCTGCTAGTTGGTCTATTACAACTTGCTTCCTTTGTCCATTGCAACCACTCGCATGCACCGATGGGATCCCTCCATTTCCCGTTGTCTTCTAAGTCTATAGCTATGTCTATAAATGTCAATAGCAATCCTCGACCCGCTGTCGAGGAAACGGAAATTCTACCTCAACGGGGGTAGCCGGGTTTTCCGCGCTTCCGGCCGAAGGGGAACCGGGGACTTTTCGCCGGGTAAGAATGTTGTATCAACGTAAAAAGGAAATCAGGATATTCCCATGAACTTTTTTCCAAAAATCCGTAATTGACCGAAAATATTTGGCAACATCGAAGGGTTCATACGGTCCTCATCGATATAATCACTCAAATGTCCTAATTTTCATCTTCAGCCCCGGTTATGTCTACATTAACATCTGCCGGGCTGCTTTCCATGCTTCTATAGCTATTGATGGATGATAATTTCCAGGACTAGAAGCGTCCCAGTCCATTGTCATCCTTGCGAATCATCGTCCAGGTTTGGGATCGACGTTTCCCGGGAACGTCAAGTGCTGGGAACCGACACCCAATAGTTCCCAATAGCTCTTCAAAGAGTGAGTGATTATCGTGTATACATGCACGTGTGTAGGTTTCTCTGGCAAAAGTTTCCCGAAGACGCTGACATTTAACCAGATATCCCGGGGACTCCTGAAAAAATACCCGTCCCGGGAACGGAAAACTTCCCATTTAAGTCCATAATCCAGCGGGCTGATCGTTGAAACTGATAGATAAAGCGATGGACAAAGATGACATAAAGATTTGTTTAGTTCCAATTAGTTGAAATGGGTGGCTCTCATAGAGAAAATGATGGACTAACTATCTGGTCTTTCGTGGGTTGCCGTTAGTTCGTCGCTCAGCTCACAAAGGGGCGTAACTACACATTGCAGTGGCGTGGCGTGAATTGCGATCAATCGATTGTTATGCCATTTAAACCTATGGAAAAGGATCGATAAAGAGGGTGTTCGCAGCGAACACCTTGATAATCGATTCTTTACCATAGCTTTAAATGGCATAACAATCGATTGATCGCGATTCACGCCACGCCACTGACACATTGAGATGAGCCCGGGAAAGCAGTGAGTTTTATGGATGACAGGGTTCATCGCGAAATGAAGTTACGCCTTTCCGCCAGGAGGACGACGAGTTAGTATATTACTTACCTCCTTTGTCCATTGCAACCACCCGCACTGAAAAAAATTCTCGGCGTTTTTACCACGGTACCTTTACCATCTCACTTATTTTTTTCCAATTATTGGTGATCTTACCAAGGCAGACTAGTAAGCTTACCTAAAAACCGGTATTTTTACTGTTTTTTCAGGTGAGAATACCCCTTTTATTGGTAATCAATTCCCGGTAACTTAGTCATTTTATCTCGGTAATTCTACCACAGTCGATAGAAAATAATGGCGTTTTTACCAAGGTCCAGTAAAATTACCGAGAAAGTTCAATAATTTTACCAAGATTTCTCGGTAAAATTACCAATTCCATAAATGGTAATTTTACCAAGAAAAAACTGGGATCAAATAGAACCCTGAATTCTTGGTAATTTTACCCTTTTCTTAGTAAATACACCGGGATTTTTTTTTCAGTGCGTTTCCAATAGGATTCCTTCATATCCTTTTCGTCTCCTTTGTCTATAGCTTTGCCTACCAGTCTCAACAATCAGCCCGCAGGTTCTTACTTCAACGAGGCGGCTCGCCGGGGGTTGGGTCGGGTAATAATCCGAGAGGGGGGGGGGGTTCAGGCGTGAACGTAAGAAGCACGGGAACGGACAAACGTGGCAACTTGGTTCTAATAGCATCGCCTCTCATTTTTTTCCCTCCCTTTGCATCCTCCCACAGTCCCACCTGATCCGCCTCTGCGATGATTTACCATCGCCCGGCTCATTTTCTCACTCATCCCCAACCGCACCCCGATCGACGTCCCATACATTACCGCACCGCCGCTGGAGACATGTTTATATTGGGGCCAGACGTGCTGCGGAACATGCACGCTCCTCCGCGGTCCCGACCTGTCATCCTGCGGGATCTGCAGAGCGCTCATTGGGCAGGATAGGATACGCTCCCCGAATTAATTGTTGAAAGACAAAGTGGACTCGCCGCGTCGTGTCGGGCGTTGAGGGATATTTTGCAGAGAAGGACGCTCGTCAGAGATCCTCGTTAAAACAGGCACTGGAAAAAAAACACATTGGATCAAGAGTCAAGACTCTTAAAGTCAAGAAAAAATACTCTTGATTCAATCAGATTTAAGCTTAAATCAAGAACCAAGCCTTCTTAAAGGTCCGGTTACACGATTAAATTGAGTCATCAAATTGAAGCCAATCAGAGCTTCAATTTGATGGCTCAATTTGATCGTGTAACTGGACCATAATTGGAGCGGATTTCCTTTTGATTTAAGCTAAAATCTGATAGAATCAAGAGTCCTTGTCAATGTTTTCAAGAGTCTGGACTCTAGATCCAATGTGTTTTTTTTTTCCCAGTGGGATTCGGAGTACCTATACTTTCAAAATCCTGAATTTTTGCACGGTTTCCTTGAACGATTAATAATGAAGTCCTCGGTTGCCACGGAATAAAGCCCAGTTCACACTATCTAACTTCTCATTCAACTCATTAATGCAACTTCTTGCAATAAAAAGTTGGATAGTATGGTGATAGTGACGTGAGAAAACGACAATTTGGTGAAAAATGAACGAAAACTTGAGTAAAACGTCAGATTCGACTTTTCGTTCAACTTTCCGTCCAATTGGCGCCGCACCAATTGGGTGGAAGATTGAACGAAGAGTAATTGAATCAACTTTTTTGCGTTCAACTTTCCATCCAACTTTTCGTTCAAATTTCCTAACTTTTACAGGTTTCTCCAATGTCTTTTCGAAAGCTCGTCACGCTGAAAAGTAGTTCGGTCCGTAGTAAATGCGAAGACGTTATTGAGGGGCTTGAACAAGGCGCATAAGTGTATAGTTTTTAAAAAATTGAGAAATTGATTTCAAGTAGAACTAGTCCTAATGCATATTCTGTGCAAAATTCGTCCCCCCAAAATCTAATTTTTAGGCATCAAAAAGTCAGTTTGAACTTTCTTTCCGCCATAAGGATCCATGCGATTTCGAAACTTCGATCACATATTTCTCGAAGTAGCAAAAACTGCACTTTTACACTGGAAAAAAAACACATTGGATCTTGAGTCCAGACTCTTGAAAATATCGACAAGAAAAAATACTCTTGATTCAATCGGATTATTGCTTGAATCAAAACGAAATCCGCTTAAATGAAGAGGCTTGGTTCTTGATTTAAGCTAGATTCTGA